CTCTGTAACTCTATCTCTCTTTTTTTTTTTTTTTTAATTTTTTATTTTTTTTTTTGACAGGCAGAGTGGACAGTGAGAGAGAGAGACAGAGAGAAAGGTCTTCCTTTGCCGTTGGTTCACCCTCCAATGGCCGCTGCGGCCGGCGCACTGCGCTGATCCGATGGCAGGAGCCAGGAGCCAGGTGCTTTTCCTGGTCTCCCATGGGGTGCAGGGCCCAAGCACCTGGGCCATCCTCCACTGCACTCCCGGGCCACAGCAGAGGGCTGGCCTGGAAGAGGGGCAACCGGGTCAGAATCCGGCGCCCCAACCGGGACTAGAACCCGGTGTGCCGGCGCCGCAAGGCGGAGGATTAGCCTAGTGAGCCGCGGCGCCGGCCTACTCTATCTCTCAAATAAATAAATCTTTTTTTTTAAGAATATCTTCTACTTAATACTCCAAAACCAAAAAAATCTTTGGAACAAGTTTTACTGTTAACTCTCATAATACATCTCTTTGAGGAGAGAGGTCCTGCATGGGAAGTCAGTCAGTGATCACCTGAGGCTACAGAAGCCTTTTGAACCCACAAACTCCAGATTTAGACAAAGCCATAAGCAAAGTGAAGTTCTCTCCTCCCTTCAGAGAAAAGTATCTCCTTCTGGATGACCACTTCTTGATAGAACAGTCTTATACTGGAAAAGGCGCCATACAGGTCATTCATAGCTACAGAAGAAAAGTCAGCTCCTGGCTTCAAAGTTTCTAAGGCCACACTGGCTCTCTTATTAGTGGCTAAGGCAGTTTATTTATTTGCAAGGCATCACCTCATGATCAAATGAAAGAATGAAGAGTTGCTTCTCATGGGTGAGTAAAGTGATTTCTTGAGATGGAATCTACTGGTAAAGACTGTTCTCTGTGAAAGCAAGAGAGGTGATTGATGTGGCAAATTTCATAGTTGTCTTAAGAAATTCTCCAGCCAGCACAACCCCGACCGGTCAGCAGTCATCAACACTGAGGCAAGACTCAATGTTATTGCACACTTAGTATAGTGTAGTCATGGCCGGCGCCGCGGCTCAATAGGCTAATCCTCCACCTTGTGGCACTGGCACCCTGGGTTCTAGTCCTGGTCGGGGTGCCGGATTCTGTCCCGGTTGTCTCTCTTCCAGGCCAGCTCTCTGCTATGGCCTGGGAGTGCAGTGGAGGATGGCCCAAGTCCTTGGGCCCAGCACCCGCATGGGAGACCAGGAGAAGCACCTGGCTCCTGGCTTCGGATCAGTGCAATGCGCCGGCTGCGGCGACCGTTGGAGTGTGAACCAACAGCAAAAGGAAGACCTTTCTCTCTATCTCTCTCACTGTCCACTCTGCCTGTCCAAAAAAAAAAAAAAAAAAAATAGTATAGTGCAGTCGTAACTTTCACACACACTGGGAAGCCAGACAATTAATGTGACTCTTTTTATTGACATTTGTAGAACCAAATGCACCCGGCCCTCCCTCTGTCTTGGGACTCTCAAAGGATTAACGAGCTGCGATTGCAATCGCTGTGAAATCCCACAGGAACTCATACCATGCCACGATGTGCTGTGACCATCTCACCTGCAAAGTTAAACGAACGCCCACCCGCAGTAAGGCGATGAAGCAAGAGCTCACCTTGGAGAAGCAGCCAGACACTGAAAGTGCCCATCTGATTATTACCCACTGGCGACCAAGGCATTTTTTTCCTTAAGTCTCCAGAATCAAGTTCAAGGTGCCGAGGTAGATGTCACTAGAGTTATTACAATGAGGATGCTAGACCCCTGCTCTCCACATGGTAGCCACCACCACAAGTGCCTCTTTTGGTGAACTAAGGCTACTCCTCTTTATCCAGATTCCATGCTTGCACAAATTCATCTACTTGGCTGAAATCAATAATGGTGCTCTTGGGATCATTCAGGGACATGAACAAGTACTAAAAAGTCTGAGCTGGATGTGTGTGCTCCCAGCTGAGTCCAACAAAGCGTTGACTTTTTTTTTTTTTTAAAGATTTATTTATTTAAGAGTTACAGAGAGAGGGAAAGACAGAGAGGTCTTCCATCCACTGGTTCACTCCCAAAATGGCCACAACGGCCAGAGCTGGGTCGATCCAAAGCCAGGAGCCAAGAGCTTCTTCTGGGTCTGCCATGTGGGTGCAGGGGCTCCAGCACATGGCCTAGCTTCCACTGCTTTTCCAGGCCATTAGCAGGGAGCTGGATTGGAAGTAGAACAGCCGGGACTCGAACCAGTGTCCATATTGGTTGCTTGAGAAAGCCTCAGAGGATGGCCCAAGTGCCTGGGCCCATGCACCCACATGGGCGGTCTAGATGAAGCTCCCGGCCCTCGACTTCAGCCTGGCCCAGCCCTGGCTGATGCGGCTATTTGGGGAGTGAACCAGTAGATGAAAGATCTCTCATCTCTCTTCCTCTCTCTCCCTGTAACTCTACCTTTCAAATAAATAAATCTTAAAAACAAAATACAACAGGGTTTCACGTGGCATAGGTGATTCAATTAATGAAGGCTGCATTACTGGGATCCAAGCACAAATTCTAGCCAATAAAGGTTGCAAAAAATAATACACTGTGATCAACAAGACTCCCAAGTAGGCTGCTTTGGTATGTCTGTACTATAGCAAAAACTGTTTCCTTAGTTATGTATATACAAGATTTTCACAGGGGCAGGTGCTATGGCGTAGTGAGTGAACCACCGCCTGTGGCACTAGCATCCTATATGGGCACCAGTTCGAGTCCCAGCTGCTCTAGATGTGCCTAGGAAAGCAGCAGAGAATGACCAAGTCCTTGGGCCCCTGCACCCATGTGGGAGACCCAGAATTCGAAGCTCCTGGCTCCTAGCTTCAGACAGGCCCACTTCAGGCCATTGTGTCCATTTGGGAAGCAAACCAGAGATGAAGGATCTTTCTCTCTCTGTGTCTTTGAAAGTAATTAATTAATTAAAAACAAAAACAATTTTTTTTTCACTAAGGTAATTCAGAAAGTTTGTGAAAAAGAGAGATTAAAAGACAAAGTTTATTTTGTGTCAAAAAATTTGAAATCCATGAACTACTTTCATAATACACATTTCCATGAATTTTTTGAAGACTGCTTTCACAAGATCATTTCTTTTTCTTTAAAGAGGAAATTTCTCGGGGCCAGCGCTGTGAGGCAGCGGGTTAAAGCCCTGGCCTGAAGCGCCAGCATCCCATATGGGTGCCGGTTCTAGTCCCGTCTGCTCCTCTTCCAATCCAACTCTCTGCTGTGGCCTGGGAAAGCCGTGGAAGATGGCCCAAGTCCTTGGGCCCCTGCACCCACATGGGAGACCTGGAGGAAGCTCCTGGCTCCTGGCTTTGGATTAGCATGGCTCCAGCCATTGCAGCCATCTAGGGAGTGAACCAGTGGATGGAAGACCTCTCTCTCTCTCTCTCTCTTTCTCTCCACCTCTCTCTGTAACAGTCTTTCAAATAAACAAAATAAATCTTTTTAAAAAAAACTTTGGTATTCTAAAATCATACTTGTGCAATATGATTAAAAAAAAAAAAAGATGAAATTTCTGGGCCAGCATTGTGACATACCTTGTTAAGCTATCACCTACAATGCTGGATCTCATATTAGAGCCCTGGTTTGATTCTCCACTGCTCTGCTTCTGATTCAGCTTCCTGCTAATGTGCCTGGGAAATTAGAGGGATGTGGCCCAAGTACTTGGATCCCTGCCACCCACCTGGAAGACCCAGATGGAGTTCCTGGCTCCCAGCTTCAGCCTGGCCCAGCCCCAACTGTAGTGGCCATTTGGAGAGTGAATCAGTGAATGGAAGATCTCTCTGTAATCCTTTCAAATAAAATAAACCTCAAAAAAAAAAAAAAAAAAGATGAAATTTCTTTTGCCACTTTTTGAGAACATAAATGTTTATTTTTGATGTCATAATACATTCAATCAATTTGTATTCATCAGGATAAATTTGGCAGGTAATATAATGAACTATTGTGTAAGATGAACATTTATACTCGAAACTGCATACAAAGATTTTGGCACTATTTTTGGAAAAAACTTTGTTACACACATTACCATTTCTCAAAATCTTGTAAGAGTTTCCAAACACAGATGTTTGAAGAAAAAAACCAGTAACAAGGAGCTAACAGCCAATCTGCAAGCAGTGGCAGGCACTGCAGGCTTGCAGGAGGCAGGTGGGGTGCACGCTGTCTCCGCCTCTCACAGCTGACCTGCTGTGCCAGAGGCACTGCTTTCCTAGGGCTGAGGCATGAAGCGCTGCTGCCTTTGCCCCATGTGCCGCAGCTGATGCTCTGAGACCTGCAGGCAGCACGCCACCACCTGCCCTGCAGCTGAGGACCAGGGGAGCAACAGGAACCCTGAGACCCAGGTTTTCCCTCTCCAAATAGACTCTCTCTTCCAGAGAGCAACTCCATCATGACATGTCAAAACTAGTAGGAAAAAAAAATCTTAAAACATCAAATGCAGGAGTTGGTATTGTGGGGCAGCAGGGTGAGCTGCCATCTGCAATGCTGGCATCTCTTATGGGCACTGGTTCAAGTTCCAGCTGCTCCACTTCTGATCCAGCTCCCTGCCAGTGTGCCTGGAAAGGCAGCAGCAGGTGGTCCACTTCCTTGGGTCCCTTCCCACCCACATGGGAGACTTGGATGGAGTCCCAGGCTCCTGGCTTCAGCCTGGCCTGCTCAGCAGTTGTACCCATTTTGGGGAAATGAACCAGTGGATAGAACTCTCTCGTCTCTCCCTCTGTAACTCTTTCAAAAAATAAATAAATCTTAAAAAAAAAAAAAAAAACACATCAAATGCAGTCACTTCTGATACTCCATAGTCACAGCTCTACCTGCTATCATTTGATTATGCTGTTGGCTTTAGTTTCATAAGGGCTTAGCAATAAAGTGCTATTTCCAGTATGTCCTATGCAGTGAGTGAACATGACCCTAGATACGCATTTTTCTAGTTACATCTTATTACTGCCCAAATCTTGGATTATACTGTATCATCTTTGATACACACCAGTATTTGTATACTCATCATGATCTTGATTTCAAGCCATGCTACAATACTGTGTCACTAACGTGATTTTTTTCTCTATCATGCTTTAGGAAAGTCAGCTTATTGATTGCTGTTGATTTAAGTTTAGGAGACTTTTTTTGTCATATCAGTTTTATTCATAATAGTCCCAAAATGGAAACATCTCAGATATCCACCCTTTGGTGAATGGATAAACAAATTATGATGCACCTGTTCCATGAAATATCACCCCAGTAACAACAACCTATGACACAGGCAACACGAACGCGTCTCAAAGTGACTGTGCTCGGAGACGCTAAACCACCCACGCTTCACGTCTGCTGGCCCCAGCAGACCTCACATCCAGGGCTCCCAGCCGATCCAGGTTCTGCCCAGGATATTAGGGTCCGTGGCCTGGTCAATCAAGCACTTCACTTGTGTCTCTGCAGAAAGGCCACTCTGTGGTTCTCGGGCACGAACGTTGTGATCTTTGCTTCCGCCAGCTACAGCCCTGAAATCCCCAAAGGCAGGTGTCTCCTCGTGGCCCAGAAGTAGCTCATCACTGCAAAGAAGAATAAACAAACATCAAAATACAAACCGTACATCACCCTCCTGTGGGGCCTGCACTCCAAGCTATCCTGCGAAATGTTCCTTCTCAATCCTCACCCAACTTCCTCTTGCTCTTAACCTTGAAGTTAAAGACTGGACGTTTAGGAAAATAGAAGGTAAAGGGCGTTAGTGTGGCGGCATCTGCTTAACCTGCAGGTCAAATGCTATGTCTGCATTTAACGTGTTGAGCGACTGCCAGACTTTCCACTGCTACCAGCAGTGCATGAGGGCCCCTGTTTCTCCACATGTTGCTAACACTGGCTGTACCCTCTTTGAAAATTAAACACAGCTTAGTGGGTAAAGTGTTGTCTCATCTGTATTTCCCTGGTGACAAGTCATGTTGAACATTTTTTTGTTTCACGTGCTTACTAGGCAGTTGTATATCTTTCTTAGAGAAATACCTATTTGATTCCTCCGGTCATTTTTTTTTTTTTTTTTTTTTGACAGGCAGAGTGGACAGTGAGAGAGAGACAGAGAGAGAAAGGTCTTCCTTTGCCGTTGGTTCACCCTCCAATGGCCGCCGCTGCAGCCGGCGCACCATGCTGATCCGATGGCAGGAGCCAGGATCCAGGTGCTTTTCCTGGTCTCCCATGGGGTGCAGGGCCCAAGCACCTGGGCCATCCTCCACTGCACTCCCTGGCCACAGCAGAGAGCTGGCCTGGAAGAGGGGCAACCGGGACAGAATCCGGCACCCCGACCGGGACTAGAACCCGGAGTGCCGGCGCCGCAAGGTGGAGGATTAGCCTATTGAGCCACGGCGCCGGCCCCCCTCCGGTCATTTTTTAAATTGGGTTGTCAATTATTGAGTTGCAAGAGTTTTTATTTATTTATTTATTTATTTTTTACCTATGCTAGATACGAGTTAACACAATAAGTTTGCAGAACATGGAATTCAAAGATGTTTATTTTGGTACAAGAGGTTTTGGAATCCAAGCATTAAAAAGGTCTTTAAAAGGTCATGGAAGGGCCAGCGCCGTGGCTCACTAGGCTAATCCTCCGCCTGCAGCGCCGGCACCCCGAGTTCTAGTCCCGGTCGGGGCGCCGGATTCTCTCCCGGTTGCTCCTCTTACAGGCCAGCTCTCTGCTGTGCCCCAGGAGTGCAGTGGAGGATGGCCCAAGTGCTTGGGCCCTGCACCCCATGGGAGACCAGGAGAAGCACCTGGCTCCTGGCTTCAGATCAGTGCGGTGCACCGGCCGTAGGTTGTGGGGGTGAACCCACGGCAAAGGAAGACCTTTCTCTGTCTCTCTCTCTCACTATCCACTCTGCCTGTCAAAAAATAAATTAATTAATTTTTTTAAAAAAAAGGAATTTTTTTTTTAATGTGAAAAGCAGGGGGAGGGAGGGAAGAGGAGGGAGAGGGAGAGATAGAGATCTATCATCTGCTGGTTCACTCCTTAAATGCCAGCAACAACTGAGGATGGGCCAGGCTGAAGCCAGGAGCTCCATTCTGGTCTCCCATGTGGTGGCAGGGGTCCTAGTACTTGGGCCATCTTTCACTGCCTACCCAGGCATATTAGCATGGAGCTGGATTAAAAATAGAGCAAAAGGGGCCCATATGGATGCTCCAATATGGGATGCTGGCAGAGCAGGCAGTGGCTTAACCCACTGTACTACAATGTTGGCCCCTAGTTTTAACTTTGACATTTAGTCTTTGATCCATTTTCAGTTAATTTTTGTAGATAGCGTGAGACAGAGATCCAATTACATTCTTCCACCAGGGCCTTTTTGTTGGAAAGATCATTTGATAGTCTTGGCATCCTTGTCAAAAACAAGCTGACATTTGGCCTAATAGTTGAGAAACTGGTTGAGTTGTCTGCACATCAGAGCACCTGGGTTCAATGCCCGGCTCCACTCCGGACTCCAGCTTCCTGCTAATGAAGACCTTGGGAGGCAGCAGGCAATGGCTCCAGTAGCTGGGTCTCCACCACCGACATGGAAGACTCAGATGGAGCCCCTGTTGGCCTGGCCCAGCCCTAGCTGTGATGGCATTTGGGGAGTAAATCAGCAGATGGACATCTCTCTGTGCTTCTCAAATAAATAAAATACACACGCACACGTAAGAGCTGACCAAAGACTGACATGTACTTAACTATAAAGCCCAACTACTTTTCTTCTCTGCACGTTCTCTCTATATTTTCTATTTACTTTCGACCTTAACATGAGAAAAACTGGAAGGCTGACCTAAATGCCAGCCCACTTGGATTGTCATCTAGCAAGCAGGCCCACGCCATGTTCTTCACACGTATGAAGAACACACACACACACACATTGCAGAACAAAAGCAAATCCAAGTGCCTGTCTCGTCCTGTGGGTAACGTAGCTGGCCACTGGAGAAGCCACAGCCTCTGTGCCCAAGGCTGCAGGTCCTCGCAGGGCTGGCGTGCAGGTTTCAGAGCCACGGGTCTCACCCTGGCTGGGGAAGCCCCGCTTTCCTCGTGGATAAAACGAGGACAGTGACACCATCAGCCCAGCTGAAGGTAAGGCACTCAGCGCTCTGCACGTACATCCACCCATTAGGAAACCGTAGCAGGGTGGGGCTATGTTATGGTTTTTTCCCACAAATTACAATCTTACCAAGTAATAACCGCTGGGTTGGCACCTGCTAACTTCCTCTCAGCGTAACGTATTTTCTGCCGGGGAAACCAATTTTTTTCGGTTACATTTACTTTTTGAATCCATGATCCTCCTTTTTTTAGCATTTTCTTTTCAAAACACTAAAAGAAGAGAACACAGCTTTACGACATTCACACAGAATAACTCACATAATTACCTAACAATACACAAGTACCTATAACTGGGAAGCACTCTACAGCTTTCTGTCCGAGGGCAGTGGTGGCACTGCCCCACGTCACCCCCCGGAAGGACAGCACCGCCAGGCTTCGTTCTTGAGGGGCGGTGTTAGGGATGGCCTTGGAGACTTAGGAAAGCACCGTCTGCTTGCTGGTCAAGTAAGAGCTCACGTGGAATGGCTTTCAAACTGAACACTGTGTCAGAGACACAGGGGCTGCCAGCCCCAGCGGGGTCTGCGTGCCCTCTCCTGGCAGCAATGAAGGCAACTGAAGCTACATTTCTCTCCAGTGAGGATTATTGTCTCTCCTCTGGTTTTCAGGCCACATGACCCCCAAATGTCAGTTTTTAAGAACTGCCATACAAAACCCTGGGAATTTTTAGGAAAGACTTGCTGTGTTGCTGTGACACAACAGGCCACAGCACAGGTGTGCAGGGTGGCAGAATGAAAGCTACCTTCCAGTCAAAGGAGGGCTCCTTTATGAACACGTCCATGGTGTTAGTGAGCAGGCCTGGGTCGGAGCGGAAGGCCCTCAGCGCGTGCACCATGACACTGTAGATAAGCCCCGTATCCTTCATGGGTAACATGAGATTGATAAACTGGCGGGTTAGGCGAAAAGGCATCAACTCCGGGACTGGCAGAAACTAAACAAGAGAAAAAATATCCATGCAAGAAGAAATATAGATTAGCAATGTCCACAGTAACAGGCACACATGAAACACATTGGCAACGCTGCTGTTCACATGAGTGAGAATCTCAACTCCACCCTCCTGGACACCAGTTAGAGAGAGGCGCATTCCAGTGCCTAAGAGCAGTCAACTCAGCTCGTGCCACCTCCCAGTGCAAAAGCCTGCACACGTGGGAACACGCAGCGGGGCAGGGAGTCACATTCAGAGGGTTTTGTCAGACCAGAGACCTGTGTCACATCCTGTGCAAGAGAGCTTGATTATGAGGCTTTATAAAGCTCAGATCCTCATCTTCATGACAAAACTGATCTGCACAGCCTGTGTGATCTGTCTGAACAAGGCCGGAATGGAGCCGAGATGGTTCCTTCTGCAAGAATGTCAAGTATGATGACCACGGCAAAACCCACCTCACGTGTCACTTCTTGAGACACTCTCCACTTCTGGAGGGTGACACAGAGCCCTAGGATGCTTCTAAAGTGGCCTGGAAAAAAAGAGAGGCCAGCACACCTGGGTAGCTGATCCAAAGGCATGGCCAAAGTCGATTCCGATCACACTCCCCGTCTCCAAGGCCACCATGAAGTTGTTCAGGTGTCTGTCCCCGATGCCTAGGACCCAGTGGCTCACACACAGCAGCGCGTGAGAGCTGGCGAAGTGGGAGCGGAGAGCCAGGAAGGCCTCGGGGCCGGTGCTCATCCTCACAAAGGCGCGCCTGCAGAGAGACAGCAGCTGTGGACCTGGCTGTGCCGCCGGCTTGGGCGCGAGCCTCACAAGGATACTTACTTTAAGAGGTCAGCGGGCACTTTGCTTTCTCTTTTCCTGAAGGCTGTGATAGTTTCAGTCCGATTAGCTCTCCTATGATTTAATGAAAGGAAATGTCTCATACAACAGAATTCCTGTGACTGGAGATTCTAATTTTAAAATTCTTTGTTTACAATGAAGCTCAAATATCAACTAGGTTTTGAACATTTCTGAGGCAAAGCTTTCTAGGAATCACAAGTGAATAAGTAACTTTAAGAAGAATGAACTGGTTAATACAAAAGGAAAATCAGAACAAAACTTACTTAAACATTAGCATATAAGCGCCAGTGCCACGCTTTCCCGACATTTTTGTCAGCCACTCACTGTAGTCACACATCGGTGCTTTGGAGTCACTAACAATAAGTAAAAGGGAGTTAGTATCAGCTAGATATTTAGCACTTCATGATTTCAGAGGCAAAGATCACCAAGGTGTCACTGAAAAATAGTGTAGAAGTAGGAAACATGATTTTAATCAGATGTTATCATACAGTGATCCCACATTACTCGGGATCTAGCTATTATGCATTCTTAGTTACTCATACAGAATCTCAAGCCATTTCCTACGCAAAAATCCAGGCCCAAAATAATCACATCTGATGAATCTCCCACTTCATACAGAGGCCCAAGATGCGATAAACCTAAATGCTTGTTCCCCAGGTGTGTAATTCCGAGACTCTCACCAGGAAAAGGGCGACAGCGAGGCAACAGCTCGACACGTGGCTGCTGCGAGCAGGCCGGCAGGAGGTCAGCACGCGAGCGCTCAGACACAAAGCCTGTGTGGGATCTGTCGAACACGGGCTAGGCCTGTCCTCTCCCTTATCACTGCCACACTTCACCACTTCCCAGATGGGGAGGCACGTACAGCCATAGTGTGCACAAGAAAGTGCTGTGTGAAATGACAATGGGTGCTCAAATTGGGCTTCAAAAGCTGTTCATGTTTCATAGAAAAAAGGCAGTACCTGAGGGGCAGGAAATGATGCAATATTTGCACATTTTATCAACTTTCGGGTTTGTGCCAAAAGCTTCAACAGTTTTTCTATGAAGATCCAAAGACAGAACAATTGCAAACGTGATTTGGCAGTTCAGTCACTACAGGTGAATTTTTTCTGAATCACAGATAAGTGAATTTCACAAACACAACACTCCATTTTCATCTGAGCTCTCTCCTAGTGCTAACGAAGATGAAAAGCCTTAGATTGTAAAACTGCAGAACTAAGGGAAAAACAGCAATGATTTTAAGTAACAGGTGGCTAGAAATCCCTCATTTTATTTATATTTACTTTTTAAAGAATTTTTTATTTGAAAAGAGTTACAGAGAGGGAGAGACAGAGAAAGAGAGATCTTCTATCCTCTGTCTCACTCCCCAGGATGGCCACAATGGCCAGGGCTGGGCCAGGCCAAAGTCAGGAACCAGGAGCTTCATCTGGGTTTTCCACGTAGGTGGCCATTTTCTGCAGCTTTTCCCAAGCGATTAGCAGGGACTGGATTGGAAATAGAGTGCCCAGAACACAAACTGACTCCCATATGGGATGCCAGTGTCCCAGGTGGTGGCTTTACCTGCTGTACCACAATGCTGGCCCAAATGTGTAGTCAGGGATAATGTTTACCATTCTGTGTTTGTTTTCAATATTTACGCAATTGTTTTTTAGATTTAACCAATTTTAACGTTTTTAGATTTAACCAATTTAACGTCACTTCATATGCAGTAATATATACAAATACACACATCACATACTATTCCTCTTGAAAGCAGGGATATTTATATCACATAATTTGAGTGTCTTAAAAACTGTCAAGTCAGCTGCACCTGTGCTGACCAAGCACCACCCTGAATCACAAGGCCCTGCAAGGCACAGGCACACAGGAGGCAAGGCCCTGCTCCAGCCTCAGCGCCTCATGGACAGCTCAATTTCACACCAGGAAGTTGTTCCACCAGCTTGCCTGTCTCCTAGGGGATAAGAACAATTCCAGGCAAAGCACTCTAAAAGTGTCTAGAACTAAAAGGTGGTAAACAGTGCCATATCTAGTCCCAATTACCCAGGAATATGAGTTTGGTTAAGAATATGCTTAATTTTACAGATACCCTCTGGCTGATGAGAATATGGGTCTTATTCAAATACTTTCCAGAAAGAATGAGAGCACAATAAGGAGAAATGGGTCTTGAATCTACTTTTTTTTCCCCCCAAATATTTGCATTTTCTTAATTTTTATTTTTTAAAGACTTACTTATTTGAAAGGCAGAATAGCAGAGTTACAGAGAGAGAGTGAGTGAGAGCTTCCATCTGCTGGTTTACTCCCCAAATGGCAACAATGGGAGGAGCTGGGCAGGTCTGAAGCCAGGAGCCAGGAGCTTCTTCTGGATCTCCCATGTGGGTGCAGGGGCCCAAATACCTGGGTCATTTTCCACTGCTTTCCCAGGCCCATTACAAAGAGCTGGATCAGAAGTGGGGCAGCTGGGACTCAAACGGGCACCCATATGGGATGCCAGCACTGCGTTACCACAGCACTGCCCCCTAGGCTACTTTTAACTATTTCCTCTTCCTTCACCTTATAGTTCATCACCAAAAACTGTCAGCTCTACCTTTAAGATCTCTCATCATGCTGTCCTTATTTTTCTTTACAGAAACAAAACACACATTTTAAAAACTCACCTGACTAGAAAACACGTCTGTTGTAGAAAGTGGAGATAAGGCAAAGAGAATAAAAGTAAAAAGCATGCAGAGAATTCATCTCTGATAACTCCAGCTATACCACTTATTCATGTGGAAGTGACAACCAGAGTGGACCTTGTAGAAGGCTGTGAAACCTAGGACAGTGCTAGGACACAGAAAGTGCTTAATTTCATGCTAGCTGCTAACCATATCACTGAGTTCCTTTCTTCATGGTTGTTCTTTTTCAAAGTTATACTTTTTTAAAAAACTGTAGTATAATACTCACAACTACTACTTAGTATCTAGCACTCCACTTAGATCATTCAGTCAGGCAAGAGGGAGGTGAAAGGGCAAGCCGGGGAGCGGTACTGTGGCACAGTGGGTAAAGCCTTGGTCTGCGGCGCCAGCATCACATATGGGGATCTGTTTAAGTCCAGGCTGCTTCACTTCCGATCCATCTCTCTGTTAATATGCTTGGGAAAGGCCGGCGCCGCAGGTCACTTGGCTAATCCTCCACTTGCAGTGCCGGCACCCTGGGTTCTAGTCCCAGTTGGGGCGCCAGATTCTGTCCCAGTTGCTCCTCTTCCAGTCCAGCTCTCTGCTGTGGCCAGGGAGTGCAGTGGAGGATGGCTCAAGTCCTTGGGCCCTGCACCCGCATGGGAGACCAGCAGGAAGCACCTGGCTCCTGGCTTCAGATCGGCGCAAGCGCCAGCCCTAGTGGCCATTTGAGGGGTGAACCAACGGAAGGAAGACCTTTCTCTCTCTAACTGCCTGTCAAAAAAATAAATAAATAAATAAATAAATATATATATATATATATATATATGCATGCTTGGGAAAGCAGGAGGATGGCCCAGGTGCTTGGGCCCCTGCATCCATGTGGGAGACCTGGAAGAAGCTCCTGGCTCTGGTCTGACCTAATCCTGGCCATTGTTGCCATTTGGGGAATGAACCAGCGGATTGAAGCTCTCTTTCTCTGTAACTCTGCAACTCTGCCTTTCAAATAAATAAATCTTAAAAAAGAAAGAAAGAAAGAACAAACAAACAAAGGCCAGGGTGGGTGTTGGGAGCACCACTTCATCTCTGGGAATGTGATGAGGAAGAAAGTGCCCTAGAGCCCACCCTACAGAAGGAAATGACACCTGGGCAGAAGCAGGGTGGGGTGGGTGTGAGGGGCAGTTAGCCTTCAGTTACCTGGTATAAGATGCTTTCTCCTCACGTGACATGTTATTCAAAAGGAGGTCTTTCAAGGTACAAGTATTTTCAATCCATTCAATTAACCCTAATCTGAAAAGGAGAATAAAAGTTTATGGGCAAGCACGAATCCAAACTGCTTTTGCTTCACTAGGAGAAAAGTTCCACACAATCAAACAAAATAGATTTCTCATGTCCCAACTTCTGGGGCCCCACCCCCGGGGTTTCCCAACATTTCTAAGTTCTCCAGGGTCCTCTGCTGTGGGACAGAAAGCACTTTGTCCAGAGACACCTACGCCCAGCCCAGGGACACATCCTCACACTTGGATCTGCATGGCCGCACCTGGAAGTCATGGGCACCACTCGGTATGTCCTTAACTGCATGTTTCTCTGGCTGCAGGCGGCATCACGGGACAGAATGATGTTCATGACCTCGAAGAGCTGCTCGATGCGCTGGTCCTGCCGAAGGTCCTCGCCACCCTTCACAAGGAAAGGGTGTTCTCGCTCATCATGGCCTCGCATGATGATGCGCTTTGGTTTTCTGAGAGAAGGCATGACTTTTACCTGTAGGAATCAATGAAACAGTTCCGGTGCAGTTGAGACTACCCCATCACGTCATCGGCAAAGAAGGAAAAGCAAGCATGAGTGCGTGCATTCCTCAAAGAGGGGCCTCCCTCTGAAGACAGGTGGCAGAGGAGATCAGAGAACCCAGACCAGCAGCTGAGTAGGCCAGCAAGTTACTTCTGTTACGTGCTCATGCCCAAGTGCTCTGCCCACAGAACTCTGTATCGCTGCTTACAGAAAACTGCTGGTGAACTTGGACATCCTTCACAACAAGCAAGAGCCACCCTGCACACCTTCTGCAGTAAGGCAACGCTACACAGAGTTCATGGAGGATGCACACACATGCTTTACTCTCCCAGATTCCTGTACCCCTGAGTACGACTGACACTGAAATGCTGGGGACATTGTGTTCAGAAACACAGTCCATAACAGAATCAGAGAACTCTGTACATTTGAGAGCAGTGTGGGAAGACGTCTCTTCAGAAAAGACATGTTCTCGTAACTGCAGAACTACCCAGCATGCACCATCAACCCATACCTACCCTCTCATCAAACCCTGTGATCCGAGCATGGTATTCCGGCAGTGGCTTTCCTCTGCCATCGTACTGACCTGGAACAAACCAGAGTCTGGCTCACACACAGCTGGTTGTACGACCTCTGTATTTTAAAACATAGTTGTTAATCTAAATTTCTTTTAAAAGATCTATTTATTTGAAAGGCAGAGTTACAGAGAGAGGAGGAGAGAGAGAGAGAGAGAGAGAGAGGGAGGGAGGGAGGGAGGGAGGGAGGGGGAGAGAGAGAGAGAGAGGTCTTCCATCTACTGGTTCACTCCCCAGTTGTCTGCAATTGTCTGCTGGGAGCCTGAAACTCCATCCTGTCTCCCATGTGGGTGTAGGGGCCCAAGCACTTGGGCCATCTTCTGCTACTTTCTTAGGCACATTAGCAAAGAGTTGAATTGGAAGTGGAGCAGTCAGTGGCTTAACCCACTGCACCACAATGCCAGCCCTTGTTAATTTTAAGAAGAGCTAATCTAATATAATAATTGTTTACCCAAAGCTTATATTTAAACAAAACTGACTTACATTTCCTTAAATGCTACTATTTCTCAATTCGAGTGATTAATGGAAATAAGCTCCCTATTCTTACAGAGCAAATTCCGCAGAGAAAAAAATGCATGCAATGAACAACACAAGGTCATCACAAGGAGAGCCAAGCTGCACACTGGACACCTCATTTACAGTTTTTTCTTTAAACTGATGGGATGTAATTGCATGGCTGCTAATAACAAAGAAACATTTTTGTCAGTGGCCAGGGCTGATGTAAGGGTGTCTGAACACTTGTTTGGGTCAGGAAGGGAAGTAAATATGATCTCATTAGACATTTAGTAATGTGTACTAGCTCATAGTAATCATGGATTTTCCTAATGACAAAAAAATACAGTGAAATTTCGAATTCTTTTAAAGACAGGTAACTGTCAAGATGCCAGTCTCGTGACTTCAGAAAGCAGGAGACCCCAGTGCCGCCAGCCACCCCGCGGGGAGCTCACCGGGAATCTCCAGCTCATCTCTTAGGAACTCCACTCTGAAGTTGCTCAGCCAGGGTGACCATTCTTTCAGATTCCCAGGCAGCTTCAAGTCTTTGCTCATGTTGAAAAGTAGTGAGTTGGCAACGTCATTGAAGTCACTGAGCTTCATTTGAAGCAGCTTTGTGCCTCCTTTCCCAAAGTGTTTATCAAATTCTTTTCCAAAGGCCTGAAATTAATAGTAATTGACCATAAGGATTAATGTTCAGTCTGAACTTTGGAAAAGGTTCTAAGCTTATGAATGCAACTTATTATAAATAAACAAGTGCCCAATTATACAGGTTTCTTTTGTGCTTTTAAGATTTATAGTTTTGCTTTCCTCGACTATTTGAATACTCTAAACATCTGGAGCTTGCCTTTGTTTTTTGTGCTCCTTTAGAAAGGTCATGGTTACTAGTGACTTCTAGTTATAAACTCTAATGAAGGCTTTAAAAACTTGGCAAAGTCATTTAACCTCTTTGTGTCCATTGTCCAGTCATGAGTCTACATTATTATGATGACACAAACAATTAGGAACAAAGTTGAAAACAACAAAATAAAAGGAGTAACTCAATAAAAATGAATAGTCCATAATTCTTCAAATGAGTTGAAGAGAAACATCAAAGAATGCTACTTTCCTTAGTATGGATCTTTTAAGCCATTGTTTTGCATCATAACCCAGTCTAAATATTACTTAAATTAATATTTCTAGTAACTGTTATTATTATAAGTACTCTACTTTGGAATTCACATCTTTGAATTAGTCCCTACTCAGATATTTATCTAAATTATAAACCTGATTAAATAAAAAAGGCTCAAGAGTATTACTAACAAGTAACTTTGTAGTTGTCAAGATGTACCCATTTTTAATTTGAAACATTTTTACCAAGTTTAAAAACAATTTATATACAATATAAATCTTGTATATTTGAAATATATACTCTATTTTAAGACAGCCCATTATAAGAAAACTGATATACAGAATTTCTTCTTTGCTATGTAAATGTATTAAAAGTAGAGAAACAGTGCCGGCATTGTGGTGTAGCGGGAAAAGCCACTGCCTGGGACACCAGCATCCCATACTAGCACCAGTAAGCATACTGGCTACTCCACTTCCAATCCACCTCCCTGTTAATGGCCTGGGAAAGGCAGCAGAAGAAGGTCCATGTGTTTGGGCCCCTGCCACCCACATGAAGCTCCTGGCTTTGGCCTGGCCCAGCTCTGGCTGTTGAGCCATGTGTGGAGTGAACCAGCAGACAAGGTGTCTCTCTGTCTTTCCCTCTCTCTGTAACTCTTTTTTCTTTTCTTTCTTTCTTTCTTTTTTTTTTTTTTTTTTGACAGGCAGAGTGGACAGTGAGAGAGAGATAGAGAGAAAGGTCTTCCTTTTCCATTGGTTCACCCCCCAATGGCTGCTGCAGCCGGCGCACTGCACCGCTGATCCGAAGGCAGGAGCCAGGTGCTTCTCCCTGTCTCCCATGCGGCTGCAAGGCCCAAGGACCTGGGCCATCCTCCACTGCACTCCCTGGCCACAGCAGAGAGCTGGACAGGAAGAGGAGCGACCGGGACAGAATCTGGCACCCTGACCAGGACTAGAACCCGGTGTGCCGATGCCGCAGGCGGAGGATTAGCCTAGTGAGCTGCGGCGCCGGCCTCTCTGTAACTCTTGACTTTCAAAATAAATAAATAAATCTCAAAAGAAAAAAGGGAGGCAGGAAGAAAGGAAGGGGGAAAAGAAAGAGAGAAATAAAAACAATCTACAATTCTCAAATGCTTGAGAAGATGATGAGCTGGTTCCCAAACATAACCAGCATCACTGTATTTGAAAGGCACACAGTCTTGAAGAATATTCTACCATCAAACTTGGGAAAGTTAATTTTGGTAGGTTATTTTTTAATTGATAAAAATTACTGATTGATTTGTGATGAGCTACAAAGTTCTGGATAGATTTCTCCAAGGTACTAGAAATTAAATTTCAAACAAATTGCCTGACTGGGAGGGGGTGTGTGCAGTGGTGGCAGCTGGGAGGCGCGATGGTCCACGCTGACAGATTTTTAGACTACCATCTGTGGTGTCCAGCATGCAGGAAAAGCAGGTGGCCAGGAACTGGAAGAGATAACATGCGGGGTTTGCTGGGGGTGTGTGGGGCTCTTCCACATGAGGATATTTTCAAACTGCAGGGCAGGGCAGGGCTAGCTGCAGGAGAGGAAATGCCCTAACACAGCCCTTCACAGGACAGCCCAGCTCCTGCTGGGTGAGGAGACCTGGTCTCCGTTCTACCCTGTTGCTCCCAACCCACACAGGACAAGCCACCTGCTTTTCAGCTCTGGCTAATTTGTTTAACACAAGATTGGGCAAACTCTGGCCTAAAGGCCACATCCAGGCTGTGGCTTGTTTTCATAAATGGATTTTGCGGACTGCCGCCAGCCACACCCACTCTCCCATGCACTGTGTGGGGCCATTTTCGCACCAGGACAGCTGATGTAAGTTCCAGTAATGGAGACTGGCCATACGGAACAGTGGTTTTCAGCGTATTCAAAATTGCGAAGCCATCACATCAATTGTAGAACATTTTCATCACCTGAGAAAAGAAACCCTATACCCATTGGCAGTTACTCGCCATTCCTCACTCCTGTGACCCCGGAAACCACTTAACTACTTTCTGTCTCTAAGTATTGGCCCGTTCTGAACAATTTATACAACTGCTTTCTCCCTCCTAGCACAGTGGCTCTGAGTTCATCCACTTTATTTCAGGTCATGTGGGGCCATCCCCAGGACTAGAAACTACTCCTGGTATTTAACTGTTCCTTTCCCTTCTGCCTCCTGAGTTAAGAGTCGCAGGAAGAGATTTTGTTTTGTCACCTTTGTCTCTGCACTACCTGGAACACTGCCTAGTATGAGGCATCTTTCATTAGATGAGTGATGGTGTAAGTCTTATAGGAGATTGAGTTTGATGGGTTGTTTCCGCTCCCAATGAAGTCGCCATCATCATCACAGCTACCGCACCCATCCATACCTGGATGAACCTCCTTCTGCAGGGCCCCAAGCCTGGAGCCTGTGGGTTGCCCAAGGCTGCATGCATTCTTTTATACATGTTCTCAATGTTTTTCTTATTTACAGCAGGTTTTGCTAGTTCAAGTCTTACATCGTCAGTCCAGTCCTATGCAGGAAAAAAAAAAAAAAAAAAGAGAGAGAAAAATCAAGCTAGTTTGCAAGTAAGTTTAAAGTTTAACCAAGTTGTACGTTCTACTTGCTAGAAGCTGTTCCATTACCTTAAAGATCAAATCAGGATTAGAGAGCTGTTCTAGGGCATTAATGAAATCTTGAATCATTCCTCCTTGATCCAACTTACTTTTAATCCTATTTAAAAAAAAAAGTTTATGGAATTAAACATCATCCAAAGAGCAGGCCTATTTATGTGTGTATATGTGTTATTTTTAAGTATATAAATTATAACATGTAATTTATATATTACAAAATTATATATGTGATGGACCCTATAATTATATTGACATTAAATATAATATATTTTTACATATATTAGCATATTTAAACCAATTAAGTACTCCAGGAAGGGAGCAATTTAACAGTTCCATCTCAGTATTACAGGAAGCACAAAGTATCTATTCTATGGAGTGTTCTTATATAAGGTAAAAGCAAATCTTAGAATAACGTCAACATCTTGGTATATACAATCTGATTCATATATTTCCTGAATTTATGAAAGAAAACATAATTTTGTCACATTTTCTTTCAAATCTTTCTCTCTTCCTTTGTTTTAAAAAATAATCACTCCTGGCAGTTGGCTCTGCAGAGAGAGCACACTGTGGCAGGCAGCAGGTGGTGCATGCACAAACTGGGACAGCGTGCTGCTGCCCTCCCACCTGAAACACCATGCACTTACCAAGTATTCTCGCAGGAGTCACATACCCCTGCTTGCTATGTCAACTGTCTCCACTCACAAATCAGCTGAAGTCGGGAAAAGGACAAGAACGCATTTCACTGACTCCTATTTCTAACTAAAGGACAATCTCAGGAGCTTATTAAAAAAACACCTCCTCTAGAGGCTGGTGCCATGGCTCACTTGGCTAATCCGCCTGCAAGTGCCAACATCCCATATGGGCACCGGTTCTAGTCCTGGTTGCTCCTCTGCCAGTCCAGCTCTCTGCTGTGGCCCGGGAGGGCAGTGGAGGATGGCCCAAGTGCTTGGGCCTCTGCACCTGCATGGGAGACTGGGAAGAAACACCTGGCTCCTGGCTTTGGATCGGCGCAGTGCTGACCATAGCGGCCATTTGGGGAGTAAACCAAAGGAAGGAAGACGTTTCTCTCTCTCTCTCTCTCTCTCTCTAACTTTACCTGTCAAATAAAAAAACGAAACAAAACAAAAAAAACACCTCCTCCGGTCAGTCTCAACCAGATCATTAATTACCAGCAAAGGGTAGGATGCTTTGTGAATAACACCGTAATAGGAAATGTTATTAAAAGAAAAAATAAATTCTATAGGAAGTAACACACCTGAAAAACATACATTCAAACAACAGATTTCTAAGATTTTTCTATTCAAGGAGAGCTCTACTTAACATGAAGGCAAACACAAGCTTCCATCTGTAACTTTTATCATACACATTTGTATGCCCTATAGTATTTAATCAAACTGATTTTTCTGTAGTATCACCTTGCCACAAACTCCTTATTCTTGTGGCCAGTGGATGTCTCTGGGAAGAAATAGCTTTCGCTGCTTATGGTAAATGGGTAGACAATGGCCTGTGGGTAGTGATGGGCAATCTCTTCCACAGTGTGCTGGACAGCTATGGCCTCCTCCTTGTCCAGCAGGGCCACAAGGTGGCTGGTCCAGCCGATGAACTGCCAGCAAGGAATGGAGGACATCTGGAACACAAAGAGCCACAACTTACTAGTGAATAGAACAGTTAACACTGGTGTAGCCCCAACTACATGTCTAAAGTAAAAAGCAAACAAACAAAAACATAAACCTGAAGCTCAAAATTAAAATCCTTTGTCCCACAGCCCTCTTTTGCTGAAGTACCCACTGGAGTATTCCAGATGCTTTCTGTATCTGTGTAGACATGGCCTTTGTTTTCGAGAATGGAATCTCATCATAGTGTTACTGGTTTTCCTTACGTTTACCCCAGTCCTTTTAACAGCTGCTCTGTGATGAACATACAGGGAAATTTCTCAATCGTTTTTGTGTTTTACTATTACAGATCATGCTACCATGGACATCCCTATAGTTTCCTCTTCTTTTTTTAAAAGCTTTATTTTATTTAGGGGTCAGTGTACTGGTGTAGTGGGTTAAGCTGCTATCTGTGATGTCAGCATCGCCTGTGGGTACTTGTTCGAGCCCTGGCTGCTCCACTTCCGATCAAGCTCCCTAATGCACCTGGGAAAGCATCAGAGGGTGGCACAAGTGCTTGGGCACCTACACTTCCACATGGGATACCTGAAAGACGCTCTAGGCTCCCGGCTTTTGCATTTAAATAAATAATAAATCTTAAATTTTTTTTTTAATTTTATTTACTTGAGAGGCAGAGTGAGAGAAAGAGAGGGGGAGAGACAAATGGCCACAACAACTAGGGCTGTGCCATGCTGAAGCCTGGAGCTGGGAGCTTCATCTGGGCCTCCCACCTGGATGGCTAGGACTCAAGCACTTCAGCCATTTACCGCTGCGTTCCCAGGCCATTAACAGGGAGCTGGATAGGAAGTGCAGCAGCTAGGACTCAATTTGGAGCTCCAATATGGGATGCTTTATCACAGGCAGCTGCTTAACTCACTGTGCCACAATCTTTCTGGATTTGTGCTATATACCTAAAGCATAGATTCTGAGAAACAGGAGCAGGTATCTGGCCTAGGGTGGGCCTTATACACCTCATATCAGAGTGCCTGGCATAGAGTCCTAGCTTGGTTCCCAATTCCAGTTTAACACTAATGTGCACCCTGGGAGGCAGTAGTGATGCCTCAAGTAGTTGAAACCCTGCCACCCACATGGGGACACCTTTACAGAGTTCCTGGCTCCTGGCTTCAGGCTGGTCAGCCCTGGCTGTTGACGGCATTTGCAATGTGTACCAGTGGAAGGGAGATCTGTCTCTTTTTCTCTGCCTTTCAAGCAAATTATTTTTTTTAATTTCTAGAAGTAAAATTATTATAACAACTGTAATGCACACTGCCATATTCCGTACACTTTTTTGTAATTCTTAAAACTATTAGAGTAACTACTTTCCAACATCCTTGCCAAGATTGGACACATTGAATTTTTGAAATCAATCCAAGAAGGAAAAAAGTCTAAGTTTTCATGTTTCATTATTAGCGAAGTTGAACATTCCATGTTTATTTGCCTTATACATTTTAATTATACATGCATTTCTTTTGACCATTTGCAATTGGCCTCCTGTGACCACTTATTTTAGAGACTGGAGCAGTCAGCTCCGCTTCTCACATATATATTGTAAACCACTTCCCTTCTGTACTTCCCCGCCCCCACCCCGAAGTTTTTAACTTTCTTTTTAGCATTCTTTTTTCCTCTGGCATAGAAGTGTTAAATTATTTTCCTTCATGGCTTCTGGTTTTTGTCTCTTTATTCCAAGACTGTTTTTAGAAATATATTCATATTTTCCTCTAATGTTTTAAGGTGTTACTTCTAAGATGAAGTCAGACACACTTGGAGTATTGGCATAAGGAGTAAGCTTGGGCAGGTTTCTTAACAGCATCTGTGAGCTGAGGACAGAGGACACGTGGGGACAATAGACAAGCGGCCATCCATGCAGCCCACGACGGGGAAGGAGACACAGGTCTGGCCATGCTGTCGCCAAGTGCCTACCAGGTGTCACTACAACGTTGACAATGGACGATTTTGGACAATAGGGTGACACTCCATTTATTTCCTCACAAATTCAAAGTGCTATTTTTACCATATATAAATAAATATGCTTATAATAAATATTATTTTGAGGAAAAGTAACTATTTGTTCCCTTATCCTTAAGAAAAACACATATAAACTGCATTTCTGAATTTACTTCGATCTGAATTCTTCATCATCTAAATTACTTGCGACTGCAAAAGCCCACCTTCAGAGTCCCTGGGCAGGTGGAGGGCGTGGCTACAGGTCCACACAACCTTCTTGAGCTTTCAGCTCAGAGGCTGGACCTTTTCCCCACTGCACACGTAGGCTTAGGGAGACTTCAGATGGCGCTGCACTTCCGCTCACCAGCAGCGTCCACAGGTCAGGAGCTCAGCTGCTGCAGCAGCCAGGTGTCCCCCACACGAGCCCCACAGATGTCACTGGGGGTGGGGAGGCAAGCGGAAACCTCTTCATTCTCCCTGGGCACCAACTGATGTCACAGACCATGGCTGCACTGGTGTGGGCAACCAGCTCCCACAGACACAACCCATTTCTGCCCCACACGTGCCCCTCCTGGAAGTTTTCGGGTCTTTTGTTCATCAGACACAGCATTCTCATCAACACCCACAGAGGAAAACGGGTAAATATGAACATTCTTCATACTAGTTTTAAATCACCCAAGTTCTCAGGTGTGACAGAACGCAACAAGAGCTGGGAAAAGGTGAAATACATGCGCTGCACGCCCTGACACATCTGTGTATGAGTCAGAATACATTCTGTAAGGTCCCTGCTGCTCGCAAGAACAAAGATACCAACCTCTTTTATCATGAGGCTCAAGGTCTCTTCTGGATACTGCTCTATGATCTGCAGTAACCTAGGGAACTTCAGCCTGGCTTCCATGGAATTTAATTTTAAAGCTTTCAACATTTTCTCCACCACAAGTGCTGGATACACCTGCAGGTCTATAGAATGAACAGCTACCAAGGAGAGCAAACAATAAAACAATGGTCAATATATCTACTTCAGCAACAACTGTGTTTTCACTCTTTGGCTTCTATTTTGTAGCCTGTCATTGTTCTCTTCCTAGCTACCACTTCAGATCAACAAAAAGCACCCATTTCTATGCTCCTCTCTTCAGTCTGAACCTTCCAAGAGCCGTCATTCTGCATGAAGCATAGCTTGCATCCTGGGGTGGGAACTGAAGGTTACTGACTTTATTCCAGGAGGAACAGGCAGGCCACATGAGCGAGTACCACCAACACTGCAGCAAACATCAAACAGTAAATTACTCAAATCAAAATAGAGAAAACAGCTGAACTCCACCTAAACACGGCTTGTGTTATAGGGAGATGCCACTTTCTCTGAAGAGGACAACAGCCTTTTCTTAACAAGATTTTCATTTGGGGAGGTGTTATAGTAAAGGGTTAAGCTGCCACTGAGTGTCAGTTTGAGTTTTGGCTACTCTACTTTCAATCCAGCTCCTTGCTAATGTGTCTGGGAAATAGTAGATGATAGCCCCAAGTACTTGAGTCTCTGTCATCCCCATGGGAGACCTTAATGGAGTTTAGGGCTCCTGGGACTGGCCTGGCCCTGCCCTGGCTGTTGTGGCCATTTAAGCAGTAAATCAGTGGGTGAAAGAATTTGTGCCCTCATTCTCTTTCCCTGTCACTCTGTCTTTCAAATGAATAAATTTTTAAGCGCACTGTCATTTAAAAACAAATAGGAGGGGCTAGCATCGTGGTACAGTGGGTTAAGCCATTGCTTATAGAAGCTGGCATCCCATTTTGGAGGATCGGTTCAAATCCCAGCTCTTTTGCTTCCAATCCAGCTGTCTGCTATGTCCCTGAAAAAGCAGCAGATAATGGTCTCAAGTACCTGAGCCCCTGACATTTATCTGGGAGACAATGATGGAGTTCCTGGCTCTTGACTTCAGCCTGGCCTAACCCCAGATGTTGCAGACATTTGGGGAGTATACCAGAGGATGGAAGATCTCTGTCTCCTATGTCTCTCTCTCTGCCTTTCAAATGAATAAATCTTTTGAAACAAAAAACAAGTAGGAATCCTAAAATATCTACAAAACTCTTTAGACTATGCTGATGTCACAGGACACTCACTTGTCTCTTTCTTCTGTGATTCATCCGATGCATTCTCTTCCTCCTTGCGTAGCTGCTGGTCACAGAAATCCACCAGGGTCATATAGGCATCGGCCACCCCAGCTGTGGGCCCCAGGCCCCCGGAGGAAGGCTGAGCCCCCTCCTCGGCGGCATGCACGGCCCGAGAGAGATGGTGGAATGCTTTCTGGTACAGACTGGCGATCACCTGGAATTCACACAGACCCCGAAAAACCCATGGGTGAGACTGAAGCCTGCTCAAAGGCCTCCACTTCCCACGTGTGATGATGAAGGGAAAATACTTGATTTGTGACCTATGAAGGAATCAACAGCTCCACCATGCGCTGAAAGCAAGTTAACTGGAAAAGGAGAGTCTGCCCTGAGAGGGAATAAGCAATCTCAGTGAGGGTCTGTCTGAGCACAGAACAAGCAGTCAAGCAGAAAGGACCAAGATGAACACGGGCCCCACAGTCCGTGAGCCTCATGGAGCTGGACCCAGCCAGCAGGGTCATGCAGCTCTGCCAGGAGCTTCAGAAAGAGACAGAAGATCGTGCCTTCCACTCAATTCCACGAGACCCTGATGGCATCATGGAAGGAGAAGGCAAGACTACCCCACTGATGAAAAGAAGGCAGGTAACTGTCGACAGTCCCAAACAGTCTGACAAAAGCCAAGCAGAGCAAGCACTGAACAAAACAGGAGGAGAAGCTGCTGTGTCCCCCAGGCTGGTGGGAAGTCTGAATGGCGACTGCTGGGGAAATTGCATTAACAAAGTTCATGAAAGAGCTGTCACATCAATCCAATGAAAATTTCTCATTCTTCATACTAAAAAATTTTATCCTTCAAATAAACAGGAAACACATGGAATCTGTCAATTTTCCACATAAGAAACTTGGCTGTGCACAACTGTATTTTAAGAACACAGAGAAATACTTCATTACTCCCCTGCAGCCTGGGGGCTGCACACTGAACACACAACAGCACCCAAACCTTCCCGCCCTCATTACCATCTCTATGCTTCCTGAACTGGATCCAGAAAGCTCCAAAATTCTTCTGGCCTTGCTCTCTTCAATGTTAGCCAGGCAGCCTGGCTCACTGCTGAGTGCATTAGCCATGATCCTGTATGTTGTACCCAGGAGGATGTTCTGATCACACAAAGCCCAGATATTTTTGCTTAAGTAGCTTGAAATGTTGTGTTCATCTGTTGTTAGGTTAAAATTAAAAACAAACAAACAAACAAACAAAAAAACACCGTATGATTGGTACTGAAGTAAATGAGAAACATAAGAAATTCATTGTATACAAAACTGGTTTTCCATTAAGAAATTGTTTAGAATACATTTTGAAGGTACATGAAACCGACTTCAAATTCTGTTTAGGGAATTTCTTAAACTCACTCATTCATGAGAAAGGTTCTTTGTCAGAGTGAATCATATCAGGTTACACAGAGGCTAAGCAATTAGAACTCTGAATTTTTACCTCACTTGTTGTCAGTGCCCCTAATTCTGTCTTTCAAAGAACAGAAAATGGCTCTTAACAAGGCATTTATGCATACACACTGCTAACCCAGAGTGGGTTTCTGAACTGATATTATGGATTACAGATGACAAAGTCACAGTCTCTGCTGCACTGAAAACTCAGGTTCTCATGTGCAGGGCAAGGAGCTTCACTAGCCCTTGACAGTGCTCTGCCGGCACCTCCTCAGACACAGGGTCGCTGCTACTGGCTCTGCCTGCCTCACAAGGCTGTCATAAAATACAAACCTACTCGGCACCCCACAGAGTTATCTAATGCATCAGATGATGGTTCTCCGAGAGGGGTCACTGAGGAAAGACTGCTTCTCCTTTGAGCACTTTTCGCTGAGACTGACACTTGGGCACAACACTGCCTTGAGGAAGAATCCACTATCAGTGCTGCCAGGTACGCCAGGATGCCCGGCTCCAGCAGGGCCATCAGATCTGGACCCATGCCTCTACACGTTTTTCTGCCCCTCGGTCCTGAAGGCTACATTATAATGAAAAGAGAATTAGGAAGGCAAAAGGGTTTCATGTTGAATCTTTTATATCTTACTTGCTTATTACTCTCAAAGTATTTAAACTATTAGGGCTGTATTTTCATCAAGTATTAAAAAGAAAAAAATCTTAATTTCCATTGTAGCTTATATATAAAAGCACCAAATATCGTACTCAATAGCACTCTTAAAAACCCCAGCTCAGCCGGCGCCATGGCTCACTAGGCTAATCCTTTACCTGCGGCGCCGGCATCCTGGGTTCTAGTCCCAGCTGGGGTGCTGGATTCTGTTCTGGTTGCTCCTCTTCCAGTCCAGCTCTCTGCTGTGGCCGGGGAAGGCAGTGGAGGATGGCCCAAGTGCTTGGGCCCTGCACCCGCATGGGAGACCAGGAGGAAGCACCTGGCTCCTGGCTTTGGATCAGTGCAGCACCGGCCGTAGCGCCCATTTGGGGGATGAACCAACAGAGGGAAGACCTTTCTCTCTGTCTCTCTCTCTCACTGTCTAACTCTATCAAAAAAAAAAAAAAAAAAAAAAAAACCACAGCTCCAAATCTTATGCTGTAGTCCCAAGGAAATGACATCACCCTCTCAGGCACACTCTGCTTATTTACTGAAGTTACTACAGAGATGTAATCGCCAAACATCAGGTGAATGAAGGTCAACACATGTCACACAGGACATGACATGGAAGGGCAGTGGACAGTGTGCAGGGTCAAGAGCAGCCTGTACCCAATAGCGAGATGGTCTTCAGCACAGCGAGGATCCGCTCAGCCGGGCTCTGCCCGTGGCTCCGGCAGTGGCTCAGCCGGCAGTAGCTCTGGACCCATGGCACCAGCCGCTCGGTGCTTCCTTTGGACTCTCGGTGCAGTTCCTTAAGTAGTTTCATGGCAAGTGAGAAGTTGTTCTACATTAACAGGAGAAAAAGGGGCATGATGACAGGCAGGTGGCAGTGGGAGAGATGAAGCTGTCTTACAAATAAGCCTTAGATTGGCCGCTTCCCTTGCCCCACACAGTCTGCCTTGTAGCAGCTTGCCTCTTTGCTTAGCTGGGAGCTTGCTACTTTGCATTTCATTTCAGTCTACAACTTTTCAGGAGGAGAACACTGACAAAGTTGGGCAACCACCACTACTGTCTTATTCCAGACACTTTGTAACCCCAGGAGAAACCCTTGGCCCAATGACAGCCTCTCACTCAAGTTAGTAAGTAGCTTGCTCCTCCTGTGTGCCCTCCCCAGCCACCCTGTCTCCTCACCCAGTCAATGTGACTGCTCCCAAGGGCACTTGTGCCCATCTTGCTCCCAGGACTTTGTTGCTCAATTGCACAACAGTGCCCAACCAATCAGAAGCAGCTACAATGCAACCTGGGTTGCACTCAGGAGACCAAGCGTCCCCAGGTCCTTCTTGGGTCTCCATTCCCTACTCAGACACCATGGCTCCCCCAGGAAGCTTTCTCCCTTCCCCCACCTGAGGGGCACCCTTCCACGTGACTAGCCTTTGCTACTTATCACAAAGCTGCTGTCTAGCTACGGTCTCCACAATGCTCCACAAAGCACCTCCAGCACCTGATGAAGTGTGGGCAACAAGAAGAGGTGAAACTCAAATTCAAATCACTAGTTTTGAAGAGCTCTTAAGAGTATGCGCAGGTAAAGTGGAAACCAGTGAAGGCTTTCTGTGGTCTTCAGCTGTGTATTATTCTTTGTTCCTCCACCTCTAGTATTCCTGGTACTGACAGTAATTAGCTGCTATTTATATGTGAATATATTGTTGAAAAATGCTGAAGAACACTGAACATTCCATCAGAAAGATTTTTAGCTTTCTTAGTGATTTTCACAGGATTTCTCAGTAATATTTCTCTTTTAGAATTACATTTTTTGCTTTGCAATAGCAGTCACATGAGCTATAATATATTTAAAGAATTATATGCAACTTTTAAGCAAGGCATACTTAGTATCAAGAAAGGGTCTTATTAAATGATAGATTTCTACAAACTGAGCCTAAAACTAATTTGAAACTTACTGGCAAGCATTTATTTTGTTAAATGAGATCAAACCTGATGTTATTTATTTGCTTTTCAAATAATAAACACTCTGAAATGATTAACAAGCACATAACAAACTTGAGATGCCTTCTGTATAAGTGTTTCTTCATGTTTGCTGTCTTATAAAGAGAAAAAACACACTATTTGATTTTTCAGCTTCAGACTTCAAGGAAAAGCTAAGTTAAGGGAAAAAGCTAACTGAGGTGGCCTCTGGCCCACCACAGAGAAGCAGGGTCACGGGCCCCCACCTGCTTCCGAGCACTCTCTGCCATCCGCATCTTCATGGAGAACTTGCAGCTCTGGATCAGCGAGCAGATGTCTTCCTCCTGTGTGTTCACCTCCCTGCTGAGCCGGGGATCCTCGTCTTCATCCACACTCATGCTGTGATCGTCTGCGAGAGAGGGCAGCTTCTCCTCGATCTTACTGAGAAAGAAACATCTACACAAAGAAAAGTGAGACTGCCGTCAGACTCGTGAGACAAAGCTGTGATCACGGGGAGCTCCCAGACAGCTCCCTCAGACAGGAGGTCCACAGTTGGAAATTTCTGCCCACCTTCAGAGTACGAAAGTACACTCTAGGTATGGGACTTACTCTCCACTTTAATAAACCAACACTTCAAAGATCACCAAGGATATTTCTTTTCTTTTCTTTTCTTCTCTTTTTTTTTTTGACAGGCAGAGTGGACAGTGAGAGAGAGAGAGACAGAAAGAAAGGTCTTCCTTTGCCGTTGGTTCACCCTCCAATGGCTGCTGCGGCCAGCGCGCTGCAGCTGGCACACCGTGCTGATCCGAAGCCAGGAGCCAGGTGCTTCTCCTGGTCTCCCATGCGGGTGCAGGGCCCAAGCACTTGGGCCATCCTCCACTGCACTCCCGGACCACAGCAGAGAGCTGGCCTTGAAGAGGGGCAACCGGGACAGAATCTGGCACCCCAACCGGGACTAGAACCCAGGGTGCCAGCGCCACAGGTAGAGGATTAGCCTATTGAGCTGCGGCGCCAGCCAAGGATATTTCAACAGAACTTTCCAGCTATTACTTAATGCCTCCAATCCATAAAATAGAGCATTTAGCTCACAGTTTTCTCTCTCAATGAATGGGCATTATACCCTGTGTTGTGGGAAAAGCCATTTATTCTTGCTGTATCTCTCTGAGGTCTTACATCCAAAGTTCAGAAAATTAAGGCAGTGAACAGTTATAAACAAGCACTGAGAATTATGAAAGACATGTCTGGGTTGGTATAGGGTTCTTTTATTTGTTATCATCATTTATTTTGTATATGTGATCTTGTTTAAGTGCCTTTATGTTCATTAATATCAGTAACACTGAAAAACAGCCTTAACATAATAATAAAGTATATCCTTGCTCAATAATCAAGTAACTGTTGTTCATCCAGGGACTAATTTCTGATTTCTTAGAAACCTCATGGCCAGGTAAAACCAGTATAACCAGTATGCCTCATAACTCTTTCCTCTTCTGTTTTGGTTATTCCTAAGATGCAAGCCTCTCTGGCCACCCATCTACTCCTGCTTTCCTCACTCACCACACTGCTCTGTGCTGCTCGAAAAGAAATTACCTTAGCTACCCCTGCACTACCAGAACAGCTAAAGGACATTTTAGCTAACAGCAAATGATACCAGAGGAAATTTGAATAGAAGTAGAATTAAAGGGAGAAATAGATAATTCCATAAATTTTAACATCCATGTTTCAGCAGTTGATGGAATCAAAGAAAAAAATCAAACTCTTTTATATGGAGATAGCTATATGAGACAGCTGGACATTATAAAAACACACACACACATATAAATAAAAGGCCCATATGTGTATGGTTAATGCATTCTTCCCCAAAAAGGTGCCACAGCAATTATGAAAAGGCAGACTTCAGGGGCTGGCATTGTGGCATAGCGGTAAAAGCTGCTGCCTACAATGTCAGCGTCCCAAATGGGCATCAGTTCAAGTTCCGGCTGCTCCGATCCAGCTCTCTGCTATGGCCTGGGAAGCCAGCAGAAGATGGCCCAAGTCCTTGGGCCCCTGCACCCACGTGGGAGACCCAGAAGAAGCTCCTGACTCCTGGTTTCAGATTGGTGCAGCTCTGGCCATTGCAGCCATCTAGGGAGTGAACCAGCAGATAGAACTAACTCTCTCTCTCTCTCTCTCTCTCTCTCTCTCTCTCTCTCTGCCTCTTTGTAATTCTACCCTTCAAATACATAAATCTTAAAAAAAAAAAAAAAACAGACTTCTGGAAAAAAAGGTTAAAAAAACTACATATCCATACAGAAAAAGTGAACATCCACTATACCTCATGCCACCTACAAAAATTATCTTCCAATGGCTCATACACCTAAATGTAAAACCAAAACAACACAATTCCTTGAAGAAAACAAGAGAGTAACTTTGCAAGAGGAGCCTGGAATATCAGTTTGAACACTCACCAGACAAAGGCAATTTGAAAATGAAAAAGACAGCAATAGGTTATATCCCAGTAACTAAAAGTGGAATCCTTGAGTCTATACCATTTATTTTTTTAAAGTAGATTAACAGATGAGAAAGGGGGTGGGCTTCTCCTTAAGACACGGACTGATAAACATGAAACAAGTGGTGGACTTAGAAGTTGTTACACTGCCACCATCCTTGTCAGGACTGGATGGGCCAAGAGCCAGCCACAGATGTGAAACACGGAGGAACATGTCCCATATTCCAAAGGACCTATCACAATAGTTTCTCACTAGTTGCAAAGGAAAAAAATTGCTTTAATACATGAGAGATCAGACAACATTTTAACCAAGTGATCAAAATGACCATTACTAGTAAAAGGCAGATGGACACTGTATACCCAACATGTGATGTTGACAGCTTAAGAACTCAGGGAGGGGCTGGCGCCATGGCACAGTAGGTTAATCCTCTGTCAGCATCCCATAGGCGCACCGGTTCTAGTCCCGGCTGTTCCTCTTCCGATCCAGCTCTGCTATGGCCTGGGAAAGCAGTGGAAGATGGTCCAAGTGCTTGGGCCCCTGTGCCCATATGGGAGACTGGGAGGAGGCACCTGGCTCCTGGCTTCAGATCAGCACAGCTCTGGCCGTTGCGGCCATTTGAGGAGTGAACCAATAGAAGGAAGACCTTTCTCTCTGTCTCTCCCTCTCCCTGTAACTCTACCTCTCAAATAAATAAATAAATACAATCTTAAAAAAAAAAAAAAAGAACTCAGGGAAGGACTATCTGGCTAAGGGTGGGTCATCTGAATTTCATCATGAGGAAATGACATAAACCCATGCTGAAGAACTTTCCTCTAAGCATCAGTGCCATAAAAGACAATAAAGTAATAATATACGGGCGGGGTGAGGAATGGCTCCAGATTAAGGGAGACTAAAAAGACACATCAACTAAACGCAATCCACAATTTAGGACTGGCTCCATTCATGTAGGTAGAGAAAATGCTATCAGGGACATTATTAAAATCGGACTGCAGATTAAAAATGAAAGCATTAGGGTAGGTGTGTGGCGCAGCAGCTGGGGCTCTACTTGGGATGCCCTCATTAAACATAGGAGTGCCTGGGTTTGAGTCCCGCTTCTGCTTCTGATTTCAGCTTTTTGTTACGATGCACCCTGGGAGGCAGCAGTCAATCGCTCAAGCACTTGAGTCCCTGTCACTCATATGAGAGAGCCAGACTGAGTTCCTGGCTCAGGGCTTTGGCTTGGCCCAACACCAGCTTTTGTGGGCATTTGGGGAGTGAAGCAGCAGATGGGATATCTCTGTCCATCTGCCTCTCAAATAAAACAGATTAAAAAATATGCAAGCACCAAAGCTGATTACTCTTTCTTAGGAAATGTACACAGATACAAACAGGTAAAGGGTCATGATGTGTGCAGCTATGCTCAAATGGTTCAGGACATAAATAATCTGTGTACATGAGTGGAAAGAGTAAAAAAGTTATATGGCAACAAAAAAAATTTGATCTTTGTAAAAGGCACACAGAAGAATTATATTTTTCTTACAACTTTTCCATGAGTAAGATCTTTTCTCAAAATAAGAAGTTTAAAAAAAAGTATTAGTAGAGGAAATAATGGAAGAACTTAGGGGTCAGAGCCCTTCAGTCCTATTTTACATGGATACAAGGGTATTTAAAAAGGTTTGTAGGAAATGGAATTAAAAGGCTATTTTGGTCTAAAAAAGTTTTGAAATCCATGTATAACTTTTCATAGTATGCATTTTCCATGAATTTTTGAAAACCCCCTAGATGCATAAATTTCTAATTTTTTCACCAAAATAAACTTACCTTTTAATTCCATTTTCCACAAACTTTTTGAAGTACCCTTGTACCTGCACAAAGTAATTCACAACCTCCCTGATTCTGCTGCCCAAAGTAAAAGCTTAGCGTCCGCCACCTCGATCCTGTAGTGATGACCCAGGATGGGTAAGCCGAGGGCACGAGAGTGAGCGTAAACCTGGGGAAGCGAGACTCACACGCAAGCACATAACACAGGGAGGAGGCATGTCAAAACAGGTTTAATAGCAGAACAATAAAAGGTCCTTACACAGTGTACTCGGTTGCTGTCATCCATCACCTTAAAGGCAGTGGTGAGACAGCAGATGCAGTCGCCCCTGCAGTCCCCGCCTGTGCTACGCCCCCTACCAGAGCATGTGGCCAGCAGCCAGCAGCACCAAACACCTCCTAGATGGGTGGGCAGCAACTCCCCCCAGGGGGCAGGCAGGGACAAGACACACAGCAGTTCTGTTAGAACAAAAATGGGCATCGGCATGACAAAACAGAGTTATATTAGACTCAAATACCAGCTTTCTTTTTTTTTCTTATAATTTTATAAACAATTTATTTTATTTTAGAGTGTACGAAACAGGCAATCCACTCCCCAAACGCCCACAACAGTAAGAGCTAGGCCAGGCTGATGCCAGGAGCCAAAATTCAATCCAGGTCTCCCACATGGGTGGCAGAGACTCAAGTACTTGAGCCATTAGCTGCTGCCTCCCAGGGTGCACATTAGAAGGAAGTTGGAATCGGGAACACAGCCAGAACTTGAACCCAGGCACTTCAACACAGGAAATGGAGTTCTCAACTGTGGCTTAACCACTATGACAAACACCCATCCCAAACTCCAGTTTTTAAAGCAATAGTTTGAGAGAAAAAACATTCTCACAATTTTAGAAAAAAAAATTCCACATTTGACTCAAAAGGACCACGTTTTACCGATTTGTGATGATGTCATCCCAGATGTTCATTGGGTCCATGTTTGCATCTGGATATCTGTTTGTCCAGGTTTTCAGAAGTCTCCTAAGGGGAACTTGAGATGATAAATTACCTAAAAATAATGTTAGAGCTTAATCAATGATAAGACCAACTGACAAAGTAGGGTCATCATTAGTAAATAGGAAATACAAATTTTCTCTCCAAATTAAAAAAAAAAATCTTGTCTTTTCTTTTACAAGAGCAGCAGGAAGTTACCCCACCACTCCTATATTCTGATGTTTCACCCTCACCATTTAAGGATATAAAGATGGGAACTGCAATTCTTACTTTTACCACAGGTCCAGAATCCCTCATCTGCAATTCCAAATCTAACAAGCACTGAAAACGGAAAAGAGTTTCATGGTGTTGCAGCAGTTTCTCAATGGCAGCATCAGGTCTGAATGGGCACAGGATTACTCAGATCTTTGTATATAGCATTAATGTGGAGAATCCTAACAGAGCCAGTGACTTATGACTATGCTTCGCTATGGGTCGCTACCCAGCCCTGGGGTGTACACAAGGCCCCATTTCTAGCACTTGAGAGAATCTGGCCTTGAGGGTCTCAGAGGGGGATTCACACTAATCCTGTGAATTTGAAATTGCACACTGTTCATGCAGAATGCTTTAGCTTTCTCTTTTCTGTTGCTGGGAACCAGAGGATGGGAAACTGAGCTCAGATCAGATAGCCCTGGATTCTAGATCTGGACCTTTCACTTACTACTACCTTAAGTGAGTCCTCCAGTCTCTCTAAGCCTCTATAAAATGGAGGAGGGGGAGGTGAATGGGAAACTACATCTCATAAGGTGTTAGAAAAGCTAGGTTATACAAAGAGACTAACATAGCTCATGGAAAGCAGGAAGCACATAATAAAATGCTGCACCATTAACAGTATGTACTCAAAAAGTAACTCTCCAAATTTAAAGCAGGAACAATTGGGCAGTTAGATATAAGTAACAATTTTTACTATTATTTAAAAAGTTTCTTTTGTAAGGATTTTTATTTAGAATAAAAACTGAAATGTATTTTATTATTTATTTAAGTTTCAAATGGTTACAGCCTTACCGAAGCAAGGAGCCAGGAGCTTCATCGGCCTCCCAGATGAGTGGCAGGAGCCCCGCTGCTTTTCCAGGTGCATTAGCAGGGAGCTGGATTGGATGTGGAACAGCTGGGACTTACTGGTGCTTATATGGGACACTAGCATTCCAAGTGGCAGCTTACCTGGCTGTGCCACACTATTGGTCCCTCAAAATTGAAATTTATGACAAAGATGTACCTGTTCCATTAGAATCCTGCATGGCTTCCCATGAGCACCAGGTTAAAACCTACTCATGAGCATGCACAAAGGCCCTGCACTCACAGTGTCATTGTCCTGTCCTCAATCTGGGAGGCCGAGCACCTAGTAACAGCCACCACAGCAGTTTTCTGCTTTCCACTGGACTCTGTGAGCCCCTTCCCTTCACACAGCACTTGAGACCTCCTCCCCTGGTCCTTGGGCACGTGTGCTGTGTAGTCACCAAACCACATGAGCGCCTCCTCAAGCTGGCAGTGACATTTCCTCTGGCTTTGCTTCCACAGTGCCTAGAACAGCACCTGGTCATTTCAAAATCTTATTTCAATAGTCTTGAAATACTTATTTGTGGAATAAATCCAAGGCACTTTCCTCCCTATACACTAAGAAATATGCCCTTTCACTAAGAAAAAAAAAATCAGATGCTAAAGCTCTTCCATAATTAGAAAAGAAATAAAACAACAGCAAGTTAAGATAATTACCTTGTTTACTCATAAAGCCAATGAACTCCTGAATTTCTATCAAAGCCTGGACAGACTGTAATTTGGTGAGCCTGCTTCTGTGTAAGAGGACATCGATGCTAGAGTAATTCTAGAAAAAAAGGTAGTGGGTATTGCGGTAAATCAACTTGCTACATAAAATCCGGGATATTGGTCTCTGACACATGAAATACAGCAAATGCCCTAGAAATATATCAGTTACCCAATGTCTCAGCATGGTTGATGCTTTTTTAAAAAAAAATTATTTATTTACTTATTTATTTGAAAGACAGACTGACAACAGAGGGAGGGAGAAATACACACACAAAGAAAGAGAGAGAAAGAGAGAGATCTTCCAACTGCTGGTTCACTCCCCAAATGGCAGTAACAGCCAGGGCTAGGTCAGGCAGAAGCCAGGAACAGGAACTCCACCTTGGTCTCCCACTTGGGGAGCAGGAGCCCAAGTACTTGGACCATCATCTGTTGCTTTCCCAGGCACATCAGCAGGAAGCCAGATGGAAAGCAGAGCAGTGGAGACTTGAATCTGGACTCCAGTATGGAATGCTGGTGTTGCAAGCAGCATCTTAACCTGCTGTGCAGCAACATTTTTATTTTTATTTTACTTTTTTAGACTTACTTATTTGTTTGAAAGTCAGAATTACAGAAAGGGAAAGGGAGAGAGAGAAAGAGAGAGAGAGAGAAGAAAGAGATTGAGAGAGAGAGAGAGATCTTCCATCTGCTGATGGTTCACTCCTCAAATGACTGCAATGGCCAAGACTGGGCCAGATGGAAGCCAAGAGCCTCACCTGGGTCTCCCACATGGATGTAGGAGCCCAAGCACTTTTGGTCCATATTTCACTACTTTCTAAGACCCATATGCAAGAAGCTGGATCAGAAGTGGAGCAGCTGGCATTCATATGGGTTGCCAGCATCGCAGGCGGTGGCTTTACCCACTATGCCAAGGTGCTAGCTCCCAAACAGAACTTTTTAAAGAAAAAAATGATTGGCTGGAGCCGTGGCTCACTTGGTTAATCCTCCGCCTGTGGCGCCGGCATCCTATATGGGTGCCAGTTCTAGTCCCAGTTGCTCCTGTTCCAGTCCAGTCTCTGCTGTGGCCCGGGCGGGCAGTGGAGGATGGCCCAAGTGCTTGGGCCCCTGCACCCCATGGGAGACCAGGAAGAAGCACCTGGCTCCTGACTTCGGATCGGCACAGCACTGGCTGAAGCGGCCATTTGGGGAGTGAACCAATGGAAGGAAGACCTTTCTCTCTGTCTCTCTCTCTCACTGTCTAACTCTATCTGTCAAAAAAAAAAAAAAAAAAAGATTGACAAAGACATTTAAGACAAAGGACAGATCCAAGAGCAATATCAGAAGAAAATGGAAGAACAGAGAGAAGGAGAAAATGGGTGGCATGAAAATCTTTGCTGATTGATTTTACCATGAGTTTGACTTTTAAAATGATCACAAAATTTCATATTTCAGATAGATCTATCTGCATTACCTGCATAAAAATCTGAATGCCATTTTCAATGTAGTATTTGGCTCTGTCCACGTCGTCCTGCAGGAGGTAAAGGAGACTCAGCTCCTGGCTGTACTGAAGCTCCAGGACTGTCTTCTGCAGTTCTTGGTGCACGGCCTCGTCCACAAATGTCAGCAGGGACTGGTCAGCCTCTCCCTGCAGCAGCAGCTTCAGCTTGCTGCGGACCATGTAAGGCAGGTACGTTTCCTGCGGAGCACAGAGATCTACAGGTAATGCTTACCTCTTTTATTTCTATCACATTCTCTGGACTAATTTTGTAGGTCAAGACTTAACAGCCAAAATTCAAACCTAAAACTACAATTTTTAAAACAAGTTCATCTGTTAATAGCTTGTTTGTCAACCACAAAATATACAGGACCATGTTCAATAGGAAAGGGGCTCTCCTGTTAGCTTGGTGTTGCTTATACACTAAGGAAACATGGGCTCAGGGGATGCCGGGGTGGCACATGAGGGCTGCATGGCACTTTGCATGGGGCTCGAGACGCAGCGCATTACAGGAAACAACATGCAATATTCTTCCAAGTTGTCATACGAGGGACGTTAACATTTACCGTAAAATATATCCCATTTATTTTGAAAGAGATAACTAAAAATGACAAGAGATTCACAATACCATGGAGCCTGCAGGGGGAGCCAGGTCATATATACCCAAATACTTCACAACTACCACATGTTTCAGAAAAGTTTTAAACCATTTTATTAAGGAGAAAATACTTTACCTTCTAAAATGTTTTATTTCAGTGACCTGTAAATGACCCTCCCCACCTGATAAAACGGCTCACTCCACATCTTGTTGAGATCCGGAGGGTTCTCACTGTCCACACTGGCTGTAGAGCAGTATGCAAGGGATTTCCACTCAGAGAGGTGGTTGTAGCAGTCAAGGGATGCAAGTTCCCAGAAGTCCTTTTCGGCTTCCGTAGGCTCACCATCTTCCCACTCTTGTTTATTGAGAGCCTAGCAGAGAAACGTCATCAAGATTATTTAGCAAACTTGGAGAGAAAACCAAGGAAAATATGTAAAAAAAAGGAGGCAGTAAAACATTCGCACTAAGGCAGTTATTTTAAGAGTTACAGCAAGTTGTGAGAAAAGGGAGATTATTCGGAGTAACACTGAATAGAAGAAAAAAAAAAGGAATCTGAAAGAAATAAATGCATGCCAAACCTTACCCAGAAGGAAGCCATTTGTTTTTCTGAGAAACTTACCAAAGGAGCCAATTAATAAGCTGAATATGTTCAATGCTCCATAATCTGATTTAAATCAATAGTATGAGTTATTTACAATTTAACGAGTTCTTAGAATGAAAACTAAAATCTAGGATATTTGCAAAAAATTATCGAAGATTGTAAAGCCCTGACTGTTTTCCAAGAGCTGCACAGGCCACAAACCCTGAAGCTCAGCATCTGCACCTGGACAAACAGTGGCCACACATATGCAATACGGACAAAACCAAACTTCCAAGCTCAGTGCCTGCACCTGGACAGACACTGGCCATGCAAGCACCAAATGGACGAAGCTGATCTAACAGTCACCTACTCAAGCTCTCCCATACTTGATTACAAATGTTTTACTTCCTGAAGGGAAACAATCTACCCAAATAGAAACCATGGTAATAACATTGCACAGTTCTATATAATACTTGGTAATGTATGAAACGGTTTGTCTTTTATTCAATGGTTTATAATATTTTTAAAAATTTATTTGAGATAGAGATGCCATCCATTGGTTCACTCCCCAGTTGTTCACAAGAGCAGAGGCTGGGCCAGGCCAAAGCTGGGAACTTAATCGAGGTCTCCTACATGTGTGACAGGAACCCAATCACTTGAGTCATCACTGCCACCTCCCAGGGTCTGGATTAATAGGAAGCTGGAGTCAGGAGCTGGAGATGGGTATCAAACCTAGGTACTCTGATATAGGACATCTTAACTGCTAAGGATAAACACCCACCTCCACTCAAGGGTTTTCTTAAAAACAGTGTAGATACAATAATTATTTCACATCTGCTCATTATGAAACTACATTTGGTTATTATTAACCTTTGGGTAAAGTCCAAGAGCTATGATTTGGATGTTGTTTGTCCTCTCACAGGTCCATGTGCTGAGAACTTGGTCTCCAATGCAGTGGTGTGAGAGGTAGAACTTTTAAGAGGCGGGGCCTTGTGGGCAGTGCTTGGGTTAACTGGGGCCCTTGAAATGGGATCAAGGTACTTGGGGGCGGTGTGGGGATCAAGGTACTTGGGGGCGGTGTGGTAAGGGGAAATGCTGTTGAGTTCTCCCATGAGGCTTGTTACAAAACCCTGAACCCGGTCCCACTGGGCCTCTCTGCTTCCTGCCTTGTCCTCTGATCACTTCCTCCCACAGATGCTCCATCTCTGCTATCAGTCATGAGGTGACACTTTTTTTTGGGGGGGGGGGGGGGGATGGAGCTCGCCTAGCCTGAGGCATGCTATTTAGACTTTCAGCTTCCAAAACTGTGAACTAAATACATCTGTTTTCTTCATAAGCAGCCTGCCTAAGGCATTTCATCAGGGAGACAGTAAGCTGGCTAATAATTAAGTAATATAGTTCATATGAAGTACTAAGTCATAAAGCTAACATTTTTTCATGCAGAGCAAAAAAAATGTTTAAGTAAAAGACATATGCTAGAGATCAACTTTACCTCATTATACTGCTTGGCAGCTTCAGAATAATCACTCCTGGCTTCTGCTAATAACGCATCCTGAGTGACAGGCTTTGTTCCTATCTCACTGCTAAAAATACCACGGAGGACGTCGTATTCTCCAATCGATCTATACAGCCTATAAAACAAGCCAAAACGAGGGACACATCAACAGACACTCTGGGATTTTCACAATTACTTGGTCTAATGAAATGGTATTAAATTAGAATGCCAGACATTATATTAACTGAAGATGATAATATAAAATGTTACTTTGCACTTGCTATAAATCTACAATTTTTTAAATGCTGAAGTTGTCCTTAAGTTTTACCACTGTAGTCACACAGAAAGCAGAAAAACATTCTAATATACTTTTAAAATGAAATCAAAGGTTCACAATATGTATACTATATACTGTCTTTCATCTATTAAATAAGCAGCTTTAGTATTAATAAAATTACAGCATCTGTAGGTAATCTTGGAATTCTTCCTTAGTCCTAAAAAAACTCAGAAGCAAGTAAAAAGTAACCCTCAGTCTACAATGTCATGTTTCTTTTTTTTTTTTTTTAAGATTTATTTATTTATTTGAAGGAGTTATGCAGAGAGAGGCAGAGAGAGAGAGAGAGAGGGAGGGAGGGAGAGAGAGAGAGAGGTCTTCTACCCACTAGTTCATTCCCCAGTTGGTTGCAACAACTGGAGCTGTGCCAATCCAAAGCAGGAGCCAGGAGCCTCCTCCAGGTCTCCCATGTGGCTGCAGGGGTCCAAGAACACGAACTGGCACTCATATGGGATGCTGGCACTGCAGGCGGCAGCTTTACCTGCTAAGCCACAGTGCCGAGCTCTGCCATATTTTAATCCAGGTCCTACAGGCTGCAGGCTGTCTCAACTCCACTGATGAAAAACTTTTTTTTTTTTTTTCCAGAGCATTCACTCCCCTCTTTACCTTAACAAAATCTGGTTTGACCTTGTCAACCTTCCCCTCCTACAATATTCTCAAGTATTTGTTAGGTTTGGTCCTCTTGGAAATCTCTTTTCCATCTTCAAGTCTCAACTCAAATGTCAGCTCTCCCAAACCTGCCATCACGTGACCAGCCAGGTAAGGGCAGCTTCCTCTGATGCTCCTGCCTTTTGGTTCCCTTCCCAGGTACTAGATCTCTTGTATTTATACCAGAAGAGCCGTGCAATATCTCTGTGAGCCTAGCCTACCAATTCCAAATTTAGAAGAAAATTTAATAGATGGTCCTCTCTTCTTGTCCTGAAGCTAGAGGGCAAAGGTTAAATCCCAGGACAGGGAGGTGGTGGGCAGATGGGCAATGGACAGCACTCAGAGCCCAGAAGTCAAGGAGAGGAGAGCTCAGGCATTTTCTATGACCGCAGGGAAGAGACCACCCTATGTCCACCACACACAGTCCCCAGGTCCCTGGGTCATGCCCACTACAACAGGGTCAAATTGATGACCACAGCATAGCAAAGAAAGGCTAAACCACATTCACTATACTGCCTCCAAGGAATGTAGAAATATATTCAAAAGCATAAGGAACAACACAATAAAATTAGAAAAAAATGTCAACACCCTTAAGACTTGTATGATGCATTTATCCAGCAAACACATATTTAGTTTTTGGGTTGCTCACTCCCTGAAAATATAAGGTGTATTACTATCCCCAGTACAGCTGAAACAATGGGCTACAATGCTCCTTGAGTAAAAAAAAAATCACCTTAGCTACAGGCTGTCTCTGAATTGCCCCAGCATCTTATTTTGCCTCTCCTGACACCATCTCCTACTGTATTTTATGGTAAGTTATGCATAAAAGTACATACATTTCCTACTGCATAATTAGTTTTTTCTGTCTGTGACCAATGTCCAATTCACAGCTGTTCTTGGTGCTAGGCAAAGCACCTTAATGCTCATGGTGCTTATAGACAGGAACTGTCTGTGAAACAACCAAAAAGAACAGGGATTCCCTGCCTCTATTTTCCCTATCTTCTTTCCCAGAACCTAAAAATCTAAAAATCAGCACTTTAAAATAGTACTTCAAATTAAATTTCAAACTTACTATAATGTCCTTCTCAGGATTAGGAACTGGATTTCATTAGGACAAAAATCACAGGACGCGAAATTGCAAACTACAAAATAAATTCATTTTCCCCAAATAAACAAAGTAAACGGATTAAAATGTTTCTGAAATTCTGAGTCCTGCTGAAAACAATAAATCATCCTCTATTCAGTTCAACCACGCAGGAAAAAAAAACATTAAAACATTAGGAGCTATAATTTACAGCCACACTTTACAGGAAACGAAACTTGGTGGCTAACAGTGAGTCCAAGGGATCAAATACTGGGGAAACTAACAGGTTTAATACAGATCTCCATCACTGAGCAAGATAGTTCTGGCTGCTGCAACAACTGTCAACTCACAGAATGGTACCCAGCCTAAAAGACGAATTTCTTAATTTCACAGAGGTGTTACCATCAACTTCATTGGGTCATTTCTGCCAAAAGAAGCCATGTGCTCTCTGTATTCCCTGGCTGAGTTCTTCACTTCTCTGAGTGTGGGATCCTCAGCTTACTTAGCAAGTTCGATCCACCGGAGGACGTCAGGGGGAAGGTGGGTCTTCCCTCGGATGCGTTTGGTGGGTGGCTCCACAGGCCCCAGGTGGAGCAGTGCCTCCTCGAGAAGGCGGATGCCCGTGGGCTGCTGCAGGCTGGCCAGACAGCCAGAGCGCACAGCGGCCGGGTCAAGGCTCAGCAAGTCTGCGTGTTGACAGCTGATTTCCTGAGAAACCACAAACACATGTAGCTGTTTAGCCTGTGGTTCTTGGACCATATCTTCACAAGTGAATAACTCATTTTACTAAACATAAAAGGAAGTTTTGACGTAAGTAGTGATATCACCAAAAGCTTCTCTTTGTAATTCTATTAACAAATTTTCCCTCAGTATTCAAATGGCTCAAAGCAGGAAATGATCTTTTATTTTTACACTTCTAATCCAGGAACTAATTTAAAGAAAGAAAACACTAGCAAAATGTGAAGATTTATATATATTTATATATTCTACATATCCAAACAACAACTGCAATTTCCAGGAATTTGTAGCCTGACTTGCTAAGAAAAGCAGCTGAAACACAAACATTTTGCATGTTCACCAAAAAGTGGGCGATTCATCTGCCTGTTATTCTATGCAACCTCTTTTTTCCCATCTTTTCCACACAGAAGTAACTTATTCAACAATTCATGAGTTATAACAATCTGTACTTTGTAACTCTCATTTGAGATATTGATATGTATATAGTGATATGTAGATATATTTATATATATATCAAAGTAATAAAAAAAATCAATATACAGATAAACATAAACAGAGTAACACTGTTTTCATTAAAACAAGTATGAAGTGTGTATGAGATTTCTGTGTCTCTGTGTCCATGCGTGTACTCCTTGCTCACCTGCACTGACCCCACTTGCTCCTCACATACCAGTCACCTGCCAAGTGTTCACCATGCCAACTTAAGTTCCACTTAAGGATTAATGGAAGAATGTAAATTTCCCAAAGCAGCTGAACAAACAGAAATGTCTGTCATAAATTCTATTTCAATTAATAACAAAGCAAAGGCTCTGTCATGGCTGAAGTGTCAGATTTTGAGATGGCATCACCCTGATTTACATACAGAAGCCCAATGTAAGATTCAGGATAACTTTAAATAAATAAATATATTTTTTCAAGTAACCTCCTCATTCTATAAATATTTATCCAGTGCCTTCCATGTTCCAGATGCTGTGGCAGACAGTATCGTCTCTGACTGTGTAGAGCTCAAGACTCATTCATCCTCTGCTCAACAGAACTCACAGGTGAAATGGTTTGAATGAATTAATGACTACCACTGGGCTTGTGTAATGTAAATGTGGTCTGCAAGTTATTTTCAAGATCAACCATTCTGTAGAATCCTGTTTACAGTATTATTCTACTTTATAAACAATTAGTTGCTGAGCAAAAGCTGAACTTTCAGCTACAAAATCTTAGTTGTATAAACTTTTAGTGTTGTAGGCCTTGCAAGAATAAGCACCCATGTAAATTGTGGGCCAAACAGCTACAATGACCTGGGAAGAGAAAACACATCCGTTTCAGACACATGTCCCCACAAAACAAGTCTTCACAGCTGATGCGCCAGCCGCAGGCACCCATTTGCACTGAGCCGCTTACGCCACCATCACTGGCAATGAGCAAGCGCTACAAGTGGTTTACTTAGCAGCGGCTAATGACTCTTCTAAAGAGCAATGGAAAAAACCAGTTTGTAATCACTATTAGGTTACAACTAGAAAATCAGATTTTAAAAGTCACTTTGGAATACAATACTGTAAAGAGAAATTTCCTCTGAAATATTAGTTGATTCAATATAATTATGGAGATTCATCAATTTAGTGAAATCAAGAGAAAAACAATGATGGAATTCTACTTGTAAATTATAAGTCAAATGAAAATAAAACTAATATATAAAAAGACACTCTATTTTAGTTTCATGCTATATCAAAAATAATAAAACAGGAAAACTACATACTTCATCTCAGATAATTATTACCAGACTAGTTTGTAAGCCAATACTACTTATCAAAAGTATCAAAAAACATAACTGAGTAATTCAGGGAATCGCTACATAAAAAATGAGTAGAGGGCAGGCTTTGGCTTAGAGGTTGAGACACTAGTTAAGACACCCATATCCCTGAGGCTAGCGCTGAGGCACATGGGGTAAAGCCGCTCGTTGCCTGCAGTGCTGCCATCCCATCTGGACGCTGGTTCGAGTTCCAGCCTCTCCACTTCCAATCCAGCTCTCTGCTATGGCCTGAGAAAGCGGTGGAGGATGGTCCAAGCTCTTGGGCCCCTGCACCTGCATGGGAAGACCTGTAGGAAGACCTTGGCTCCTGGCTTCGGATTGGTGCAGCTCCGGCCATTGCAGCCACCTGGGGAGTGAACCAGTGGATGGAAGACCCCTCTCTCTCTCTGCCTCTCCTTCTCTCTGTGTGTAACTCTGACTTTCAAATAAATAAATAAAAATCTTAAAAAAAAAAAAAAAAAGATACCCATATCCCTGTCAGTGCCAGGGCTGAAAACCCAGTTTTGCCCTTGACTCCAGCTTCCTGCTAATGTAGACCCTGGGAGGCAGCAGTGATAGCTCAAGCAGTTGTGATCCTGGAAACCACAGGGGAGACCTGGATTGAGCTCTCAGCTTTTGGCTTCAGCCCCCAGCCCAGGGTTATTATGTGCATTTTAAGAGTGAATCAGTAGATGGGAGTTCTACCTGTCTCTCAAATAAATAAACAAATTCCTAACAAGTAGTTAAATGTGTTCTTTTGAAAAGTAGTAAAATTAATCAGAAAGATCCTTATTGGGGAATTAGTAACGGTCTGTTTTAAATGACAGAGACAATGAGTGTCATTGGTACTCAAGTAATGTAGAAGCATTACATTGGTGTAGGGTAATAATAGTGCAGTTATGTAGACAGCCTCTTGATCAGAGCAGGTGCATATGTCATTGATGCAACGCTCTGAGAGGTCCTCTCTTTAGCTCTAGAGTTTGAGCAGAGAACTTCACGTAGGTGTGCTTTCAGTTACTACACAAATCTACTTACTGGAAGACTATGCTTTTGTGCATGTCGGTGGATTGCCTGCTGCCCAATGAGGATGTAAGTTCTGTGAGAGGGAAGGGCTTTTGCCTCTTTGTAGCCATAGGCATAAAGAAAGATGTGTGCTCAATCCACACCGTTAGACAGCAGTCAGCAGGCAGCAGAGATCTGAGGAACTACCACATAAGGAAAAAGAACTAAATAAAATGCAACATTCGATCTAAACATGAAGGGACTGGCTTACTGAAAAACAAAACACTTTTATTACAGGCTTGGTTTTTGATCATTTGTTGTAGATATGGGGTTTCTGTGGCAGGGAGGGACACAAAAATTACCTGTGCCCGTTTGGAAACAGGAATGCAAACTGCACATCCTCTCTGTTAAACACCTTGCTCCTATGAAGACTCTCAACTTGGGAAACAAAGTGATTATGGAGATACTGCCAAGGAAAGCCAAACATGATGACATACATTTGACAAAGAGGGTGTGCAGACCTACCTGGATGCAGGAGACAAAGGGTGGGAAGAAATAAAAAGTGGTGTTGAGAAAACTATTAAAGTCTTGGAGCAACTTTTGAGTGATACTGCTTTTCTCAGATGCCATCTTGAACTTATCCATCTCCTTTAGAATTGCAGAAAATAAACTGCTAAAGAGTTGTTTTGCAATTATTGGGTCTCTCTGTAAAAAAATGCAAAAGAAAGACAAATTAAGATCTGAGGCAAAATGCTATAATTTATCTGCATTATCAGAGCATTACACAAACTTGCAAACACTACCACACTTCTCAATTCTATTTATAAAGTTTTAACAGAGACTGCACAAGGGTAATCAAATATATCTCTTGGACATATTATAAAAGCATGGACTGTGGCCGGTGCTGTGGCACAGCGGGTAAAGCCGTTGCCTGCAGTGCTGGCATCCTATATATGTGCCAGTTCAAGTCCTGGCTGCTGCACTTCCAATCCAGCTCTCCGCTATGGCCTGGGAAAGCAGTGGAAGATGGTCTAAGTCCTTGGGCCCCTGTACTTGTGTGGGAGACCTGGAAGAAGCTCCTGGCACAGCTCCAGCTGTTGTGGCCATCTGGGGAGTAAACCAGTGGATGGAAGACCTCTCTCTCTCTAGCTCTTTCAAATGAAAAACAAAACAAAAACAAAAACAAAAAAAGCATGGACTGTTGATCCACAGAGGGGACTCTGAAGCTGGCTAAGTTTATTCATAACCATAGAGCTTATCTCCTAAGTCTGGGGTCCCCAACCACATCTTGACAACAGGGCTGACAGATGAGGCCTTGGAGGGTTGTGGTGAAGATTATCCAAAACCACAAATGTCAAGTGTGTCTGATGTGGCGTCTGATAAGAAATTCAATTAGATTTGTTGGTTTTATTATTATATAAGCATTATGATAAAGATTTTAAAAACTAATTGATGAGCATAATAAAATGTCAGCTTTAACTTCCCGACTGCCATCATCACGATCATCTAACTGTTAAAACTGGGACCACACCTGCCAATCAGGCTACATAACCACTCCCATTTGGAAGTGGATAAAAGGCCTGGAACATGGTGGGTCTGGCCCTTTTTTTCCATTCCCCCGCCCCCCTGCCTTTTTCCCTTTTGTCTTTATTTTCCCTCAATACTCTGGATCCCCTTTGTTGCCCCACACCTTTGGAGTATATGGCCTTGAGGCCCCTGTGCTCTGCCTCTGTTTCGCTGCCAAGATAAGCTGCTAGTATAAGCTGCTAGTAACTGCTCATAACCAAATGCTTGCTGCATGTGGCTCTTGGTCTGCTTTTTGCTTGGTATGGATTCCAACTTAATTTCCAGACTTCCCTTTCTCCTTTAGATAGAGCCCTCACTCTCCTATGTATTTCTCCCACTGAATAAAAAGCTTTAAAAACTTTAAAAAAATTAATAAAACCAGGGCCGGAGCTGTAGCACAATGGGTTGAATTGCCAGCCTACAGTGCCAGCACCCCATATGGGCGCCAGTTCGAGTCCTAGATGCTCCACTGCTAACACGCCTGGGAAAGCAGCAGACGGCGGCCCACGTCCTTGTGTGGGAGACCTGCACCTGTGTGGGAGACCCAGAAGCTCCTAGCTCCTGGCTCCTGGCTTCAGATCAGCTCAGCTCCAGCCACTTCAGCCATTTAGGGAGTGAACTAGCAGATGGAAGATTTCTCTCTCTCTGTCTCTACCTCTCTCTACAACTCTTTCAAATAAAATAAATCTTTTAAAAAACAATAACTGTTAAAATCAGTAGAAGCTACTGTCTTGTCTCAGTTCCACCTGAGGGCAGGCTGCCTGCTTGCTTGTGGCCATTATGCTCACACACTCTGTGACTGCTAGAGCATCACTCTGCATTCACATCTGCAGCATCAGTGCAAAAAACATCACCTGGCATACAGTATCTATATTTGTGAAATGAGATGTGTATGTACAATAAATCAAATTTTAAAAAATATTATGCTTGAGGGGCCAGCATGGGGTACAGCGGATTAACACCCTGGCCTGAAGCGCCGTTATCCCACATGGGCTCCGGTTGCGGACCCAGCTGCTTCACTTCTGATCCAGCTCTCTGCTGTGGCCTGGGAAAGCAGTAGAAGATGGCCCAAGTGCTTGGGCCCCTGCACCCTCATGGGAGACCCGCAAGAAGCTCCTGGCTCCTGGCTTCGGATTGGCAAAGCTCCGGCCAATTGGGGAGTGAACCATCAGATGGAAATCTCTCTCTCTCTCTCTCTCTCCTCTCTCTGTGTAGCTCTTTCAAATAAATAAATAAATTTTTAAAAGAAAAAAACCACAAAGTGCAGAAAAATATTATGCTTGAATTAAACACACACACTTGATTTATCCTTTGTTGTTGACTGATTTGCTTTAAGCAATGTATTTGTTTTTGTCTGTTAAAAGATTTTATTTATTTATTTGAGTAGAATTACAGACAGTGAGAGGGAGAGACAAAGAGAAAGGTCACTCCCCAAATGGTTGCAACAGCCACAGCTGAGCCAATCTGGAGCCAGGAGCCAGGAGCCATGAGCTTCTTCTGTATCTCCCACGTGGGTATAGGGGCCCAAGCACTTGGGCCATTTTCTGTTGCTTTCCTAGGCCATAGCAGAGAACTGGAACGGAAGAGGAGCAGCCAGGACTCAAACCGACACCCATATGAGATCCACTGCAGGCAGAGGATTAACCTACTGCACCATAGTGCCAGCCCCTTGTCTTGTTATAAAAGGTTATCATAGGGCTAGTGATGTGGTACAGTGAATTAGCTGCCATTAGCAATACCAGAATTCCATACTGGAGTGCCAATTCAAGTATCAGCTGCTTGGGCCTCCAATCCAGCTCCCTGCTAATGCAGTATCTGTGTCTGTCTCTCCCTCTCTCTGTGTTGCTCTACCTTTCAAATAAATGAATAATTTTTAATTTTTTTTTATTTATTTGACAGGTAGAGTTATAGACAGTGAGAGAGAGAGACAGAGAGAAAGGTCTTCTTTCCGTTGGTTCACCCACCAAATCGACACTACAGCCGGTGCTGCGCTGATCTGAAACCAGGAGCCAGGAGTTTCTTCCTGGTCTCCCAAGTGGGTGCAAGGGGCCCAAGCACTTGGGCCATCCTCCATTGCCCTCCCAGGCCACAGCAGAGAGGTGGACTGGAACAGGAGCAACCAGGACTAGAACTGGCGCCCATATGGGATGCCGGTGCCACAGGCAGAAGATCAGCCAAGTGAGCCACGGCGCCGACCCCCAAATATTTTTTTAGAAAGATTTAAGATTTATATTTGTTTAAAAGAGTTACACAAACAGAAGGAGAGACAGAGAGAGATCTTTCATCTGTTGGTTCACTCCTCAAAAGGTCACAAAAGCCAGGGCCATGCCAGGCTGAAGATATGAGCCAGGAGCTTCTTCTGAGTGTGCCTCATGAGTGCAGGAGCCCAGCGACTTGGGCCATCTCACATTGCTTTCCTAGGTGCACTAGCAAGGACCTGGATCAGAAATGGAGCAGCCAGAACTCGAACCAGCACTCATATGGGATGCTGGGCTAGCACTGTAGTGCAGAGGGCTACGCTACTGCCTGCAATGCCAGCATCCCATTTTGGAGCACTAGTTAAAGTCCCTGCTGCTCTGCTTCCAATCCAGATCCCTGCTCATGTGCTGGGGGAAAGCAGCAGAAGATGCACCAAGTACTAGGGTCCCTGCCACCCACATGGGAGACTCTGTTGGAGTTTCTGGCTCCTGGTTTCCACCTGGACCAGCCCCAACCACTGTGGCCATTTGGGGAATAAACCAACAGATGGAAAACCCCTCTCTCTCTCTCTCAAGAAGTTACACTGGTCACTATATAAAATTTAGAGAAATATGGATTATAAAAAAAGAAAATACATGTGGTTAAACTACAGAGACATCACTGTTACACATTGGTCTTTTCCTGACACGGACACTCTTTTATCTGGTATCCACTGTCTGGCACCTCCTGTTTTCAGTGAACATGTTATAGACAGGTTTTCATGTCTTTGCCTACTGATCCTTGAGTGCTATGCAAATTCCTTCATTTTCCAGCACACATTCACTCTGGTAAGACAACTGTAGTGATAACGAAGATAAATCAGGTTCCCGGATGCCCTGGGATGGCTAGTTTCCATGCACCCCCTTAATGAAGAAAGGCAGCCCCAGGAAGGCAGAGGAGGCTTCATCTGTCCTGTCCATTGCTACAACCCAGCGCTCAGCACATTCCCTGGCACAGAAGAATAGAAAACCCGCACAGTTGTGCTTTCTCAAAGCAACATTCGCCATCTTTATTTTTAGCCAAGCACAAACAGGCCACACTGAGTTGGATATGGTTCCCTGGTGCCAGGCCTGCTAAGCTGCTGCATCATCATACACTATAACTCATCTCCCTGGTGAGCAGGTATCCCTACCACCACAGAGGCAGCAACATGAGGCACTGGGGAGGTGTGAAACCATGGAGCACAGCAAGACAAGAGCCTGACCCTCAGCAACACGCAGCAAGGCCTGTGGCTTTCAGCATCCAGTCTTTGTGGACCTTCAACTCTTCACTGCTGTGCCTCCAGCAACTGCTGCAATGCACTAACATTACTCAGAGAAACTAACGTGAGAATGTGAAAGCACCTCATGACCACAAAAGGCTGCGCTGTGGGGAGTTCCGAGAGTACGTATGGGGCATGAGGCACACATGCAGACACACAAGTGCTGGGGAGGCGATGACACGGGATGAGATCTGCAGTCTAGTCAACACCATCATGCCAGCATCAACACCAAGGCTTTAATACTGCACTATAGTTACACATACAGGAGGGATCTGGGTGAGGGTAGATGGACTATATACTACCTTTACTTTTGAAAATTCCTGTCAATTGGTAATTATTTAAATAAAAAGCTTTAAAACTTAAAATGTAGTAGAATACTAAACAAATGTGATATAACTGCTACGAGTATTAGAAACTTAAGAGGGGCTGGTGCTGTGACGTAGCGGGTAAAGCCGTTGCCTGTGGTGCCAGCATCATGACCCAGCTGCTCCACTTCTGATCTAGCTCTCTGCTATGGCCTGGAAAAGCAGTGGAAGATGGCCCAAGTCCTTGGGCCCGTGCACCTGCGTGGGAGACCTGGAGGAAGCTCCTGGCTCCTGATCGGAGAAGCTCTGGCCATCATAGCCAGATAGGAAGTGAACCAATGGATAGAACCCCCCCCCCCCACTTCTCCTTCTCTCTATGTGTAACTCTGACTTTCAAATAAATAAATAATTTAAAAAAACTTAAGTACGATAAATTAGAAAGCTTTATAGTTCAGTATTTTGCATGATATACTATATATGGTTCAATAGTCTTCTTTGATTTTTAAAATTATTATTTCAAGACAACTCAAAGAAATCTTAATCAGGCCTACAGGGGATAAAGAACCTATATTTATCAGAGAACCGAGCCTGTATTTATCAGAGAACCCAGACAGAATACTGTATTTACTCTCTAACTTCATTCTGCATCCTAATGTTTTAGAGAAAGCTCTCCAGTCCTCTCTTACTAAGTGAATCAAAAGAGAAAAATGCTGATTCCACAGATCAACTGATCCTTCTTTCCTTGTCCCCAAAAAAGCATTTCACAGGGGCAGGTTTTGTGGGGCTGTTGGATAAGCTGCTTCCTACAACGCCCACATCCCATATATCTCATACTATAGTGCTGATTCAAGCATAGTCTGCTCCACTTCCAATCCAGCTTCCTACTAATGTGCCTGGAAGGCAACAGACAATGGTTCAAGTAACTGGGTCCCTGCAACCCATATGGGAGGCCCAGATGGAGTTTTAGGCTCTTGGCTTTGGCCTGGCTTTGGCCTGGATCTTGAGGGTATCTGGGGAGTGAACCAGCAGATGAATGATCTCTCTTATTCTCTGTAATTCTGCCTTTCAAGTAAATGAGAAAATAAGTAAATAAAACATTCTTTTAAAATAACTGTCTATAACCAATAATGTAAATAGTTTAGTATTTTAATGTTTCACTGACTTGTTTTACACCTTATTTGATTCTAACATTATTGGATAAGAAAAACAAGTTTAAGTCTCTGATTTGACTGATGGAGACTCTGTGACCCTGAGCACTAGTTAGCTTCATATGAACACTCAGTTTTAGGGCCAAATTCCTGATAACTCTAAGTCAGTCTCCCTGTGTGAAAAGAAGTCATGAAACTGGAAACAATAGAGCCTGGAACAGAGTCCAGGGTCTTTAAACCAAGTTCACTGCTCAGGACAAACACCGGTGATATACAGCAGCCTCAACTCTTCTTCCTCGTGCACAGTAGACCACAGAATTGCACAGCCATTCGACCTGTAAGTGGAGGACATGGTCGCCAAGCACTGACCTGGGCCACGGCCTGCAACGGGGCGATCAAGCTGCTGTGTTTGATCTGGATGTCAGGCAGGTCTCCCAGCCGGTACTTCCTGTACAGAACCACCTGCGCATCCTGCTTCATTTTCAATTCACTCTGGATCTCCTAAAATCCCCCCAAACAAGAAGAAGATTAGAATCTTATTCAAGAAAATAAAAGTAGAGGCCAGCATTGTGGCACAGCAAGTTAAGCTGCTATTTACAAGTCTGGCATCTCATATCAGAATGCTGATTCACTCCCAGCTGCTCTGCTTTTGATCCAGCTCCCTGCTAATGCACCTGGGAAAGCAGCAAAAGATGGCCCAAGTGCTTAGGCCCCTGACACCCACACAGGAAATCAGGATGGAGTTCCAGGCTCCTGGCTTAAGTCTGGCCCAGCCCCAAACATTGTAGCCATTTGGGGAGTGAACCAGCAGATAAAGATCTGTCTCTTCCTTTGTTACCTTTCAAACAAATAAAATATTAAAAAAAAAAAAAAAAGTAAAGAGAAGGAGGCCAGCGCTGCGGCTCAATAGGCTAATCCTCCGGCTGCGGCACCGACACCCCAGGTTCTAGTCCCGGTCGGGGTGCCAGATTCTTTCCAGGTTGCCCCTCTTCCAGGCCAGCTCTCTGCTGTGCCCCAGGAGTGCAGTGGAGGATGGCCCAAGTGCTTGGGCCCTGCACCTGCATGGGAGACCAGGAGAAGCACCTGGCTCCTGGCTTTGGATCAACGTGATGAGCCGCCCACAGCACACCGGCCACGGCGGCCATTGGGGGGTGAACCAACGGCAAAAGGAAGACCTTTCTCTTTGTCTCTCTCTCCCTCACTGTCCACTCTGCCTGTCCGAAAAAAAAAAAAAAAAAGAGAGAGAAAGAAGGAAAATCAGTGAAAATTAAAAAGTTGGGGGTGAGGACAGGCATTGAGTACAGCAATTAAGACTCTGCTTTGGATGCCTGCATCCCATATTGAGCTGGTTCAAGTCCCAGCTCCACTCCAGGTTTCAACCTCTTGATAATGAGTACATACCCTGGAAGGCAGCAGTGATGGCTAAAATACTTTGTTCCCTGCCACCCATATGGGAGACTCAGATGGCATCCCAGATTTCCAGCTCTGGTCTGACCCAGTGCCAGCCACTGTGGCTACTTGGAGAGTAAACCAGTGGATGGAAGATCTTTCTCTCTCTCTCCCTCTTTTATATAAAATTTAAAAAAAATTTAAAAAACCACTTATGTAATAAGAAATATGAAACTGTGAAGATCCATTTTTTAAAAGGTTGTTTATTTGAAAGGTAGTGTTACAGAGATTTTTCCATCTTTTGGTTCACTCCCCAAATGGCAACAATGGCTAGGGTTAGGCCAGCTGAAGCCAGAAACCTGGAACTCCATCTAGGTCTCCCACATGAGTGGAAGGGGCCCAAGCATTCAGGCCATCTTCTGCTACTTTCCTAGGCATATTAGCTGGGAGCAGGATTGAAGCAGAGCAGCCAGGGACTTCAACCAGCACTCATACAGGATGCGAGCATCACAGCCAGCCACTTAACCCACTGTGCCACAATGCCAGCCCCTCGGATCCACATTTAACACAAAGGCGAAGTGATGACAACTTGTATTCACAGTGGTTTAGTCATCATGCCTTACCAGCCTATTGTAGACAGTGAATCCAAAGCAAACTTACTACGATCAATGAACAAAGAAAATGTTCTTTAAACACTCATTAGAAAGTAATCTGAATATTGACAAAAATCAGAAAATTTGATTTAAAACCTTTTAAAAACACAAATGGGTGGGCTATGGTTCTTCTTCAAGTTCTCTAAGAATAAGCCTGGGCTACAAGGCCACAGTGATGGCCATCCCGGAAACACTAATGCTCCCCCGGTTACCCTAGACTCACCGCAACCTCCCCCAGGACCATGGGCACCTGCCATCTCCACTGGTTTGTCCTTGGCTTTTCTCTCACCATCTGGTTCTCACCTTGAGCATGATCTCCTCTGAGGGGCCTCCCACCATTACCTTTCTCAGCACAGGCCTTCTCTCTGCTGTGCTCAGCATCCATCTTATTCCCAGCCTGCACAAGTCGCCATCAAGTCCTGTGGTCATGCACCGGCCTGTAGCTGCGTGGGGGCTGGGATTCTCTCTGCCCACTTCTAAAGCACAAGCACCTAGCACAGTACCTGGCTCTGAGCACAATGTTGTGGAAGCGCTTTCTCAATAAATGAAATGACCACCAACTCATACCCTCCTGGTGTCTGATCACCTCTGTACCACTTCTGATCAGCAGCTTCATACCAGCATGCGTGTGTCAGACACTGAATGCACACAGCAGGCCAATTCCACCTTTAACAATCATGACAAAGCCCTTCTCGTGTCAGGCCAAAACATCTCCTGCAATGTCTAGTTCCCTCTTCCTTCTATCAACTAGAAACTGTCATCTTCACCAGCATTTCTCGTTAGGTTTAGTTTTCTTTTCTTTTCTTTTCCTTTCTTTTTTTTTTTTTTTTTTTTTTTTTTTTTTTTGACAGAGAGAAAGGTCTTCCTTTGCCGTTGGTTCACCCTCCAATGGCTGCCGCGGCTGGTGCACTGTGGCCTGCACACCGCGCTGATCCGATGGCAGGAGCCAGGTACTTATCCTGGTCTCCCATGGGGTGCAGGGCCCAAGCACTTGGGCCATCCTCCACTGCACTCCCTGGCCACAGCAGAGAGCTGGCCTGGAAGAGGGGCAACCGGGACAGGTTTAGTTTTCATCAGGAGCCCAGGGCTCTTTCTCTGAGGGGCAAAGAGAACCCCCCCATGGGGAAGGATCTTGGACATGCCCTGGTTTTTGGATTCTCCCACAGCAGATACAATGGACCATTCACACTCAGATTTCAAAATTAACTAAGTGGTTGAGAATTTAAACTGAGTTAGATCAATGGCAGGGTTTTTATTGACAAACCATCTTACCTTTCTTCAAAATTTTGTCATAATTACTGACTCAGCAACAAAAGTGACATGCCATGGCTGAACAAACACTTTCCTTATGTCCATATTTTGAGGCGTGTTTAGCTATATAATTCACGCCATCAGTGTTGTCTCCAACCACAGCTTTCAGCAGATGCTCTGGCATATCCAGCCAGCCTGCCACTACCCCTTCTTCTGGGACCACCTTCCTCCCAACCCTATGGCCTATCACATTGACGACTTTTGCAGTGGCCCTACCCAGGGAGGAACATGACTCTCTCCCTCAGGCTCTTGCCTTGAGGGTGAGAGCTAGGCCAATCCCCAAGCTTCGAAAGCCCCAATATGCAAGACCCAGGAAGACCAGTGGTCACATCTCCACTGAGGGGCCAGTGGAAGCCACTTAGATAGAAAGAGACTGAACTGCAGTGAGCAACAGGCAAGGAGGTAGAGAGGGGCCCTAAAGTCCCAAGATCTGGGCAGTCCACAGATTCATGGGCCTGGGATTCTCACGAGCACGGCCTCAACACCCTTCACTCCAAAGGGCTGAGAGACTCTGGCCATAGGAAACCTGAACTCACACAGTGCTACTTCCTGCATTTTGGGTGCAGACTAATATTGGAACCAACAGCTGACAGGGAACTGGATAACAGACATTTCTAACCAATTCTTAAAAAAGATACAAACCTTTTCTCGTTTTTGTTCAACAATGCCTTTTCTGGCATAAATCAAACTGACTTTTTCTTGGTCCTTTAAAAATCGTCTGCGTAATCTTAGTATTTCCACCCGATTGTCTGTGCCTGGAGAACATAAAGCAGGTGAACAAGTCAATATGCACACTTGGCCCTGCCTCTGTCTCAGCCTAAGTCACCCAGTGTACCTGGCCTCACATCCTTCCCAGGCCACATCAACCTGAGCGCTGGGTCTACCTCCTTCCAGGTCATGAACCTGAGCGCTGGGTCCCACCTCCTTCCCAGGCCACATCAACCTGAGCGCTGGGTCCACCTCCTTCCAGGTCATGAAAACCTGAGTGCTGGGTCCACCTCCTTCCCAGGCCACATCAACCTGAGCACTGGGTCCACCTCCTTCCAGGTCATGACAACCTGAGCGCTGGGTCCACCTCCTTCCCAGGCTGCCTCCTTCCCAGGCCAAGGTGCCTCATTTGGGCCTCATCTCCTTCCCCCAGCCAAGTTTCTGTGTGCACTTGGCCTCACCACCTTCCCAGAGTCTCTCCAATGAAAATGAGTATGTGTGCTTAGTTCTATTTTTAACTTTTATTTGGTGTTTTCTTAAAGATAAATGCCTACAGGGAATAGCAGAGGAGACAGCTAAGCAAGTCCAGAAGCTGGGGAACAGAAGAACTGTAGCCACCTCAGCCAATCCTGGCTCAGCAGTAGAGAGGTGGAACAGAGAGCTACACAGTTAGGGATCTGGCAGGACCAGCCCCTCAGGGCAGGGAAGAGAGTGAGCTGTCTGACTGCATAGCGGCCTGGGAATGGACAACACCTGCAGGGACCCAAGGGTTTTCTGAAACCCCTAGCTGCTTCTCCCATGTGCCCCCAAAATGCTGGCAGAGGCCCATGCTGGATGTTTCACCTGGGCCTTATTCCCAATGCCATTTCAGTGCCCTACCTGCAAACACAAGCCAAAAAGCTTCAAAAATGAAGGACAGAAACCAAAATAAATGACAGGAAAAGAGTTGCTAAAAGCAGACCATGCAGGGAAAAAAAATTTCCAAAAACTTATTTATCAGAAAAGAGCAAATACAGTGGCTGAGTCAAGGACTGAAAAAACACAGATCAAACAGAAACAAAACAGACCTCATGAAAATAAAAAAAAAATGCCAAAAATTTAAATTTAAGGTTGAGAAGAAAAGGTCGAAGAGATTTCACAGAAAACAGAGGCAAAATGAAAAATGTAAGAAAATGACCCAGAAGGTCTCATCCAAGATGACATTACAGACCTGGAAAATGGAGCTGGCTGTCTGAAAGGGCTCACCTTATTATGCCCACAAAGGACACTTCAGTGACATTTCAGAAAATGTATTTAGAAGAACAGATGCTAACAGTCTCACAGAGCAAACATAGGGTTCTTATAAAGCATTGACAACAAAGATGCCAGGAGTCTGACTTGTACCTACTGGTTCCTGTGTAGAATTCTGCAGTTAACCTACTGCAAACATGGACTCATCAAAAGTAAGATGACGGCACTGGGGTCTCCAAAAGTTCTAGCTCAGGACCCAGAGTAGGGGCTACACTAAAAGAAGGAATAACCACCCCACTTTCATCAATGGACTGATCAACTAGACAGAAAATCAACAAAGAAACAACAGAGCTAATTAAAACTATGGATGAAATGGACGTATTATCTACAGAACTTTTCACCCCACAGTTGCAGAATACACATTCTTCTCATCAATGCATGGAACTTTCTCTAGGATAGACCATATGCTAGGACATAAATCAAGTCCCAGCAAAGCATTCCCCCTAAGATCCGGAACCAGCCAAGGATGCAAACTCTCATCACCGCTATTTAATACAGTCCTGGAAATTTTAGCCAGAGCTATTAGGCAAGAAAATAAATCAAAGGAATATAAATTGGAAAGGAGGAAATCAAACTATCCCTATTTGCAGATGACATGACTCCACAAATAGGGTATCCAAAAGACATCTCTGAAACTGTTGGAACTCAAACTGAAGAGTTTGGTAAAGTGGCAAGATATAAGATCAACACATAAAAATCAATAGCCGTTGTATACACAGACAATGCCATGGCTGAGAAAGAAATTTTAAGACCAGTCCCATTAACAATAGCTCCAAAAAGACTTAAATACCTTGGAATAAATTTTATTTTATTTTATTTTATTTTTTATTTTTATTTTTATTTTTTTTTGGACAGGCAGAGTGGACAGTGAGAGAGAGAGAGAGACAGAGAGAAAGGTCTTCCTTTTCCGTTGGTTCACCCCCCAATGGCTGCTGTGGCCGGCGTGCTGTGGCCAGCGCACTGCACTGATCCAAAGCTAGGAGCCAGGTGCTTCTCCTGGTCTCCCATGTGGGTGCAGGGCCCAAGGACCTGGGCCATCCTCCACTGCCTTCCCGGGCCAGAGCAGAGAGCTGGACTAGAAGAGGAGCAACCAGGACAGAATCCAGCACCCCAACCGGGACTAGAACTTGGGGTGCCGGCGCCACAGGTGGAGGATTAGCCTAGTGAGCCGCGGCGCCAGCCTTGGAATAAATTTAACAAAGGACTCAAAGATCTCTACAATGAAAATTACAAAACTCTAGAGAAAGAAATAGAAGAAGACATTAAAAAATGGATGAATCTTTCATGTTCATGGATTGGAAAATCAACATCATCAAAATGTCCATACTATCCAAAGCAATTTATGGATTCAATGTGATCCCAATCAAAATACCAATGACATTCTTCACAGGTCTCGAAAAAATGATGATAAAATTCATATGGAAACACAAGAGACTCCAAATAGCTAAAGCAATCTTATACAATAAAAACAAAGCCAGAGGCATCATAATACCTGATTTCAAGACATTCTACAGGGCAGTTATAATCAAAACAGCCTGGAACTGGCACAAAAACAGATGTGTAGAACAATGGAATAGAACAGAAATTCCAGAAATCAATCCACGCATCTACAACTAACTTGTCCTTGACAAAGGAAATAAAATTAATCCCTGGAGAAAGGACAGTCTCTTTAACAAGTGGTGCTCGAGAAACTGGGTCTCCACATGCACAAGTATGAAACTGGACCTACACCTTACTCCTTACACAAAAATCTACTCTAAATGGATCAAGGACCTACATCTACAACCTGATACTATCAAATTACTAGAGTACATTGCAAGACATTGGCATAGGCAAAGACTTCTTGGGAAAGACCCCAGAAGCAAAGGCAATCAAAGCCAAAATTGACAAATGGGATTACAGCAAGCTGAGAGGCTTCTGCACTGCAAACGAAGCACTTAGCAAAGTGAAGAGGCAACTGACAGAAGGGGAGAAATTATCTGCACATTACACAACTCATAAAGGGTTAACACTCATCAACTGTTGACTATTGACTGGATCAAGAAATTATGGTATATGTACACTATGGACTACTACTCAGCTGTAAAAAAATGAACAAAATCCAGTCTTTTGCAACAAGATGGACATAACTAGAAACCATTATACTTAATGAAATAAGCCAGTCCCAAAAGAAGGGTATCATATGATTTCCCTGATCTGAGGTAACTAATAGAGTACCTAAAATGCAATATATTGAAGTGAAACAGAAATACTGAGATTCGATGATTGTTTATGGTCCTTGCCTCTTCTGTTGAGGAATGGTGTATTTTTTCTTTACACTATTTACATAGCGTACTTTTTACTTAGTGTAGGGTTACCTATACAATCATTAAGTAAACTGAAAATAGATCTTCGTAAAAATTAAGAGTGGGAATGTGAGAGAGAGGAAGAAGAAGGGTTGGAGCGTGGGCAGGAGGGAGTGCAGGGGGAAAGTATCACTGTGTTCCTAAATCTGTATAAATGAAATACATGAAACTTGTATAACTTAAATAAAATTTTTAAGAATTTAAAAAAAAGAGAGGAAAAAAAAAGAATGAAGGAATAAAGAGCCAGGGTGGAAGGTCAGATCCAGGAAACATAAAGGAACCCTCAGGATGAGGAAGAACTCTACATGACAGCTGAGTGGACCTTGGGGCAAGCAGCCTGCAACAGGCTGGGTCAGAGGCCCCATGAAGGGTTGGTTGGTTTCTTTCTTTCTTTCTTTCTTTCTTTCTCTCTTTCTTTCTTTCTCTCTTTCTTTCTTTCTCTCTTTCTTTCTTTCTCTCTCTCTCTCTCTCTCTCTCTCTCTCTTTCTTTCTTTCTTTCTTTTCTTTCAAGATTTATTTATTTATTTGGAAGTCAGAGTTACACAGAGAGAGAAGGAGAGGGAGGGAGAGAGGGAGAGAAAGAGAGAGAGAGAGAGGGAGGGAGGGGGAGGGGGGAGAGGAAGAGGGGGAGAGAAAAAGAGAGAGAGAGAGAGAGAGTCTTTCATCCGATGGTTCACTCCCCAGTTGGCTAGAACGGCCAGAGCTGCGCCGATCTGAAGCCAGGAGCCAGGAGCCAGGAGCTTCTTCTGGGTCTCCCACATGGGGGCAGGGGCCCAAGGGCTTGGGCCATCTTCTACTGCTTTCCCAGGCCATAGCAGAGAGTTGGATCAGAAGTGGAGCAGCCAGGACTAGAACTGGCACCCATATGGGATGCCAGCACTTCAGGCTTTACTGTAGCTTTACCTGCTACACCACAGCACCAGCCCCATGAAGGGTGTCTTATGAAAATCAAACACCTACCTGTTAGGACACAGTAAAAGACACTGCACAACTCAAGGAAATATAGTGATAAATATGCAGACATCTAAGTACATAAACCAAAATACTTACTAATACTCAGGGAAAAAAACACAAGGAAAAATAACCACAGTATTACTCATGGTCCAATCACAAGGAATATTATATACTTAAAGTAAGAGGAGCCGGCGCTGCGGCTCACTAGGCTAATCCTCCGCCTGCGGCGCTGGCACACCGGGTTCTAGTCCCGGTCGGGGCGCCGGATTCTGTCCCGGTTGCCCCTCTTCCAGGCCAGCTCTCTGTTGTGGCCAGGGAGTGCAGTGGAGGATGGCCCAGGTGCTTGGGCCCTGCACCCCATGGGAGACCAGGAAAAGCACCTGGCTCCTGGCTCCTGCCATCGGATCAGCGCGGTGCGCCGGCCGCAGCGCGCCGGCAGCGGCGGCCATTGGAGGGTGAACCAACGGCAAAGGAAGACCTTTCTCTCTGTCTCTCTCTCACTGTCCAGTCTGCCTGTCAAAAAAATAAAAAAGTAAGAGGAAACACTGAATATTGATGAAACTAAGACTATGACATAACTAAGCAGAAGACAAAGACACAGATGCAATGAACTGTGTGTGCCTAAGCCTGTGCCCACATGAAGGCTAATCCTCAAATATCTGTCAAACATAAGACAATGACTGAAGCTGAAAGAAAACAACAACAATATATGCATTAAAAAACATAAGTAAATATCAGAAGTAAATATCAAAACTCAGTTACAAGAGCTGTTGAGTGATCATTTCTGGGATTTCTGGGATTTGACATGTAGGGAAAGAGGGCTGCCATTTCTTCTAACCAGCTTTTTTGTTTGTTTTCTACCTAGGTTTTTTTTTTTTTTTTTTAAGATTTATTTTATTTATTTGAGAGGTAGAGTTACAGACAGTGAGAGGGAGAGACAGAGAGAAAGGTCTTCCTTCCGTTGTTTGACTCCCCAAATGGCCACAACGGCCAGAGCTGTGCTGATCTGAAGCCGGGTGCTTCTTCCCAGTCTCCCATGCAGGTGCAGGGGCCCAAGCACTTGGGCCATCTTCTACTGCTTTCCCAGGCCACAGCAGAGAGCTGGATTGGAAGAAGAGCAGCCGGGACTAGAACCAGTGCCCATATGGGATGCTGGTGCCGCAGGCGGAGGATTAACCTACTGCACCACAGCGCCGGCCCCTTCTAACTAGCTTTTGAAAACATCGGGGTTACCATGGCACAGCAGATTAAGGTACCAACTGTAACACCAGCATCCCATAATGGAGCACTGGTTCGAGGGCTGGTTGAAGTCCCAGCTGCTCCAGTTCTGATCCTGCTCCCTGCTAATGTGCTGGGAAAGCAGTGGAAGGTGGCCCTGCTGCCAACCTTGCAGGAGACCCAGATTTCTGGCTCCTGGCCATTGTAGCCATTTGGGGAATGAACCAGCAAATGGAAGACCTCTCTCTTTCTTTCTGCAACTCTGCCTTTCAAATAAGCAAATACATCTTTAATAATAATAAAAAAAAAAGACATAAATTGACACACCTGTATACTATACTGGAATGCCTGGGTTTGAGTCCTGGCCCTACTCCTGATTCTAAGCTTCCTGTTAATGCACACCCTGGGGGGAAGAGAGTGGGCACTCAACTACTGGGGTCCCTGCCAGCCATGTGTGAGACCTGGAGTGAGTTCTGGGTTCCTGGCTTCAGTCTGGCATAGTCTGAGCTGTTGTGAATATTTGGGGAGTGAACAAGCAGATGGGAGATTTCTGTCTCTCTGTCTGTCTGCCTTTCAAATATATTTAATTTTAAAAAAGTTAAAATAATAGATGTAAAATATTTTAACCAAACTATAATTTAAATTTTTAAACTGTTTTATTTCAATGACAAATAGATAGCACATATATAATATTAATTCATCATTTTTATGAGCCTCCACCAAATGCTCTCATTTAGGCAAGAAAGTATAAAGAATATAGTATGTGTAATATTTTAAATAGTTACTAACATTTATTTTACCTACTAAATTCTCTGAGTTTCCCAAATCCACACATAAATGGTTTCAAATTAAGTTCTGTCTTGTTGATTAATTTCTACATGTGGTCCCTCAATTGTACTCAGATCATCAGCATGGCATTTTTTTTATTACTCTAAAAATGTATAGAGGGAAACAGGTTACAATTTGAGATGCAGACAATCACAGCTGTCATCCTTCAGTCTTCACTCCTTTCCCACTCTCAGCCCCTCCATTCAAGAAAGCCAATTAGTGCAGAGTTGGCCTGGCCAGCATTCAAAGCACACTGCAGCGCTTCTTCAAAGCTTGCCGTGAAAGCGTCACTCACAGCCAGCAGTGTGTGCCCATGGGCTTGAGCTGAGAGAGATGACAGGAACCTACGAGGTGAGGTCACCTTGGGAAGCTATTTTGGTCTGGGCATTGGAGGTCCATGCACAGCCTGGAAGGAGGGCTGCGCATGCTTGGTGGGGCTGAAGTGCAAGGGTTTAACATTGGAGGAGGGAGAACATAAAGGATAGACAATGAGAAGCAGCTGAGTGGGGAGGATGGTGTGCGCCGGGAGTGAGGCCACTGGCACTCCCACAGTCTGCAGCAGTAACAGGGCCAACTTTACCGCATTCGTTCTGTGACCCTCAGAGAATTATGAAGGGGCCATAATTTGAAACAAGTAGCTAGAAGTTTAAGTACTGTGTGTGAGAGAGTGTTTTAGTTCCTACTGTTAAGTAAAAAGTAACTTACCCTGAGTTTCACTCTGTCTATCCAAACTGATGCAGGTACGCTGGCTTCAGAGCAGACTCGGGGACCTTTTCTCTCTGCATATTTTCTCCCCGGATTTTCACTCACTCCCAGAGCTGCAGATCTCAACAGCTCCCTCCCGGCCTGCATTCTTGGCATCAGTGGCCAGCTCCACCAGAATGTCTACCTGGCCCCTTGGCATCCCATTTGCCTCGTGTTAGAGACCTCAAGACCCCCAGGTCATGGAGCCTTTGGCCCCTGCCTCCAGGTCCTCTTCTCTCCATGAACTGCCCACAGAGCTCGTCTCAGAGCAGGCCACTCAGAACCACTTTAGGAAGTACCTGCTTCCTAAAGCTGGGTGGATTTGCCACCCACAAGCCTATTGTGTCGGCACCCATTCGCCAGAGCCAAGTCAGCTCTGAGTAAACGGGTCCTGTCCAACAGCACCTTCCACGCTTCTCCATGTCTTCTGAGCTCTCCCTTTCTGCACCCTGAGCTCCCACAGCTCCTCTCAGGGCCCATGCCCGCCCAGGCTTTCCAGGTGTTTTCTCCTTTCCTTACCTGGATTTAAGTCTCATCTTTGAGGCTTGCTTACTAATTATACCTCATCTCACAAGCACCAATTTGCTGCCTTGCCTGCCCCCAACTGTTTCAGAAAGTCACAAATGAAATCTAACTTTCTCAATGGTTTTCCTGGAAAATCTAAAAAATGGTGTTTTCCACATAGTAAGTGCCCAGACAGCATTCACCGCATCCGATTTCAATGGGCTTAATTACAAGTACAAGGAGACAGAGACGCAGTTAGAAAGTCGCTCTGCAGTAACTGAGAGGGGGGTTGTTTCCAACACATCTCAGCAGGCTGCCTCACCTTTCACTTTGTTATCCACCTCGTCCCCAGGAAGGCCCAGCCTTTTCTCTCGACAAGCAAGGCCCACAGGTTTCCACGGCGCTCTCAATGACTTGTCGCTCTTGTGGGCAAACAGCAAGGAGGAAGATAAGGAATCCGACGATGACGATGAGAAAGCCGTGAAATCTGCTAGCGGGTCAATACTGCTCCCTGTCAGCCAGTTAAATGAGCTCCTTCCATCTGCAACACGGATGATCAGAGCAGTCACGCCACTCAGTATCTCATAGCCCAGCCCAGCCTGTAAATCAGCAGTGAAGCCTGCTGGACACACCTGGTGACATGGGGGCCTCCGCACTCCCCTGCAACAATGAGGGGAGTGCGACCTGAGGCTGACCAGACACCTGCAGCTCAGTGTCTCCATTTGTAAAGAAACACCTCACATGCCCCTGCAGCCACTGTGGTTGCCACAGGAACACTACTTTGTATTTACTAGAAGGTGCCACTGTCCATAACTCCGACGCTGGTGTCACAGAATTTCTGTTCCGATTACTCTGAGTAGTCCTACTTCCAGAACCAATGGGATGTGGAATAAATTACATGAAGGAAAAATGGTGAAGCGCTGATATAAAATTATTCAGACATCTTACTCTACAATTTGTACTTTGCTGATCAAAGCAAACAGCTAAACAGTTTAATAAACTGTAGTAAATGAATTTGGGTCACCACTAAGATGTTTTAAATTTGATGCACTAAATAAATTTTCTTGGACAAAATATAAAACAAAAGCAGATATATCCTGAAAGTCTGACTGTTCCAGGCAGAAATATATTCCCTTTCTCTCTCTTTTTTTAATTCATGGTAAAATATACAAAAAAACTGCCATTTTAACTATTTTTAAATGCATAGTTCAGTGGCACTGAGTACACTCACAGTGTTGTGCCACCATCACAACTCTTTCAACTCCCAGTGCTGGAACTCTGTCCCAATTAAATGTGAATCATCCAACTCTCCCAGCCCTTCACTGCATTCTGTCACTATGGATGCGACTGTTGGAGGAACCTCTGTGCTTTTCTCCATTGAATGATGCATCTTTGCTGGGTTTCTAGTGCCCAAGTGCCCGGGGAGCTGGTTACCTGAAGTCTGCGTGGGTGTGAAATCATACTGCTGCTGGGTGGCCCTTATTTGCCCAGCTGCTGGCCCTCGGGGTTCGGGTCTGGAGCCTTCCTGGGTTCGCGTCTGGAGTGAATTTAAGGAGGCCTGGGTCTCAATAAACATTGGAGTGAGCACGGTGCTTCGGAAACGCCAGTCAGGCTCAATGGTGTATTCCTGCGTGTCAGACAGTTCCACATGAGATGATGTCCTTCTTTAGTCACACTGCAATATTTCTACTAAAAAATCCATCAGCAGGTATGTACCAAGATTTCATGTCTCTCTGGGAGAGGCAGCCAGGAGAACCTTTCCTAGTTTAAGAGTTTCAACCAGACACTTATTTGTCAATTACAAAAACTAATTAATGGGGTTGGCATTGTGGTGCAACAGGTTAAGCTACTGCCTATAACACTGGCATCCATATGCTGGTTCAACTTCACTTCTGATCCAGCTCCCTGCTAATGCGCCTGAGAAAGCAGAGGAAGATGGTCCAAGTCTCTGGGGTCCTGCACCCACATAGGAGACCTGGTTGAAGCTCCTGACTTCAGTCTGGCCAGCTCTGGCCATCTGGGGAGTAAACCAGTGGCTGAAAGATCTCTCTCTTTCTCTGCCTCTCAAATAAATACAAATAAATCTAAAAATAAACAAATAAGGGATAACTCCTATAATAGAAACACCAAAGTAAATGGCACAAAACCAGGTCCCACCTCCCTCTAGCTCTGACCAATGGGTGGACCATCATGAGTGTGCCCCAAGAAGGCACAGGAAGATGGGGAGGGTGAGGGGAGAGGGAAAGGGAATCCCAGAGACGCTGAGAGGATGAGGGGGATAATCCCTCCAGGAGGAGGGAAGCACACCCGAGTGTTTCAGAAAAATAAGAGAACCAGTTTATCACTGTTAGAAGGTGTTCATTAACTAACAAAGTAACCCTGCAATATTCATTATTTTCATAGAAACAAGCACATACCTGAAATTCACATTCTGACAGAGGATGCTCAAACATGGGGTTTGGGTAATCTGGGCTCAAGCTGGTCATTTCAAGCAAAAAATTTGTTGCTAAACTTAAAAAGTGCACTTCGATTTTAGGAGAATATAAGGAGTTTAGTGCCAACAACCGATCCAAGGTATTTGAAGGCAACCTAGTTTCATGGCTCCAGAAATTTCGAATAATCAATCTGAAAAGCAGACAGGAGAAAAGCACATTGCTTAAGTATTGGTAAACGAGAAAAAATATGCTATCCAGGGTGTCATGTGGAGGAGGCACAGAAAGCTTAACTGAGAGGCAAAGCATACTCAAATTTGTGCATGTAAAGATAATGAGATGAGGCCGGTGCCGCGGCTCACTAGGCTAATCCTCCACCTTGCGGTGCCGGCACACTGGGTTCTAGTCCCGGTCGGAGAGCCGGATTCTGTCCCGGTTGCCCCTCTTCCAGGTCAGCTCTCTGTTGTGGCCAGGGAATGCAGTGGAGGATGGCCCAAGTGCTTGGGCCCTGCACCCCATGGGAGACCAGGATAAGCACCTGGCTCCTGCCTTTGGATCAGCGCAGTGCGCCGACCGCAGTGCGCCAGCCGTGGCGGCCATTGGAGGGTGAACCAATGGCAAAGGGAGACCTTTCTCTCTGTCTCTCTCTCTCACTGTCCACTCTGCCTGTCAAAAAAAAAAAAAAAGAGAGAGAGAGAGATGAATTAGGAATAATAATATGCCTTGAAGGAGGGGAATTTTCCAAAACTACAGCACATTTAACAAGAAGTGAGGAACTAGGGGGATGTATTTTCTCATCTCTATCCTCTTGGACACCTGTGAGAATGAGTACATAATATTAACCATGCTGAAACTGAAAAGACATCTTGAGAAACTACATATAACCATCCACTGCCTTGCTAAAATAATTTGCTCCAATAATTGTCCTGGAGCCAGTGCTGTTGCACAGTGGGTAAAGTCACCACATGCAATGCCAACATCACGTAAAGGAGCCCAGTTCGTGTCTTGGCTGTTCCACTTCAGATCCACTTCCCTGCTGATAGCCTGGGAAAAGCAATGGATGATGTCTCAAGTGCTTGGTCTCCTGCACCCACGTGCACAAAGAAGCTCCTGGCTGCTGGCTTCAGCCTGGCCCAGTCCCGTTGGCGGCCATTTGCAGAATAAACCAGCGGATAGAAGATCTCTCCCTCTCTCTCTCTCTCTCTCTCTCTCTCCGTGTCTCTGCCATCCAAATAAATATATAAAATCTTTTTAGAAATTTTAAAGTAATTTGCTGGGCTTTTTCTTACTCCTTACAATGTGACTTAAGACACATTTTCACTACGCATATGAAATGCAGGAAGGAGAAAAGATGCTAATACTACAAGTACATTTCTATCATTGTTGAAAAATACTATACATTAGTTTAGAAAGCAGTATCCCTAAAATTCAATTGTCCTGTTCCAGTTATTCCAGGAAGACACATACTGAAGTCCAGGGTTGTCATCGATCAGTCCTTGAATCAGCACATCTTTTGCCAATTTAAATATTTCCTGGGAGTCATTATCTGTTTGACTTTCTGGATCTCTGTTTGAGAAAAATAACAGATGGTAAAACATCAGCACTCTCCTCCAGCCTTTTGTTCAACTACAGTAACACCATCTAGAATTAAAGAGAGCTTCCCATAAGAGGGGCCCAAACTCACAGCCAGACCCCCTGCTGAGAGTGTGCCCGGGCCTGATACCCTCCTGCCCCACGTCAGGAGTCCCCTTCACTGCTGCTGGCAGGAAGGGGTGGGAAGAGCAGGGGGCAGATGTGGGCACCACGAGCAGCCCCAGAGCAGCGTGCTCAATGCTGCCATGAGTTCCTGAGGGATGAGTGTCCTGGCCGAGTTCCTCTCAACCTCATAAAATAGTAAACAAGTTCTTATTCTACAAGCAGAATACTCACACTTTTAACTCAATCAATTACTTCATTTGTGAGTATTTCCTACACAAACAGCAGTCTCCCCTGATCCATGGCGGAATATGTTCTAAGATTCCCAGTGGATGTCTGAAAGCAAGGATAATAGGGAATCCTGTATCTACTACATTCTTTCCTATACACACTTACCTGTGATAAAGTTATAAATTAGGCATAGGAATTTATAAATTAGGCACAGAGATTATCAATAAGATACAACAATGATAATAATATGCTGTAATCAAATTAATGTGGGGGGCAGGCACTGTGGCATAATAGGTTAAGCATTCACTTGTGGCACCAGCATCCCATATGGCACCAGTTTGAATCCCAGCTGCTCCACTTCCAACCCAGCTCCCTGCCAATGGGCCCCTGCACCAGGAAGAAGCTCCTACCTCCTGGCTTTGTATCAGCCCAGCTCTGGCCATTGTAGCCATCTGGAGAGTGAACCAGTGCATGGAAGATCTCTCTCTCTCTCTCTCTGTAACTCTGCCTCTCAAATAAATAAATATTAAAAAAAAAAACCTAATGTGAATATCTCTTTTTCTCTCAAAATCTTATTATATGTTCTCCTTTTCACATAAAGCAGGGGTGGAGAATATCTGGCTCCCAGAAGTCATTTGGTCTGCCCCTGCCAAGGCAACTATAGGGAAGACTCAAAATTCAGTAAGTCTATAGCAGGTTAATTTCTAACTTGATGCTTTTGTATGACCCACAAATGATGTTATAAATATCCAAATGGCACTTGGAAGAAAAAGGGTCCCTAACCCCAACATAAATGAAGCACTTAATCCTGATTCTCTTCAGCATGTCTGAGTTGCTAGCACTGTGACTCTTGTGCTTTGAGAGTGAATCTGACAGCCAAGAGGGCTACTAACGTGACTACTGGGTGGGCAACATACATAACATGGATGTGCAGAAGGATGATTAAGGCCCTACACAGGACAGAGCGGCATGGTGGGAAATGTTAGCACACTACTCAGATGGTGCAATTTCAATTTCAAACTTCTGTACCTTTTACTTCTGGAATTTCCCATTTAATATTTCCAGACCTTGATTAATTGCAGGTATATGAAACTGCAGTAAGCAAAACTACAGATAAGGCAAGACCTCTGTATGTGAGATGACTTAAAGATATAATTCTAAATAAAACAAACTTATTTAATTTCTTAATTATGTGGTTAAAAAGTGTTTTATTAATTTTCAGACTGCACTCAAATGCAGTCTTTATTCAATTATTTTCAAATGCACAGAAATGATCCCTAAGGAAAGTCCTATCACACATGAATATGAAGCTTACCTGTAGTTGTCATGTATCCACATGAGAATATTATACATTTGTTCCCTGCACATAGGAGAAGGGTGGGACACAAACTCTACAACAGAGGCCAGAAGTTCTCGGAGTTCTACTGGTTTCAATTTTGCCATCATCTTATAAATGATGTCCAAACACACCTTTTGTCTTTCATCATCTCTACAATAAAACAGAGTTTTTAAAAACAACAGACTTAACAATTTTCATTCTTGCACCTTCAAAATGTGACAAGAAACATTCTTTCCTTGTGCTGTTCTTCACTCTCAGCCTTTGTTATAACGATAACACTGCACCTACATAAACATTACACTCCCACAAATAACTACCATGACCTAGATTACGAAACAATTCAATATATTATCTTGGATTGGCTCCTGGAAGAGAAAAAGGATACTGGGAGAGAAATTGGTAAAATGCAAAGAAAGTCTAAGTTAGTAAATAATAATGCACTGCTGCTAGTTTTTTGGTTTTGACAAATGGACCATCAATATATAAGAGGGGGAAAAGAAGTGAAGAGTATATGAGAATTCTAGGTACTATCTTTTAACTTTTCTGTAAAATTATTTGAAAATAAAAAGTTTATTTTAGAAAAAACTTGAAAATGCCAAACAAAATAACTTAAAAATACAAAGGATTTCAGACTTTAAAAAGTGATTTTAAGTGCCACCCTGTATAGTGTCATGTAGCAAGGTTAAGTGTAGCAGGGATCTTTAATGAGGCAAACATCTATTTCCCATTTTGTCTTTTGCCCTTAAAGTATTCAAATGAGTGCCTGACATGGTAGATATGCAGTAAATGCTGATCACAGGATATTAAAACACAATAACATTCTGTGAAACTGACACATTACACATTGATCAATAATGTATCACTATGTAACATTATATACATGGATCAATACTGCAAAAGTGTACAAAGAAATAAACTACTGTAAGAGGAGTAGCTTTCTCTTTTAACATTCATATAGTACAATCCTACAAATTAACAAACAATTTGAATATACAATGGAAGGTTCTCACCTGACACATCTCAAACCCATACATTTTAAATCTGAGAAAAGCCTGAGGCTACTCCACAGGCCACCTCTTGTATTTATAGGTGACCTACAAGCAGCTGAGATGTGGCCTCCCCAAGATGCAGGTGGGTGGCGGGGGAAGGTGGAGGCCCAGGACCAACTCAGGTACACCTTTCATTCTCAGGCTGTCTTCACCTTTTCTTCTCAGATCCAATATCCATAAATACACATTTAATGAAAATCTGTAAGCTCTTCATGAGTTGAAGACGTCTGAACGAATTCACATTTTTCGAGCCAGTAGGATCCTAGAGTGTGGGGCTGGTGCACACTCACCTGTGTCGTATGACCTGAAAAAAGTCCTTGCTCCTGAGCTGGAAGTACAGATCTGTGATTTCCTCTGCACGACAAAGCACCACCTCCAGACACAGTGTCTTCATCACGCCATGAAACTTGGGCAGCAGGAAGAACACTGCATTCAAGAACCTAAGCGGTGGGACAAGGGCTTAGGATAGCTGCTGGCCCAGAGACCCACCAACCAAAGGTGGCCCCAACAACCCCTACCTGTCAGCAAGGGGAGGGAAGCTCTTGACCACTTTATTCAAGCACACAATAAATTTGTCTTCCATAGTATTCTGATGTTGCTTCAACTGTTTTACAACCAGTTCACGCACAGGCTCCTCCAGGATCTGAAAAATTAAATTTCTTTAGAAACACTCAAGGTATAAACTGCCATTAAATACTAAAAATAAGGTTTTTTTAAGAAGTTATTTATTTATTTGAAAGGCAGAGTTACAGAGAAGAGAGGGAGAGACAGAGAAATCCTCCGAATGCTGGTTCACTCCCCAAATGGCCAAAACAGCTGGGGCTGGGCTGGGCTGGGCTGGGCTGAAGCCAGGAGCCAGAAGCTTCCTCCAAGTCTCCCAGGTGGGTGCAGGGCCCAAGCACTTCAGCCATCTTCTGCTACTTTCCCAAGCACATTAGCAGGGAGCTGGAGCGGAAGTTGAGCATCCAGGACACAAACCAGAGCTCATATGGGATGCCAGTATCACAAGAAGCAGCTAAACCCACTGTGCCACAGTGCCAGACCCTAAAAATAAGTCTTATCTTGAAAATTTAAGCACACCAAGGGAGGTGTTGGATGTTGTCATCTATCACAGGGTTTAATGTTTTCATCATCACAAGATGAATGGCAACACAGCAAGTTTTTGGAATGCCTCTTGGTTTGCATTAACCACTACCCTAGGGCTCTGGTCTCTGGGTTTCTGTTTGGGTTTGGGCTGGTGAGAAACATCAACAGCTGGGCTGTGAGCTGTGAACACCAGGAAATAAACTTGTGTCAGATATCCAATCAATGGAGTGTTTCCTTCGGACATGAAAACATTGCTAGGAAGTCCTTTGACAAACTGAAACAAAACCAGCAATTAAAGACTATTTCAGACAATTGTGTGAAGTTCTAGTTTCCAAATATTCAGATAGAACAGAAAAAACTCAATCAGAAGAGCAGCCCCTCTCTCTCTGTAACTCTGCCTTTCAAATAAAACAAATAAATCTTAAATTAAAAAAAAGAATGTTCTAAATTATTATATCGACTTATAAGGTTTGTCTTGTCATTAGAAGTATTTAATCTGAGGCCACAGTGAAATGGTCACAATATAACATGAAAAGAGAGAGATTGTAAAACAGCATGGATAAAGCAAACAGTAGACAAATGAATGCTGCACACTGGAGACGACTGAGCATCTCAGGTCCCAAGAGCAGCCTCGTGGGGAGAGAGAGGAGCCATATCTACTTCTTTACGAGCCACTCTGCTTCCCATGGGAGACCCAGATGAAGCCCTTGACTCCTGGCTCTGGCCTGGCCCAGCCCTGGCTGCTGCAACCATCTGGGGAGTGAACCAGTAGATGGAAGATCGATCGATTGATCCTTCCCCACACCCTCTCCTTCCCTCTCTAACTCATGCCATTCAAAGAAACAATCTTTATTTAAAAAGTTCATAGATAATGGAATAGATATGTTTATTTTTGTACCAAAAACTGAAATCCGTGCATCAAAAAGTTCATGAAAATGCATATTATGCAAAAACTATGCTGGATTTCAAAAAAAAGGTTTTGTATCAAAATAAACATGTCTTTTGATTCTATTTTCCATGAATTTATTGAAGTACCCTTGGGTCATTCTTTTTAAACAAGATTTACTTTATTTATTTATATATTTATTTGAAAGGTAGAACAGAGAGAGGAAGGATACATAGAGGGAGGGCCTAAGAGAGCTTCCACCCACTGGTTCATTCCTCAAATGGCCACAACAGCCAAGTCTGGGTCAGACTGAAGTCAAGGGCCAGGAACTCCATCCTGTCTCTCACAGGGATAGCAGAGACACAAGCACTTGGCTTACCCTCTGCTTCCCAGGTACATTAGCAGGAAGCTGGAGAGGAAGTAGAGCAACCAGAACTCAAACTGGCACTCTGATATGGTAGGCTCATGTTTTAAGCGGCAGGCTTAATTCACTGCACCACAACACTGCCCTCTAACTTCGTATTAAATTCAAAGTTAAGTGATGACAAATTACACCTGGGGATCTGCTGAAACCTGCTTCATCTGTTGTGAAAATGAAACACATTACATAAATTCAAGCCTAACACATGAGGATATTAGGATTACATTGTAACAAGATTATTCTCAGGTTTAAAAATTTAATTCACATAAAGAGCGGTTAATCCTAGAATAAATTGTAAATCTGATCTTCCCAAGGTGATCTATTTCCTTGTATTATTTAATTTTGCTTTAAACCCTAACAAATACTTAACTAGGGAAATGGACAAGGGTCTGATTCGCTGGGCTGGATCCTTGGATTCTCCAGCCGGAGAGTGACCACAGCCACTCTCTCACGTCTCTTTCACAGGAGGCTCTGGCCTGGAGACACAACCAGTACTCACAAACATCAACATGGCAGTTTCTAAAGTCAGAAGCTATGTGATGTGGGCAAGAAAAAGCGAAAACCACAGCAGCACTGCGGGGATGGGTGGGGGACAGGGAGAAGAAGACACTGCCAGGGAAGCAGGGACATAGCTGAGTGTCCTGGAAGGGGTGACCAACTGCCTGTGCCACCCTGGACAGACTAGGGACGTGCACAGCATCCTAGAGCATCGAGTGACCACAGGAGCACTTGAGAATCTGTGAGAGGGATGCCACGCACACAGGAGGCCTCACTCTGCCCACATGTGGACCCTTGCTAACACACACAGCTCAAACAAATAACTTCATTTAGCAGTTGGGTATGGGATCTGCACATTAGCTTTCAGTAAAGTTCTTCTCACACCCTGCAGAGTAGGCAGGGCACAGGCCTCTGATGAGGGCCCCACAGGTGCATGCTCCTCATCAACATCCTTATTGGAGTCAACTGCCAAAATCGGGGATTGGCTAGGATGACTTAGCCCGATCACAGCCACTCTCTACAGGGTAACATGATCACAGCCACTCTCTACAGGGCAACATTTTCCAAAAGGACAGGCTGAGACCGAGTTCACAGGCATGGGGAGCTGGTTAAATATTCTCATCATGATACAAGCTTTAAAGGATTATCAAGTTTTGACGTGTTTTAAAAAATCTTATGTCCCGACACACAATGCAAGATGAAGGAACAGAGGGTGCTTACTGCTCTAGTCTTGGCAGGATAGTTAAAAAAAAAACTGTGGAGGGAGCCCAATCTCAGATAGGGAGAAAACAGTAGAGGAAACTCCACGCAAATTAGAGGGACACTGTGGACCTATATGGAGGGTGTGGATGTGCACAACTCAGGACCCCAGGAGCTGAAAGCGTCAGCACCAGCTTTGGAGAGGTGAGGCCAGACTGCAGCAGCCCAAGCCACTAGTGATAAAGCTGCAGGAAGAGCCTGGCTTGAGTGTGGACTGGAGCCCAGTGGAGGACAGTGTACCTGCCAACCTAGAGGGAAAAAAAGGAGGAGCACATTTCTCTCTCCCCAACCACCCTTCGCCAGCGTCCTATAACTAGCTGAGAGATAGTGGACATCATCTGGGACATCCATAAGCAAGTGTGCCAGCTCAAGTTCGTGAACCCGGCAACCAGCTAAGCAGAAACTGGAGTCTGGCTGGGAGAACTGACAGGGGGTGGAGTGTTCATAACTCTGGGAGCCTAGTGTGTCTGGACTGTGAAAACACTATGGCTGTGTGGGAGGGTGCAGAGTGTGCCTGAGACTTTGGGCAGTCACTATGAGTGGCTCCACACACTTGGGGCTCCCTGATTCCCTGGTGAGGGTCATTGCTGTGGGATCCAATCTCACACGGAAGACTGCAAGGATCCTTTGTATGGTTCTTGTGGCAGTGCGAATGAACATTATACCCACTGGAGTATCACACACTGGTCTCCTTTGGAGGAGAGGAAGTGAGTGTGAGACTACATCAACAGAGCAGATTAATCCTCCCCTCTGATTAAAAAAAAAAAGATTTACCACACCCAATTTGGCTATCACCTTGGACACTCTCCTCACCTTGGAGCACTGAACAGAGCTACCTGGTCACACCCTGCACACACCTCCAGTTATTCACTGAAAGAGCAGACATTCCACTAATCCAGAGAGGCATAGTCCAAGATAACAGCCATCACAAAAGGAGAAAAAAAAAAAAAAACCTGACAAGTTCTCCACAAATGCCCAAAAATAAACACAGCAACTCAAGAAACAAAAATAAGGAAGACAACAAGATGCCTCCAAAGAAACACAACCCTTCAATTCTAGAGTGTGAAAATGAAAAGACTGAAGGAATAGCGGAAATGGAATTCAAAAAATTCATGGTAGGATCACTTAGAAGTAATCTGAAGCAAATTCGCAAATTAAAGAAATCGATACATGAGACATGAATGAAAATTTTTCCTGTGAAATTGAGATTTTAAAGAAAAATCAAAATGAAATATTGGAAATGAAGAACTCAATAGAACAAATAAGAAATGAGGTGGAAAGCCTTAACAACAGACATAGTGGCCGGCGCCGTGGCTCAATAGGCTAATCCTCTGCCTTGCGGCGCTGGCACACTGGGGTCTAGTCCTGGTCGGGGCGCCGGATTCTTTCCCGGTTGCCCCTCTTCCAGGCCAACTCTCTGCTATGGCCCGGAAGTACAGTGGAGGATGGCCCAAGTGCTTGGGCCCTGCACCCCATGGGAGACCAGGAGAAGCACCTGGCTCCTGCCTTTGGATCAGCGTGATGCGCCGGCCGCAGCACGCCGGCCACGGCGGCCATTGGAGGGTGAACCAATGGCAAAAAGGAAGACCTTTCTCTCTGTCTCTCTCTCTCACTGTCCACTCTGCCTGTCAAAAAATAAAAAATAATAATAATAAAAAAAAACACAGAGTGAAGCAGAAGAAAGAATATTCAGGTTAGAATACAAATCTCTGGAACTTTTAAAGTCAGATCAAAAAAAGAAGAAGAAATTAGAAAACTAAAAAACAATGTTGGAGATTTATGGGATACTATCAAAAGACCCAACATACATGTCTTAGGAGTGCCTCAAGGCATGGAAAGAGGCAAAGAATTAGGTCTTTTTAGTGAAATAATTACAGAAAACTTTCCTAATTTGGAGAAAGAAAGGGACATCCAAGTACAGGAAACACATAGAACTCCTAATAAAGATGACTAGAAAAGATCTTCACCACAACATATTATAGTCAAACTATACACAGTAAAACATAAATAATAGATTCTAAAATGTGCATGAGAGAAACGCCAGATTACTTTCAGAGGATCTCCAATTAGACTCAAAGCTGACTTCTCATCAGAAAACTTACAGGTAGGAGAGAATGGCGAGATATATTCCAAGTCTAACAAGAACAAAACTGTCAGCCTAGAATACCGTATCCTGAAAAGTTATCATTGATGAATGAAGGTGAAATAAGAACCTTCCATAACAAACAGAAATTGAAAGAATTTGTTACCACTTGTCCAGTCTTACACAAGATACTTAAGAATGTGTTACACAAACATGGTCATCAATATAAAAGGTGAAGGCAGAAAATCTTCCAGTAAAAATAGAAAGGAAATCCAAAATAAACAATGGGAAAATTTATGGAAAAATGGCAGGGAAATTGAACCTATTCTGGTTTTTCTTATGTAATTCCTTAGATTTTAGAATATTCTGTTACTGGGAATCTAGCCACATTAATAGGCAATCTGGTTTTGAATCTTTTTAAAAAGAAGGTATTTATTATATTGGACCATTTTTTATTATTATTATTACATACCATTTGTGTGATTACAGTGTTAAGCCTCAGTTCTTATGTCTTTGGGCAGAAGAGTGTATCAGTTATTTTAAATGAAATGTTCCCTGTCTTTGACATTCAGTTCGTATGTGTTGCCAAAAAATACTAGGTTTTGTATTACTTGGATATTTAAAAACAAATGGATAAGATACTTTATGCAATCAATTAGTTTTTATTTCTGGATAAAATAGAAATGAAATAAATATCTTAAGTACTTAAAGGATGAAAATAATGATAGTGCTTATAAGTACTGTGAACCCTTTGTGTTTGAGGCATCCAAAATTCAAGTGTTCACTAGATTTTTCTCCTGCAATCCTGCTCTTTTTACTATGCTTCATGCATTTACCCTTTTTATAACCCTGCTGTTTTACAACAGGGTTAAAGTGTCATTATATCTGTGGTCATTATGAATCCTATAGCTTTTCCAGTTAGGAAATAGTCTCAACAATACTTAGTGGCATTTTTTTGGTTAATATTTTACCCACTGATGGTATTTTAGATACCTTTAATCATTTTAATAAGGGGTCTACAAAAATTTAAAACACTACATACTGTATTTGAACTAGTTAGTGAAGAATAAGAAAAAAAATACTTATTCGGACTGGAGATGTTCCATTAGTTAAATTTCAAAATTTTTAATAAAGAACTTCAGAGACAGCATGAGACCTGATGGTATCCGTTAAAATAGCTCCTGTGATATGGAAAGGAATCCCAGAAGCAGTGGAAGACATGTGGGGCATTTACTTGCTATGGTTGTGGTTGTGGTGTGCTCATACTTAAATATAGGTAGTGACACACTGACATTTTTGTTGTTGGATAATCTGGAGTAGTGTCTTGCATCTCTACTAAAATAACTATAAATTAATGGAATTCACAAAGAAGAAATTTATATGACTGTACTGTATTTGGGAGCTTTTGTACAGTCAGGTAAAGTTTCCATAATACAAAGTATTTGGATTTTAAAATTTATTATTATAAGAAAAAGACATGGTATTATTCCATGTGTTCAAATGATAACTTGCTTATTGAGTTCCAGAAGAAAAAACTATGAAATGAATAACTGTCACTGCATTAGCTATAACATTAAATTGGCAAGTTGTAGCATAAGCCTTAAATCTGTGTTTCTCCAATGTGAACCATATGGGTGAGACCCCAGTGGAAATAAGTGATCATCAAAGAAGAAGGTACTTTTCTCCAAAGGGAGGAGAGAACTTCCAATTTGCTTATGGCCTTGTCTAAATACTGATGGAGTTTGTGAATTCAAAAGGCTTCCATAGCCTAGGCAGCTCATGTCAAGAGCCTTGGGTGATCACTGATGTCATACATAAGAGTGTTAATTTTAACAATTAACAACAAGAGTCACTGTGCACTAACTTCCCATGCAGGAACTCTGTTCTCAAAGAGTTGTTTTATAATTAAGTGCGTACAAAAGATGTATCATTCTTGGGTGCTTATTTAAAGTTAATTAAGTTTCTAAAAACAAACAAACAAAAAAGAAGCGATGGGGCCGGCATTGTAGTGCAGCAGGTAAAGCTGCCGCCTGCAGTGCCAGCATCCCATATGGGCTTCGGTTCTAGTCCTCTTCTGATCCAGCTCTCTGCTATGGCCTGGGAAACAGTAGAAGAGGGCTAAGTGTTGGGCCCCTGCACCCACATGGGAGACCCGGAAGAAGCTTCTGGCTCCTGGCTTCAGATCGGCACAGCTCTGCCTGTTGCGGCCAATTGGGGAGTGAACCAGCAGATAGAAGACCTCTCTTTCTCTCTCTCTGCCTCTGCTTTCTCACTCTGTGTAACTCTGTCTTTCAAATAAATAAATAAATCTTTAAAAAAAAGTGAAATTAACTTTTAGATGCAATGACTTTGAACAACCCTTGTCTTAAGAGTTGAGGAACAGTTTTGTTTTGTTTTGTTTTGCTTCTGTGCAAATTGCTGAACTCTTTACTTAGTACAGAGTTGGTCTTCTGGGTATAAAGTTACTTGAGTGGAGAATGGGACTGGGAATGGAAGAAGGAGGAGGGGTGGGAGGGTGGGTGGTGAGGTGACTATGGTGGGAAGAATCACTATATTCCTAAAGTTGTACTTATGAAAAGCATGAAATCTGTATTCCTTAAATAAAGGGTTTCTATGGGGGGGAAATTTTTTTAAAAAAATGTAAGCCATAGTAGTATACTGCTGTTTTGTATATACTGTAAGTGCTACATATATTCTCAGCACTGAACAGGTTATTGATACCTCTCAAATGAATGTAACCTTTGATGTAGGTGTTTTGATATGCCTCAGAAAGTATCTCAGTGTCTGCAAATTTGTTAATCAGTTTGGTAATGAAGATACTTCCTCTTCTTTTTTTGTTGTTGTTTCACATTTTCATATTTAAATTTGAATTTTTACATTTTTACTACTGTTAAGTACAATTTGTTCAACAGTTAAAATAGGGGTGTCAGTGAAGAAACTTACAGCCTCATTCATGCAACTGCTTAAGTAAAAACTACAGTTTGCGATTGATGTTTATACACTTTTAATGATCTATTTCTGTTTAAATATAAGTGATGATGCTTAAAACAAAATTAAATTTTAAAAAATCTTATGTCCGTTTTAAAAAATCTGAGCACTCTATCTGAAGCACTGTAGGAAAGAGCGTGAAACAATAAATGTAGGCACCCACCTTGCTCCTAACAACACACAGGAAATACATATAAGCAACAAATCAGAGACATTCACTGAAAATTGCACACTCACATCTTTTCTCTCAGTAATGTATCGGAGAACGAATCCTAGAACTTCTGCCGCTGCTGCATACACCTCTCTATATTTTACAAAGGACATATTATTGACTAAAGCTTGAAAGTACCTATAACAAATACAGAAAAAAAAAAAACACATAAATGAATCCACTGTGCTGTTTGAGGTGATAAAAACACAGCAACATGATGCAAATCACTCATGCAAATACATATCTGAACACGTATGTAGGTTCTGACATCATAACCATGGTGACACAAGGAGGCCCAGCATGCAATAACATGGAACTGTTACTGATGGAAGACATGCCAAAGCCAGAAGCCATACAACCCACACTGAGGGAAAGAGCTAGTATTCAGGATGTTGAGGCACCAACTCCCTTTCAAAAGCCATCTCCTGTGACAGGACAAGGACAATACAATGATGGTCTATGTGAGGGGACTGTCGGGAGCAGCACCTTATCAGCCTCACAGCAACTCTGAAAGGTTGCTCCTGGTAAGGAAATCAACACACACAAAAACAGCTCAGACTAACAGAGAGCAAGTGCCTGAGTCTGTGTTGAGCATCTGGCTGTCTCGGACCCCAGGTCACTTGCTAGGTATGGCACCTGCACTGGTGTGACTGGTAGTAGGCAGGACACAGGGGAGAACCAGAGAGGGAAGCGCTCCCTGGAGGAGGCAGAGCTGGGGGCAGTAACCAGGCAGGAACAGAGGAAGGCCCTTTGGGGATGTCCCAAAACTACCTGACTAAAGCCCCTCCCCATACCCATCACATGCACCCTGCCCTGAGGAATAATATCATCTTGGGCTGGAGCACAGTGGGGTGCAGGAAAGAGAGCCCAGGGACAGGGCGGTCAGTGCCTGGGCCCTGTCACAGTGAGGCCCGGGACTGCGCCTCTCCCAGGAAGATGTTGCTTACAAAACAAGGAAACATCTAACAGTTGGGACCTGTCAACACCTACAGGAAGAAAACACACTCCCTTTACAAACACACAGCCCTCATTCACTCCAGACACATTTATTTCTTCTCTCAAATGACCTCTTATCCAACTAAATTTAGGTAGAAATATTTTTAACATGGGTTCTGTTCCTTAAATTTATGGAAACTGCACCATCCTCAAGTCTGTCAATCTAATCCAGGTAGATTTTAGCTTAAAAAAGAATCACAACAGAAAAACAGAACACGTACATGACACTCTCGACTCCACACTTGGGGTCATAGGGAGGAAGGTTATTGGCCATCACAATGCCCAGTAACTGAATCCCTACGGAGTTGTCTTTAGAATTGGCATCTTTACTGGAAAACCTTTCAAATATTAACCTGAAACATAAGCATGGCAGAGAAAACAGAGATGGTCATGTAATAAAATGAGAAGCAGGAAGACAAATACAGAATTTCCTGGAGCTATTTTTCAAGGTAAGAAATACTTTTTCTTTTCCATCACACCCACTTCTTGATTATACTTCCTTGTCTGAACATAGGCTGCTTTATATTTGTATTTTTCTAATTACCTAGTACAATTCTCCCTTAATTAGTAGCAAAACTTTGAAAGCTTTAACTGCCTCAGGCTATGCTCAAAGGACTCAAACAAAACTCCCATGTTCCCCTTTGGGCCGGGACAGGGCAGGATGGGGCATACCCTACCTGCCCATCATGGGGCAAAGTCAGAGCAACCTGAGGGACCCAACAGGGGTCACCAGAGACAACGACCAGCCAGAGAGGCCTCTGGGGTCAAACTGTGGAGGCTATAGTCTCATTAGCAGTAAAATGATTGCCTTATAAATGGACTGTTTCAAATCATCTTCCTCCTATCACTTCACACGATTACATTTCATTTACGGCATGCTACATTTAAACTGAAACGTCTAAACATGACAGAGAGTAGTAGTTGAGTACCTGTAAGGGATGGCTAAACAATCCTTCCAGCATTCAACGAGGGTTTTTATAATCTCAAGGTTGTGTCTAAAAACAGCTCTTTTTGGATGAAAAACATGTTTCATTAGGAAATGAAGCAGTCGATTTGCTAATATTTCATCTTTAGGGATCCCCTGAAAAGATACAGAAAGCCTATATTAACATGCAGCATTCCACTCCAGAAAAGTACTTTGTTTAATCCAAAAGTCCATTTATAAAAGAATCCTGGCTTTTTCCTGAGGAGTGGCTCCTGGCTAAAAAACTCAGCGTGATTTTTCAGGGCTGACCACAAGCAATGCCAAAGGCTTTCCCTGCAGGCCTTGAGGGACGCGGCCTCCACACCCGGACAGGGCATGATGTAGTGTGTGCTGCAGTCTACAAAGGAGCTGTGGTTCAAGGGCCCAGGCCTGGCCAGCCTCGCTCTTTGCACATCAGCATTTCCTTGGATACGACCTATGCTGAGACCTCTTCATGGGGGCCAGTGGGTAAAGCTCCCTGACTCAGAACCCTCACCCTACTCAGGGTCCATAAAACTGGGGGAGCCTTTTGCTTTGGGGTCCTCATCAGTGAGATGACCCCATGTCTGTGTTGACCCTTGAAGGGCTCTGTTGTATGAAGAACATGGGATGGGCCCTTTCATGCCTTCTCCCTCATAGCTTAGCACAGTCAGAGGAATTATCAGAAGCAGAAAAAAGAAACCTAAACCAAAGCAGCATGAGGCCATTTAATGAACATGACACAACATCACTAAGCAGAGTGGGACTCTGTCGCGGGCTCTGTAGGCTATCAGCAAAGGAATAAGACATCACAATATATAAAACGTGTCAATGCTCACCACAGGAGTAGCCAAGCCTGTCCAGGAAAGAACAGTAGCCACTAACTCAACCACCATGTAGTGAATCCCTTCACCTCCGTTGTTTTCAGAAACAGCCAGCTGCAGCAAGGGGCTGAGCCAGTGCTTTGCGTAAGGGCGAAAGACCTGAACGAGAATGGAAAATCAAACATCACAGAATCATTTAATAACCAACACATTAATACAGAAATATATTCTGCATCAGCTAAAATTTTACTTTATCAGGGCCATTGTTGTGGCACAGCAGGTGAAGCCACTGCCTGCAACGCCAGCACACTTTATGGGCACCAGTTCATGTCCCTGTTGCTCCACTTCCAATCCAGCTCCCTGGCAACAGACTGGGAAAAGCAGTTGGAAGATGGTCCGAGTGTTTGGGCCTCTGCCACCTACTTGAAGACCTGATGAAGCTTCTTACTCCTGAATTCAGACTGGACCAACACTGGCTGTTGTAGCCAGCTGGGGAGTGAACAGGATAGAATCTCTCTCTCTCTCTCTCTCTCTCTCTCTGGGGAGTGAACAGGATGGAATCTCTCTCTCTCTCTCTCTTTGGAACTCTTTTGAATAAGTAAGTAAATCTTTTTAAAAATTGCTAATTGTTGGGAGCAGCACTGTGGTGCAGTGGGTTAATGCCCTGGCCTGAAGTACTGGCATCCCATATGGGCACCAGTTCGAATCCCTGCTAGTCCACTTCTGATCCAGCTCTCTGCTATGGCCTGGGAAAGCAGTAGAAGATGGCCCTAGCCCTTGGGCCCTGCACCCATGTGGGAGACCCAAAGGAAGCTCCTGGCTCCTGGCTCTGGACCAGCACAGCTCCGGCCATTGCGACCAATTGGGGAGTGAACAAGAGGATGGAAGACTTCTCTCTCTCTCTGCTTCTCCTCTCTCTGTGTAACTCTGACTTTCAAATAAATAAATAAATCTTTTTAAAAAATCGCTAACTGCATGATCCTTTAAAAAATAAATATTTAAGGAGCTGGTGCTATGGCATAGTGGGTAAAGCCACTGCCTGCAGTGCTGGCATCCCATATGGGTACCGTCCTGGCTGCTCTGCTTTCAATCCAGCTCTATGCTATGGCCTGGGAAAGAAGTAGAAGATGGCCCAAGTTCTTGGGCCCCTGCACCCATGTGCAAAACCCGGGAGAAGCTTCTGGCCCCTGGATTTGGATCAGCCCAGCTCGGCCATTGCAACCATTTGGGGAGTGAACCAGCAGATGGAAGACCTCTCTCTCTCTCTCTGCCTCTGCCCCTGCCCCTGCCCCTGCCTCTCAGTAACTCAGCCTTCCAAATAAATAAGTGAATCTTTAAAAATAAATAAACATTTTTAAAAATTGTGACGCAGCAGATAAAGCCGTTGGCTGCAATGCTGGCATCCCATATTTACCTGCTGCTCCACTTCCTCCTAATGTGCCAGGAAAGCAGCTACAGAAGTCCCCTGCACCCACATGGGAGACCTGGACAAAGTTCCTGGCTCCTGGCTTCAGCCTGGCTCAGGCCTGGTTGTTGCAGCCTAACTCTGCCTCTCAAATAAGTAAAATAAATCTTTAAAAAAATTATACTTCTATTTGATGCATATGCATATGAAAATGAGATTATAGAAATTAAGTAGTCACATGTGCCTCCAGTGCTTCATGTCTTCCTATATTTTTTTTTTTGACAGGCAGAGTGGATAGTGAGGAGAGAGAGACAGAGAGAAAGATCTTCCTTTTTGCCATTGGTTCACCCTCCAAAGGCCGCCACGGCTGGCGCGCTGCGGCTGGCGCATCGCGCTGATCTGAAGGCAGGAGCCAGGTGCCTCTCCTGGTCTCCCATGGGGTGCAGGGCCCAAGCACTTGGGCCATCCTCCACTGCACTCCCAGGCCACAGCAGAGAGCTGGCCTGGAAGAGGGGCAACCGGGAAAGAATCCGGCGCCCCGACCAGGACTAGAACCCGGTGTGCCAGCGCTGCTAGGTGGAGGATTAACCTATTGAGCCATGGCGCCGGCCCTTCCTATATTAAAGAAATCATTCTATTATGTCATACATTTAAAATCTCTGAAATCTAAAAACACATCCATATACTAAATTCCATTAATTTATTTTAGGAACTCTTTTTTTTTTTTTTTTTTTTTTGAGAGGTAGAGTTATAGACAGTGAGAGGGAAAGGTTTTCCTTCCGTTAATTCACTCCCCAAATGGCCACCAAGGATGGTGCTGCACCAATCCGAAGCCAGGAGCAGGTGCTTCTTCCTGGTCTTCCATGCGGGTGCACTGCCCTCCCGGGCCACAGCAGAGAGCTGCACTGCAAGAGGAGCAACCGGGACTAGAACCCGGTGCCTGTATGGCATGCCAGCACTGCAGGTGGAGAATTAACCAAATGAGCCACGGCGCCGGCCCTATTTTAGGAATTCTAAGAGAATGTCACTTTGATGGCAAAGAACAGAATGAAGACTGTAGTCCAAGCTGTCTACCTTCTTAAGCTTTCTACCTTCTCTTTTTCAAATATGAAGGCATACTTTCAAAAGTTCATGGAAAATAGAATTATTTATTTATTTATTTATTTTAATTTTTATTTGACAGGCAGAGTTATAGACAGTGAGAGAGACAGAGAGAAAGGTCTTCCTTCCATTGGTTCACCTCCCACATGGCCACTATGGTTAGCACGCTGTGCCGATCCGAAGCCAGGAGCCAGGTGCTTCTTCCCAGTCTCCCATGCAGGTGCAGGGGCCCAAGCACTTGGGCCTTTCTCCACTGCCCTCCTGGGTCACAGCAGAGAGCTGGACAGGAAGAGGAGCAACCAGGACTAGAACCCAGCACCCATATGGGATGCCGGCGCCGCAGGTGGAGGATTAATCAAGTGAGCCAGGGCGCCAGCCCCAGAAAATAGAATTAAAGTATAAGTTTATTTTGGTGCAAAAAACCCCACATATTTGGCTCCTTTTTGGTAGCCATCAAGACAGCATTTAGAGGAACTTGGGCTAGAAATCACATATAACCCCACGTATTATGGTATGGACTGTATCCCTCAAAAAGCTGTTGAGGTCTTAACCCTAAGAATGTGACTGTATTTGGAGACCAGCCTTTACAGAGGTAACTTAGTTAAAGTGAGGCCATTAGGGTAAGCATTAATGCAATCTGACTGGTGTCCTCCTAAGGAGAAATCTGGGCAGAGAGACATAAGGGAACACAGTGTGAAGACTGAGGGAGAATGAGCTGATGTGCCAAAGGATGCCTGAGGCCACCAGCAGCTGGGATGGACCTAGACCAGAGTCTGCTTCCCAGCCCTCAGGAAGATCCAACACTGTGACTCCTGGATCTTGGACATCTGACATTAAGAACTGCTGCTTGAGTCCTCCAGTCTGTTGTACCTTGCAACAGCAACCCCAGGAGCCAGAAATCACACAAGACGCTCAGGAAAGCAGGCCCCACTGCAGTCCCAAGCAGTAGCTCAAGGGCTTCCTGCTGGGCCCAGCCTTGGGTTCATGGCATCTGCAGAGTGCCCAGAAGAACTTGCTATCTGGCACAATGGATCCCATCACCCCTGCTGCCCTTCAGGGGCTCACTACTACTCGACCAATGAGCCACACACCTTGCACGGCTCGCAGTAGCCTGGTCCAGCATGCCTGTCCCTGAGACATCTTTTGTTCAAGCCCAGCCCTTTGTGCTCCATGCAGTTGGTGCAGACACACAGTGGGTCTTCCAGGGCTGCCTCTGCTTGGCCTCTTCTATGGCAAACTCCCACCACATGCCCCCAAGCTTAGCATAAGGGCTTGCTGTGAGATCCACCTAACTCCCACTGTTGAAGAAGGTCTAACTGAGGTATGCCAGAAGTAGACAAATAGCAGCGACCTAAGGCAAAGGCAGCTCTTTCTCATATGTTGGTAATAGGAATATTTTCAACCATTTTTTTCTCCTATAAACAAAGAAGGTTGATAGCCTAACACAGCCTAGTTATGATGACTATAAACAAAGAAAGCTGATAGCCTCGTTAAGATGACTTCTAACTAGAATGGGATGGGAGAGGGAGTAGGAGATGGGATGATTTGCAGGTGGGAGGGTGGTTATGGGGGGAAAAACTGCTATACTCCAAAAGTTGCACTTTCAAAATTTATATTTATTAAATAAAAGTTTAAAAAAACAAAAACAAAAAAAGATGACTTCTAACTCAATAAAAATTAACCTACTCATTTGTAAAGAAATCAAGAGGAGGCCGGCGCCGTGGCTCACTAGGCTAATCCTCCGCCTAGCGGCGCCGGCACACCGGGTTCTAGTCCCGGTCGGGGCGCCGGATTCTGTCCCGGTTGCCCCTCTTCCAGGCCAGCTCTCTGCTGTGGCCAGGGAGTGCAGTGGAGGATGGCCCAGGTGCTTGGGCCCTGCACCCCATGGGAGACCAGGAAAAGCACCTGGCTCCTGGCTCCTGCCATCGGATCAGCGCGGTGCGCCGGCCGCAGCGCGCGGGCCGCGGCGGCCATTGGAGGGTGAACCAACGGCAAAGGAAGACCTTTCTCTCTGTCTCTCTCTTTCACTGTCCACTCTGCCTGTCAAAAAAAATAAAAAATAAAAAAATAAAAATAAAAAAAAAAGAGAAATCAAGAGGAACCAGCATTGTGGTATAGTGGGTAAAGCAGCCACCAGCAATGGGCACCAGTTTGCAGCCATTTTGGGAGTGAACCAGCGGATGGAAGATTCTCTTTCTTATGCCTCTCCCTCTCTCTGTAACTCTTTCAAATAAAAAATTAAAAAAAAAAAAAAAGAAACTGAGAAAAGAATGATGTTGAATAACTAGATAAATACATAAATATAACTGTCTATTCAGTGGATCAGTGAATAAAAATGTCATGCTCTGTCCCTTTCTATCTCCCTTTGTTGTGGTTTTTTAAGTAGATGTAAAGAACTGTTAAAGAAATGACAAATTACTTACTTCTTCTGTATTAATGACAAGCTTGGCTAAGAAGAGACGAACATTTAATGGCACTGATGGATTTCCTAGTTTGTCATGAAGAAATTTCATCCAAGGAGGAAGATCTCTTGACACTGAACCCTGAAATCAAACACTCAAAATTACCTTAAAAAGAAAGGGGGAAAAAACCTTCACATTTGATTCTATAAGAAAATGATGATAAAGTAAGATATGAACAACAAAAAACTGTATTTATTCGACATGCAATTTGGTTTACCTCCAACAGTAAAAGATCATTTTTCGGTAAGATACCAGAGAATAGCATCAACAGAGATAATTAAATTAGTTGGGGAAAGTACCTCTTCTGCCTGGGGTGGGACCAGCTTTCTCATGTGCTTCAGCAGGGCAGCCAGGGGGGCCATGCATTCGTGCTGCCCAAGCTCATCCATCTCTAACTCCAGGACATCACCTTGGACCTTGGAATCTGGATGTTCCTAAGAAGCAGGAAGTGCAGTGTTGAAATGTCAGTGCACAACTGGGGGCATTATCGTAGAACAACTGACAAGGTTATAACAATATCAAATAGAGCCAGCATGGTTTGCTATTAAACAACTAAAAGATAAATAGGACCCCATGTCTTCCTTACATCCCAGACTGTCCCCAGATCCTGCCTGCCTAATCACTCCCCCAGGTAATCCCTCAAGTCAGACCATCTCTGCTATGGTGACCATAGACCCTGTCTGTGCAGTCATGTCACTGGGATCACAACTTAGGTTAGTTGTGCCTATGCTGACCTCTAACCCACCTGTATGGTCACCCTCAGGGGTCTCATCAGGTCAGGGCATCTCTGCTGCTTGGATTTCTGATCTCCTAACTTCCTTTCTGTGCTGATGAAAACTGACTGCTGAGTCTACGGGATGAAAGGCTAGGGCTTGGATATTGGGAAAATTCCCCGATCTACACTTCTGTCCCAGGACTACCTCGCTTCCTCCAACAATCACAAGGCATACTCTGAGCCCCCCACCCTGCCCTTTACAAACTTCAGCAACATTCTTTTAATATGGGCGATGTGATCACCTGTCTCCGAAAATGACCAGTGGCAGATTTAGGGTCTTGGGAGCTGTATGAATAGCTTTGAACCCCAGTTGAGAAATCAAATTGACTCATTTCCTCACTCAGGCTACTGTCTGCCAAATATGACAAGGATGACATATAATGAGGACCATCTGAAATATATTAAAAAAATACATGTATTCAAAACCAATCAGAAACATTTCTCTAAGCTCAAATGATATTAAAATAGATACTTTTAAGTAAGATTTTCATCACCAGTTAAAGATTTAACCATTATTTATTTATTTAAAAGAGTGACAGAGAAAGGGAGTGATACAAAGAGAGAATCTTCTATCTACTGATTCATTCCCCAAATACCTGCATCAGCCAGAGCTGAGCCAGGCTGAAGCCAGGAGCCAGGAACTCCATCCTGGAGCCTGTCTTCCACTGCCTCCCAGCTACATTAGCAGGGAGCCGGATCAGAAGCACAGCAGCTGGTACTCAAACTGACACTCCCATATGGGATGCTGACAACAAAGGCAGTGCTTGACCTGCTGTGCCACAACACTGGCTCCAAACTGGATCCAGTTTTGAACAGAATTTTTTTACATTAAAATTCTGATATTGTACACTTTGTCCACTAAGCCTAACAGAAATGTGGGAAGAAATACTACTGGAAAAGAGCTAATCCAAATATGTAAGGAATTTAGAAAACTGGTTCAAATTTTATCCTCAAGTCAATAAATGGTGATAAAACCTATGAAGAAGAAAAGCTGCAATAAGGAACATGCAGCAGGATGGAGAGTTGATAACAAATAGGAAGGCCAGGAAGGGCCTCCTTCAGACCCTGATATTTCAGACAATGTCCTGAGGCATGCAGGGAACAGCAAGTGCAAATGCCCTGGGGAAAAAGCAGGCCTGGCACCCACAAGGCACAGCAGCAGTTTATGCTGCTGCAGCAGAGTGAGTAGGCAGTAGGGCAGCAGGGGAGGCAGCAAACAGGTTCCGAGAAGTTTGGAACAGAGGGGTGGTAGGGTAGCATTTGTATTCTAATGCAAATTTCTGAATGTATATGAATAATTTGATCTATGTGTAATCAAAGAAACATCAAGCTAATCTTTTACTTTAAAAAACTGTGACACACATGGGTACTTCAAAAAGCTCACGGAGGGCCCAGTGCTGTGGCGTAGCAGGTAAAGCCGCTGCTTATAGCACCAGCATCCCATATGGGCACTGGTTTGTGTCCAGGATGCTCCACTTAAGATCCAGCTCCCTGCTAATGTGCTTGGGAAAGCCAAGGAAGACAGCCCAAGTGCTTGGGTCCCTGCACCGATGTGGGAGACACAGATGAAGCTCTGGGCTTCAGATCGGCACAGCTCTGGCCGTTGAGGTAATTTCAGGAGTGAACCAGTGGATACAAGACCTCTCTCTCTTTCTCTGCTCTAACTCTGCCTTTCAAATAAATAAATATATCTTTAAAAAAAAAAAAAAAAACACTTTTCAGAGTTGGCACTGTGGTGTAGAGACTAAAGCCGCTGCTTGCAGCACCAGCATCGCATACGGGCATCAGTATGGGTCCCAGTTGCTCTACTTTAAATCTGACTCCCTGTTAACGTGCCTAGGAAAGCAGCAGAAGATGGCCTGAGTCCTTGAACCCCTGCATCCTCTTTGAGGACCCAGAAGAAGCTCCTGGTACCTGGCTTTGGATTAGCCCAGCTCTGGCAAGGCAGCCATTTGAGGAATAAACCAGCAGATGGAAGTTCTGTCTCTCTCTCTCTCTCTCTCTCTCTCTAACTCTGCCTTTCAAATAAATAAATAAAGCTTAAAATGTTTTTTCAAACCCAATTTCAGTGTTTTACTCCTGAGGTATTTAAAATATTTTCTATTTATTTATTTATTTTTTAAAGATGTATTTATTTATTTATTTGAAAGGCAAAGTTAGAGAGGCAGAGGCAGAGAGAGAGGTCGATCTTCCATCTGCTGATTCACTCTCCACATGACCACAGCAACCCAAAGCCAGGAGCCAGGAGCTTCTTCCAGGTTTCCCAAACGGGCGCAGGATCCCAGGGACTTGGGCCATCTTCCACTGCTTTACTTTTTTATTTTTTTATTTTTTTTATTTTTTGACAGGCAGAGTGGACAGTGAGAGAGAGAGACAGAGAGAAAGGTCTTCCTTTTGCCGTTGGTTCACCCTCCAATGGCCGCCGTGGCCGGCGCGCTGCAGCCAGCGCACCGAGCTGATCCAATGGCAGGAGCCAGGTACTTCTCCTGGTCTCCCATGGGGTGCAGGGCCCAAGTACTTGGGCCATCCTCCACTGCACTCCCTGGCCACAGCAGAGAGCTGGCTTGGAAGAGGGGCAACCGGGACAGAATCCGGCGCCCCGACCGGTGTGCCGGCGCCGCAAGGCGGAGGATTAGCTTAGTGAGCCGCGACGCCGGCCTCCACTGCTTTACAAGGCCATAGTAGAGAGCTGGATTGGAAGTAGAGCAGCTGGGATTCAAACCAGCGCCCATGTGGGATGCCAGCACTTTAGGTGGTGGCTTTACATACTACACCACAGCACTCACCCCAATATTTTCTACATATATAAAAATACCAATTAATAGAATTTTTTCATTATTTTGAAAACACCCACCTGAATCCCCATTTGTTGCTTCCCTCACTTCTTTTCTAATTTCAATGTATTTTTTCTTTCTTTCCATAGGAACCTATGAGACAAAACAAATATACAATATAAAATATTTTAGAATCATGGCCAAGCTTTCTCTACCTTAGTAGCAATCTGGCAAAAAAAAAAAAAAAAACCCAAATCACCCAATTACATGATTAGGATACAACAACAAAGCTAACTTTACAGCATCATCATAAAGATTAGATACAACAGGACAAGTATCTAGGTGTTTTATAAACTGGAACTGTTTTTTGTGGCTATTATTTAGTTCTTTGAGCATATGCCTAAAAGAAAATCCCAGTCTTCTTTCAAAAGGGCACAAGGCAGGAAATAAGCACCCACAAGCACTGATGAAAATGCTAGGATGGGGTCGAGGTCAATACTATGCAGCAAAATGTATAGGCCAATGGTGTTTGATTTCAGTCCTCTGCCCAGTTTTCCACTTCCAACGGGACACAAGGGCAGTAGCCACCACCTTCTCAACAATTACTAAAGCCAGCATGTCAACCTGAGCATGGCTAACACTAAACTTGTCTCTTTGGCCAGATCAAGTCTTCCAGTAACTCCTATGACTACCCAGCTGTCCTGCCAAGTCATTCAATCAAGGCCACAAGGCCATAATTCACATCAGTCGGATCTCAGTTTCTTTGGAGCAATGTACTCAGAAAATAACTTCTGGTATAGATACTAATAACTACTTTGATTGGCAATATTCTTTCTTCACTAGTCACGACAGAGGGGAAAAGCTCAATTCCCATACGTTTTCTTGTGGTTGCTTGCGGTGAAACATCAGATTTAAACTGCCAGTTTTTGTGGTTGCCAGCTTTTTAGAAACTACATGAAATGGTCAGTTTTTATACTAGAGAGCATACTTGAATATTGGCAGTTTAATATGTTCAACATCATATTTGCTTTTCTCTGTGTGCACTTGATAAGGTTTTTAAACTTAGAAACAAAACTGAAAATTTCACTCACCTCGATTTCTACAGGAAATGAATAGCAGCGCTTCAGGTCTATCAGATTTTCAAAAATAAGCAAGTTCTATAAATCCAAAAATTAAGATATAAGAATATGTGAACAATGGAGAATCTTTTTAGAATTAATATATGTGACACCTTTTTATTTATTTTTAAAGGCAGCATTACAGAGAGGAGAGACACACAGTGAGAGAGCTTCCATGTACTGGTTCACTCCCCAAATGGCCACAACAGCCATAGCTGGGCCAGGCCAAAGCCAGGAGCCAGGAGCTTCTTCTAGGTCTCCCACATGGGTGCAGGGGCCCAAGGCATTGGCCATCTTCTGCTTTCCCAGGTGCATTGAGGTAGAGGCCTAACCTGCTACACCACAATGCCTGTCCTAGATGGAGATTCTTACAGCAATGCCTCTATAGAATGAATGCTACTTAGTAACTCATGGAGAAGCACTTCAACTTTAAAATATATCCATGAACACTTGGGCCATCTGCTTTCTCAGGGGTATTAACAGGGAACTTAACCAGAAGTAGAACATCCAGGTCTCGAGGCGACACCCATATGGGATGCTGGCATCACAGGTAGAGGCCTAACCTGCCAAACCACAATGCCTGTCCCAGATGGAGATTCTTACAGCAATGCCTCTATAGAATGAATGCTACTTAGTAACTCATGGAGAAGCACTTCAACTTTAAAATATATCCATGAAGAACAGCAAAAACACCTCTGCAACTTTAATATAAGAAGTTGCAAATTACAGAGTACCTTTCACTAATATAGTCTAACTTTTGAAACCCACAAAGACAGCAATAGGGAACATGTCAGCAGAGGCCTACCTTTTCTGGTTTTTCAGTAAACAGAAAACCTTGGTAGAATTTTAATTCGTTGAAGACACAGCAGATGACAGAGATGGCACAATTGTAGGCAGCACAATGGAAAAGCCTTCTCCTTTCCAGCAGCTGGTTCTCCCCAGCCATATTCTCTGTGAATGCATCATGGCACAATCTGCAAAGTACAGCCAGGTAACAAGTTGGTTCATGTGGCATGGACATCACTACTCAAAACCCCCGACTCCTATCCCCATCCCTGATTCTGATCAGCCTCTGCCAAGGGTCAGGTACAGCGAAGGCAGCATAGGTGATTCTCTCTGCACAATAAGTACAATAAGGAAAGAGCTACAGAAGCAGGAGGACAGACAGCACCCCACTCTCAGAAGGTAATAAAAGATTTCAGAGAAAACATCTGAGCCTTGAAATGCAGGTTAGCCAGAGGAGAAATGTACACAGACATTATAAGCAGAGTGTCACAAGCGATAAGCCAAGTGGTGTGCTGGGAACAGGCATAAAAGCAGCAGCTGTCAGCATTAGTGAGAAGAGGTGTTCCCTGGAGAGTGCATCCACAGTGCTAAGGAATGAAGACTCAGCCTGCAGGGTCACAAGTACACCCAGTGGCTGATTTCTCCTCTAAACAGTTTCCTCAAACATAGACACGTCCATTGGTATAGGTATTACTTATGGCTGCTTTTGCATATGATGCAGTAGTTGCAATGGAGACCATCTGGCATACTAAGCCAGAAATGCTGACTATGTGGCCGGTTACACCCTAGTAAAGACCAAGTACCAATGAAGGGTTTTAGGCAGGAAAATGAAACAATCAGGTTTGTTCCTCAGTTGTATGAGGGTACAAGAAAATGTTTATGGAAGATGGGATTAAAAGAAAAGTTTATCTTGGTGCAAAAAATTTGAAATCCATGCACACAAGGAGTCTTCAGAAAGTTAAGGGAAAGTATATAATATGAAAAAAGTATGCTTCTGGTAGCATCATAGACAGGGAACAGAGGCAGGAGTAGAAGCAGGGAGAACTACTCCAAAGGAGCCACTTGCACTGGCTCTCAAGGGAGCCAAATTAACACAAGGCCGAGGGAAGGCAAATGGAGAAAAAGACACTGGTTTCCGAAACACTAAAATGATAAAACTGCAAAATCTGGTGACTGACAGGGTATGCCTCGAGGATGGAAAGAAGAAGATGAAGGAAAAGCAAAATATGACTCCCATGTGCATTATTTAAGCAGGTCAGAGGATGGTGACATCACTCATGGAGAAGGTACAGTAAGGACTAGGGAAAAAGGAGTGATGTTAAATTTGTACAGAGATGGCAAGAACTAGCAAGGCAAAGTCCATGTTGAATGTGTACCACAAGGGGAACCTCATTAGAAGATCAGTTTTAAAGAAAATGTATTTTGGGGGCTGGCACTGTGGAGTAGCAGGTAAAGCTGCTGCCTGTAGTTCCAGCATCCCGATGGGTGCCAGTTCAAGTCCTGGCTGCTCCTCTTCCGATCCAGCTCTCTGCTATGGCCTGGGAAACAGTAGAGACAGCCCAAGTCCTTGGGCCCCTGCACCCGCATGGGAGACCTGGAAGAGCTCAAGGCTCCTGATCAGCTCAGCTCCGGCCATTTGGGGAGTGAACCAGAGGATTGAAGACTTCTCTCTCTCTGCTTCTCCTCTCTCTCTGTGTAACTGTGACTTTCAAGTAAAATAAATAAATCTTTAAAAAAAAAAAAGAATATGTGTTTTGGTTACTTTCATAGAATACTTGTTGGTGCTGGCGCCGTGGCTCATTTGGTTAATCCTCTACCTGCGGTGCTGGCATCCCATATGGGCACCGGTTCTAGTCCCGGTTGCTCCTCTTCCAGTCCAGCTCTCTACTGTGGCCCGGGAAGGCAGTGGAGGATGGTCAAGTGCTTGGGCCCTGCGCCCGCATGGGAGACCAGGAGGAAGCACCTGGCTCCTCGCTTCAGATAGGCACAGCCGTAGCAGCCATCTGGGGAGTGAACCAATGGAAGGAAGACCTTTCTCTCTGTCTCTCTCTCTGTCTACAACTCTACCTATCTAATAAAAAAAAATTTATCACTTCTTTAAATTTCAAACAATAAGAAAAACTAAAACCTAAAATTTCTTCTTAAGTACAAGTCACATCACTAAAAATAAATCAGGCTACTCAGGGGAAAAATGGTAGAAAAAGAAACAGTAAAAGAAAAAAATAGTTTTATTCTTTTTTTTTTTTTTTTGACAGGCAGAGTGGACAGTGAGAGAGAGAGACAGAGAGAAAGGTCTTCCTTTGCCGTTGGTTCACCCTCCAATGGCCGCCGCGGCCCGCGCGCTGCGGCCGGCGCACCGCACTGATCCGATGGCAGGAGCCAGGAGCCAGGTGCTTTTCCTGGTCTCCCATGGGGTGCAGGGCCCAAGCACCTGGGCTGTCCTCCACTGCACTCCCTGGCCACAGCAGAGAGCTGGCCTGGAAGAGAGGCAACCGGGACAGAATCCAGCGCCCCAACCGGGACTAGAACCCGGTGTGCCGGCACCGCAAGGCGGAGGATTAGCCTAGTGAGCCGCGGCACTGGCCAGTTTTATTCTTTATAAAACATGAGAACAGGGTAATATATCTGTTGGCCAATAACATATTAAAGTCCACCTTATATAAGAAAAAGCAAATATTTTAAATGAAACCATTTAGTCACATATGCATAAAAATATATATAAATGTTAAAAAATCAAATGAAATATAAAACGATGCAACATCTTACTTAATTAGTGTTTTTGTGAGCTCATTTCCTTCTGTAATAGATGAGCCATGGAAAACTTGATTGACTTTAGATTCCTTGGAGTGAACGTCATCTTTTGGAAGACGAGAATACATCACATCTAGCATCTTGTAATAGCCCATCTTCTTCGTGATTTGAGTGTCAAAGGTAGATTCATTCAACTGAGAAAATGTAAAAGATAATTATCTTGAATCTCTAAATATGAAAAAGATATTGAATGTATCAAATGTAATACTCAATGCCCCTTGAGTAAAAGTTAATTTTAATAGTCAAACATGATAAATCTCTTGAATAAAAAGGCACCCAGCTGTCCTGGTCTAAACACGGATACAGGCATTGATGTGTTATAATGAGTAAAGTGGGAAATAACATACAATATCCAAACAGTAAGTTTAATTTAAGAAGAAGTAGGAGACCTTTGTAAACCTGATCTTCAACACATCAATGGCGTCCACCACAATTCTGCTGAAGAATTCTCTCAAAGCATCCAGGCTGCAGTGCCACAGTAGAGTGAGGAGCACACGGTCTACAAACGCCTGGCGAGTGATACTTGGAAGCAGGTCATCCTTTCTGAACATTCGGTACACACTTTCCAGAAGGTCTAACTGTGTGACACATAAACCCCTAGGAAAAGACGACACAATTACACAGATGCCCGTGCTTGGGACAAATATTTTATGTGTGTCCACTGCATAACAGGAAAATTCCAGTAATCATGAATTACAAATACAACTTTAAGGAATGTATATACAGCTCACATGAACTACATAAAGTATCTGTACACAAACCGTATTGTATTCACCTCCAGAAGTTTAAGCACCAAGGAAAAAACACTTTTTTCATTCTCAACCGGGTCTTGCTTAAAAACACATCTGGAAGGCTTTGGAAGAGTCTCAGGTCAAAAAATGATTGTATTTCTATGGCTGAAACTAGAATTCCAGTGTCTCCCTAACAAGGAACCACCTTTCCTATTTCCTATGCAGAAAAATGCCCTACTATGTGGCCCTTTCTTACCTGGAAAATAAAATATTTGAATGATCATCTGTAAGGTGTCTTCATCTATAAAAGAGGGGTAGGTCTACATGCTGCTAAAAATTCTGATGCTTGGAAGTTAGATAATAAGTTGGGCAAAGACACTGTTCAGAATGTAATTCAATCATACAATTTTAAAGTGACAGGCTGCCCTAAGTGCTCCATAGGCTTTTAATGTTCATCTGGGCACTACAATGATTGAAAGTTACATTCCCCAAATTCAAGTGTGCTGTAATTCTTTCTTCTTTTTTTTTTTAAAAAAAGATTCATTTATTTATTTATTTATTTGAAAAGCATAATTAGAGAGATAGAGGGAGAGACAGAGACCCTCCATCCACTGGGTCACTCCCCAGATGTCCACAATGGCCAGTCCTAGCCCAAGTCAAAGTCAAGACCCAGGAGTTCATTTGGATCTCCCACATGGTTGGCAGGAGCTCAAATACTTGGGGCCAACTTCTGATGCTCTTCCTGGGCCATTTTCTGATGCTCTTCCTAGGCCATTAGCAAGGAGCTGGATGGGAAGTGGAACAGCCGGGTCAGGAACCAGCATCTACATGGGTATGCAGGACTGAAGATATCTCTCTCTTCTCTCCCTCTCTGTAACTCTTTCAAATAAAAAAATAAACTTAAAAAACTCCAACTCTTAAATATTAAGTTAGATGGAGAAGAAGCAGCAATAGAAAAAGAACAAAAATCTAATTTAAAAGTGGGCCAGAATAAGCATTAAGTTGAGCAGTTAAGATGCCGGCATCCCTTATTGGAGAATCAGTTATACACCCAGTTCTGGTTCCTGACTCCAGCTTCCTGCTGATGTAGACTCTATGACGGCTTAAAAGTAAGTTCCTACCATGCATGTGGGAGATTCATACTGAGTTCCGTTGGCCTAGCCCAACTGTTGGAGACATTTGAGAAGGGAACCAACAGGGATGGGAGTGTTCTCTCTCCAGTTCTCATATAATTTTTAAAAACAAAACAGGGGCCGGCGCTGCAGCTCACTAGGTTAATCCTCCGCCTGCGGCGCCAGCACTCCAGATTCTAGTCCTGGTTGGGGCGCCGGATTCTGTCCCGGTTTCCCCTCTTCCAATCCAGCTCTCTGCTGTGGTCCGAAAAGGCAGTGGAGGATGGCCCAACTGCTTGGGCCCTGCACCCGCATGGGAAACCAGGAGGAAGCACCTGGCTCCTGGCTTCGAATCGGCCATTTCGGGGGTGAACCAATGGAAGGAAGACCTTTCTCTCTGTCTCTCTCTCTCACTGTCTAACTATGCCTGTGCCAAAAAAAAAAAAAAAAAGACAGGAGCAGTCATTTGGCACAGCAGTTAAGATACAACTTGACAGGTATGGAGGGAGGCATTGTGGTATAGTGGGAAAAGCTGCCGTCTGCAACACCAGCATCCTATTTAGGCACCAGTTCGAGCCCTAGCTGACCTGGGAAAGCAGCAGAGGATGGCCCAAGTGTTTGGGCCCCTGCAACCAGGTAGGAGAGCTAGAAGAAGCTTCTGGTTCCTGTTTTTGACTCAGCCTTTTGGGGAGTTAACCAGCTGATGGAAGATCTCTGTCTCTGTAATTCTGCCTTTTAAACTGCCTTTTAAACAAATAATATAAAAAAAAAAAAAAAAAAAAAAAAAAAAAAGATACAGCTTACAACACTCACATCCCATAATAGAATGCCTGTGTTTCGAGTTTTCAGTTCTGGTTCCTATCTCCAGCTTCCTGCTTATGTTGAACCTGGGAGGCAGTGGTGATATAGGTGATATATCAAGGAATAAGTTCCTGCACCCCTGTGGAAGATTCACTTTGAGTTCCTAGCTCCTGGCTTTGGTCTAGTACAGTCCCAGCATATGATATGCAAGTGTGCTGATTCTCAGAAAATATTTTCTTTTTTGGTGACTGCTTGACGTGTAGAATTCATGCTTTTTTGCTTTTTAAAGATTTATTAATTTATTTGAGAGGCAGAGTTACAGTTAGAGAGAGGGAGAGACAGAAAGAGTTCTTCCATCCGCTGGTTCACTGGGTCAATCTGAAGCCAGGAGCTTCTTCTGGGTCTCCCACACAAATGCAGGGATCCAAACACTTGGGCCATCCTCCATTGCCTTTTCCAGGCCATACCAGAGAGCTAGATTGAAGAGGGACAACAGCCAGGACTCAAACCCCTGCCCATGTGGCATGCCAGAGCTGCAGGCAGAGGCTTATTAACCCACTACACCAGAGCACCAGTCCCTCAAATAATTTTTAAAAAATAAAATGGGCAGGCATTAGGCACAACAGTTAAGACGCAACTTGGGACACCCATATCCCATACTGGAGTGCCTGGGTTTAAGTCCCAGCTCTGTTTCTATTTCAGCTTCCTGCTAATGTACATGCTGGGAGGCAACAGATGATGGTTCAAATACTTGGTTCCTTGCTACTCATGTGGGAGACCTGCAAAGAGTTCTGGGCTCCTTGCTTCAGCCTCATGCAGCTGCAGCTGTTGCAAGCATTTGGTGAATGAACTAGCAGATAGAAGATCTCTTTTTGTCTCTCTGCCTTTCAAATAAATTAAATAAATAAATAAATATAAAAATGGGCCACCATATAGCTTATCAAAAATAACTGTATATGGGGCTGGCGCTGTGGCGCAGCAGGTTAATGCCCTGGCCTGAAGTGCCGGCATCCCATATGGGCACTGGTTCAAGACCCGGCTGCTTTACTTCTCTGCTATGGCCTGGGAAAGCAGTAGGAGATGGCCCAAGTCCTTGGGCTCCTGCACCATGTGGGAGATCCAGAAAAAGCTCCTGGCTCGTGGCTTCAGATTGGCATAGCTCCGGCCGATGCAGCCAATTGGGGAGTGAACCAGCAGATGGAAGACCTCTCTTTCTCTCTCTGTGTAACTCTTTCAAATAAATAAATAAATCTTTAAAAAATAAATAAATGTATATAAACAGAAAATATATGAAAAGATGTTCGACTTCACTCATAATACTTCATAATTAATATTTCACAAATTACAGTAACCCTTTCATCAAAAAACCTAAAAGAAACCCAAATGTTTGGAAGTATCTATTGGCAAGATGGTGATAAAATGGACACTTCTGCACATTGCTGGAGAGAATTTGTACAATATAGTCTCAATAGAAGGCATGTGGAGATGTGCAGCAGAATTACAATCCTATTTAGGAATCTACCTCAAAGATGTACTAGTAAGATACAAAATGACATAAACCATTGGCTGTTCACTTTGACAATATTTTTAATATTTTGGCTTTTAAACCCAAAAGTCATCAGTAGGAGACTGATTAAAAATATTATGATATTTCCACACAATGAAGAATTACACACTTTTTTTTTTTTAAAAAAGGAACAGGGGAAGTGAACCAGCAGGTAGCAGTGCTTTCTCTCCCTCTTTCTCTCTCTCTCTTTTCTCCTTTTCTGTCAACTTTGCTTTTAAATAAGACAATCTTAAAAGCAAAAGACCTTTCTGTGCCAGTATAGAAGACATCAAGCAGAGGAAGAGAGCAAGGAAGGAACAGGAAAGGAACAGAGAAGCAGGAGTCTACAATCAGCTCACTAATCACGACTTTAGCATCTTGTAAATATTTACATGCTAAAAAAGAAAACCAAGGGCAAATAGAAAAGAAAAGAGAGGGCACTTGGTCACAGTGGATTAAGCCACTGCTTGGGATGCCCACATCCTATATCAGAGTACCTGGGATCCAGTCCCATGCCTCCTTTCTGATCCAGCTTCCTGCAATGTGCACCTAGGGAGGCAGCAGATGATGGCTCAAGTACTTGAGTTCCTGCCTCCTAAGTGTGAGACATGAATTGAGTTCCAGACTCCTAGCCCCAGCTGTTCCAGGCTTTTGGGGAGTAAACCAGTCAATGGAAGATCTCTCTGTCTCTCTAAATCTGTCTCTCTGTTGTTCTTTCAAATAAATAAATAAGATAAACAACTTCTAAAACTTAAAAATCAACTAAAACAATGTACCTAATTGATATAATAACCACAAATCAAACAGGTTGTATCAAATATCTTTAGAACACAAAATTTGATTATACTCCCAGAGTATACATTTTAAGTACATTATAACTAGAATGAAAATTTTAAACTTAAATTAGATGTGATTATTGTTAGTATTAATACTGGTATTGCTATTTTTGAAAATATTTCATGTACATTATAGGATAAAGCAATTAGGTAATGACAAGTCATTGGTGATAATATTGTAAAAGAAAAAAGTAAGATCTGTAGTATAAGGGAACAAGAGAATACGAAAATGAGTTAAATTAAATGATTGAATTACTACATTTTTAAAGTTCGTTATTTTTTTATTTCTTTTAAAGTGGGAGAGAGGGAGCCAGAGCACTTCTATCCCTTGGTTCACTTCCCAGATGCCCACAAAAGCCAGGCCAAAGCCAAGAGCCCAGAGCTCTATCCAAGGATCCAAGTACTTGAGCCATCATTTATTGCCTCCCAGAGTATGAATTAGTAGCAATCTGGGTTACAAGCACAGGTGGGACTCAAACCAGGTATTCCAAAATGGGACACAGCAGCTTAACCCATTGTGACACAAGGCCTGCTCCTATAATGTTAAATCTGAAAGAAAAATAAGAGGAAATAAATAAAAAATAAAGTTCCATAAAGGGAAATAAGGAATAAGAAGAGAAAATAATAATAAATAATAGCAAAAATTTTGGGGCCAGCACCATGGCTCACTTGGTCAATCCTCCGCCTGTGGTGCCAGCATCCCATATGGGCACTAGGTTCTAGTCCCAGTTCCTCCTCTTCCAGTCTAGCTCTCTGCTGTGGCCCAGTAAGGCAGTGGAGGATGGCCCAGGTGCTTGGGCCCCTGCACCTACAGGGGAGACCAGGAAGAAGCACCTGGCTCCTGGCTTCAGATTGGTGTAGTTCCGTCTGTTGCAGCCATTTGGGGGGGGTGGGTGAACCAACAGAAGGAAGGCCTTTCTCTCTGTCTGTCTCTCTCACTGTCTAACTCTATCTGTCAAATAAAAAAAAAAAAAGCAAAAATTTTAGTTGTCTTTTTTTGCCTCACTGTACTGCGTTTGCTAAAAGCTTCAGTATCATGTTGAATATAAGCAGAGAGATACAATATCCTTGTCCTGTCCCCGTATTAAGAGGGAAGCATTCAACCATTGATTATTATATATTTTGTTGGCTGTTGGTCTTTCATATAGACCTTTGTCAGTTTTACCATGAATGGGTGTGTTATTTTGTCAAGAATTTTTCTGCATTGACTGAAATGATGTGTTTTTCATCTTTTATTTTATTAACATGGTATACAACATTGATTTCCTGATACTAAATTAGCATTACTTTCTTTGGACAGAGATGAATTAGTTATGGTCTGTATTTTTTTATATGGTGTTGGATTTGATTTGCTAATGTATCTTTGAGGACTTTTGGGTCTATATTCATGAAGGATATTGGTCTGTAGTTTTCTTATGATTTTTTTTTCTTGTCTTTGGTGTCAGGGTACTAGACTCATAGACAGAGCTGGGAAGAGTTTTACCTGCCTCTATTTTCTAAGAGTTTACTAAGCATTATTGGTATTATTTCTTCTTTAAATATTTGATAAAATTCACCAGTGAAACTAGCTGGGTCAAGGTTTCCTTTGTAAAAGGAAAAAACAAAACCTATGTGTATTAATAAGTTATACATTTATTTGCTAGAGGTATTATTCAGACTTTTTATTTCTTCTTGCAACAGTTTTGGTAACTTATGAGTTTCTAGGAATCTTCCCATTTCACTTAAGTTGCTGAAGTGGTTAGTAGGATGCTGGCATCACTACCTCACAATTTTTTAAACATTTCAGCAGTCAGGGGCCACATTCCCTTTCACTCACCTTTGCTTTTTCTTTATTTTTGATTAGTCTAGCTAATAGTTGGTCAAATCCATTTACCTTTTCAAAAACCAATTTTCAGCTTCATTAATTTTCCTCCCCCATTTTTCAGTTTCTATTTCATTATTTTGACTCTAATCTTTATCACTCCCTTCCTTCAGCTTCCCTTTCCTTTTTCTTCCCTCCAGATTTGAAAGCAGAAAGTTTAAATTATTGATTTGAAATGTCTTCTAGCACAAGTATTAAAAGATGTAAATTTCCCTCTAAGCACTGCTTTAGCAGATTTTGATATGCTTTAATTCTTATTTCATTCAGATCAAACTACTATCTGATTTCTCTAATAATTTCTGCTTTGACTGAAGGATTGTTTGGAAATGTGTTATTAATTAGTAGCTTATTTGGAAATATTTTTCAGATTCCCCAAATTCCTTCTGTTGTTGATTTCCAATTTAACTTCACTGTGGTCAAAGAATATGCTTTGTATGATTTCAACCCTTCTAATTTTAGTAAGAATTGTTTTATGGCCTAGCATATGGTCTTTCCTGAAGAATTTTCCCTGTGTGCTCAAAAAAGAAATTATGTTCTGTTGTGACAAATATTTGGTCAATTATGACTTTTAAAAATGTTGATTAAAAAAAGTGAATTATTATTAATTCATGCTACTTCATTATGCTGAATAAAGAAGCCAGACATAAAAGATCACACCTGAGTACTGTATCATTCCCATTTACATAAAATGCCCAAAAAGGCAAATTTATAAAGACAGAAAAAAGATTAGGGGGCTACAAATGGGAATAAATTTTAAATGGTCATGTTGATCTTACTAGAGGATAAAAATGCTCCATGGTCATGGTTTCACCACTCTCTCTGGAAAGCTCCCCAAAATCGCTGAATTATGTACTTAAAATAAGTGAATTTTATGATAATATATAACAAACAAGTTTACATCAATATTTACAAATTAATATAAACAAACACAACTTTAAAATACTCACTGATAGTTAAACAATTCGAAGAAGCTGTTGTATCAAGCCTTTATTTATTTTTTAAAGACTGATTTATTTTATTTGAAAGGCAGAGTTACAGAGAGATGGAGACACAGAGAGAAAGATTTTCCATCTGCTGGTTCATTCCCCAAATGGCTGCAACAGCTAACAGCTGGAGCCGGGCCAGTCTGATTTCAGGAGCCAGGAGCTCCCTCTGGATCTCCCATGTGGGTGGAAGGGGCCCAAGCATTTGGACCATCTTCCATTGCTTTCCTAGGCAGATTAGCAGGGAGTTGGATTGGAAGCAGAGCAGCCAAGACTCAAACCGGTGTCCATATGAGATGCTGGTGCTGTAGGTCTTTACCTGCTTGCCACAGCACCTACCCTCAAACCCTTACTGTAAACACTGTCATCAAATATGCCATCCTTCCCCCTATATTTATGCTAAAATAATAAATTGTATCTAACTAAACAGTCTTAGTGATGTGGGAAACTTCAACCCACTATATCTGTAAATTTAAAAGAAATAAAAGGGGGTGGGTGTTTGGTACAGTGGTTAAGCAACTGCTTGAGATGCCTGCATCACATATCAGAGTTCCTGGTTAGAGTCGCAGTTACTCCACTGCTGATTCAGCATCCTGTTAATGTACACCCGGAGAGGCAGCAGGTGGATGGCTCAATTACTTCAGGGGTCCTTGTTTGGATCAAAATTCAAATAATCCAATGATATAAAAACACTTGAGAAAAATGAGAAAATCTTGAGTATGGAATTACTGACATTTTTGCCCAACTGATACTAGTATTATAGCTATATAAGAAAATATTGTTTAGATATATATACAGAAGGATTCAGAAGTGAATTGCAATGGTGCCTGGGATTTGCATTAAATTATAGTAACAGCAGCAAAACCGGGAAAACGCTGACATTTTCTCAGTCTGGAATCTCATTTATACTTTTAGTTTAGAGCACATTTAAAAAGTCACAGTAACAGCTTGGTTTGTTTTGATGTTTTAGAGAAAAAGTAAGTCTGGTGGCAAGTGCAATTGCCATTCAGCTGTTTTTGGAACAAAGAAGATAAGTTCCCACATAAACAAAATATGGATGTTTCTTGGATTTCTAGACTACAATGACTTACCTTCTGGCAATCCTTTTGAAAGTCGATTGAAATAACTCTTCCATAACATGCTGCTGCTCCCGACAAAGAATTTCTGTCACCAACTGCAACAGTACCGGACTCTGAGACAACTCCAAAGCATCTAAAAGCTAGGAAATCATCATCATCAAAATTGTGTTGTGCTTTATTTTTAATAGTTCTAAAAACAGACATAAAATATAACACAGTTTTCAAGAATTATCAAATGCTGATAATTTTGTCATCTCTGCAGCTGCACAGACTACCTGGCAAATAACAAGGTACATGAAGTACCTCAGTTCTGACTCTTCAGTTTTACAGATGTCTCTCTTCCCTTTGTTTCTGGTTCTGAAAGTCCACACGGCAATGTGCCTTCACTGAGGTCCTAATCCTCCACCAAGCAAGGCAGCCTTGGCCCTGGCTGGGGTTCTTTGCCAGGCCCACAGATGTCCTAGGCTGCTCCTCTGATGTTCTTACCCATCACTATGACTATCTTTTTACTTTATAAGAGACACTCTCAATTTCACCTTCCCAGAATAAGTAAGTTCTATCTCAACCCTTCTTTTACATATTTAATCCTGAAGAGCCTTCACATACATTCTTCATCTCTGAAGCTGTTCTGCGATTGTTCTTTGGTGAGTTCTTCCTGCTGAGCTCCTTTTTTTCCTGTTGATTGGCATCTTTCTCCAAATGTTGTCATTATTTATTCACATTTATATGAAAGCATTGTCACTAAGAGAAACTACTAAGGTCAGCTTAGAATTTTTGTAGATGCCAGTCATTAGGTGGCAGGTTGTTGGGGAACAAGATCCTAAAATGATTCCAACATAATGGTGTCACCATGTTGATCACTTATTAATCACAGAAAGAAAACACATCATTCAACAGGAAGAGGAGACAGGTACTACCTTAGCCTGGGCACCAAACGTGATGCCCTTCTGTGCTACTGTTGCTGGTAAGGTTGAATTGTGGGGTGGGGTCTGACCTAGCAGGTAAGATGCCTGCACCCCTCATTGCAGTACATGGGTTTGATAACCTATCTCCACTCCTGACTACAGCTTTCACTAATATAGATCCTGGGAAGCAGCAGTTGATGGCTCAAGTAATTGGGTTCCTGCATGGAGACCTGGATTGAGTTTCCAGCTCTCGGTTATGCTCCAGCTAGGAACTGTTGTGGGCATTTTGAGAGTCCCCAGTACTATAGGGACTTTCAGAGGCATATTAAGTGGTATCAGCGATAATCACTAAATGCTTCTCAAACAATCACTATTCTGCTAAATTTTAGAATCTAGAACATATTGGTAATTTCTTAGCGTCTTTTGGTATTATTGTTCATGACTTACATATGTTACATATTCTACTGTTATGAATAACATATTTAACAATTTTAAAATGGGCAAAGTGAATTCCAAGGGATGGAAATATACAATCTTCACTGCAGACAGCTAGCTTTTCACAAGAATTAAGCTGAATTATTAAAAGTTACAGGACTTCTCTGATTCTGGATATTTCACTTACGCTTTCTCATCAACAAGTGTAACAAATTTCACCCTATGCAAAACGAACCTTTTTCATACAGTCCACATAATTATTGTACCGCAGAGTTCCGGGGGGGAATTCATCAGACTTCATGGGGAAATGAGAGACTATGAGCTTCTCCAGAACACACTTCAGGTCCTGCAGGCTGCCTCCAGGGAGGCCAGTGAAGAATGGAAGGAGAAGGATGGCTTGGCCCTGAGGAACAATGCAGTCATGAGGGTACACTGATGGTAGCTTTTGGATCCTACAGAATAAATGAATTTCCTGCTTTCTAAAGACTTTGCAGGGGCCAGCGCTGTGGTGTGGCAGGTAAAGCCACCACCAGCAGTGCCAGCAACCCATATGGACACCGGTTCGAGTCCCAGCTGCTCTACTTCTCATCAGCTTTCTGCTATGGCCTGGGAAAGCAGTAGAAGATGCCCCAAGTCCTTGGGCACCCACATGGTAAACCTGGAATAAGTTCCTGGATCCTGATTGGCACAGCTCTGGCCGTTGTGGCCACCTGTGGAGTGAACCGGCAGATAGAAGACCTCTCTCTCTAATTCTGCTTCTGCCTCTCTATAACTCTGCCTTTCAAATAATAAATAAATCTTTTAAAAAAAATGACTGCAAAACAGCACTCTGGATTCAATGAGCAAGTGCAGAACAACCTGCACACTGCAATAAAAGCCAACCTAGGGGCCAGCGCTGTGGCATAGCCAGTAAAGCCACCATCTGCAGTGCCAGCATCCCATATGAGCACTAGTTCAAGTCCTGGCTGCTCCTCTTCCTATCCAGCTCTCTGCTATGGCCTGGGAAAGCAATGGAAGATGGCCCAAGCCCTTGGATCCCTGTACTCACGTGGGAGACCCGAAAGAAGCTCCTGGCTCCTGGCTTCAGATCAGCACAGCCCCGGCCATTGCGGCCAATTGGGGAGTAAACCAGTGGATGGAAGACCTCTCTCTCTCTCTCTGCCTCTCCTTCTCTCTCTAACTTTCTCAAGTAAAAAATAAATAAATCTTAAAAAACAAATAAATAAAAGCCAACCTGAATGCAGTTCTGCACCTCAGCTTTGATTCCAGAGGTCACAGAGCTGCCTTGGGACACACATGTAAATAAATAGGATGCTCTATGTCGAGTCTACAATATGATCCCTGTAGGAGGACATGCTTTGTGTGGGAAGAGCATCTTGAAGAACCTGCAGGGTAAATCACAACTCCTGCTGCAACACCACTCCACTTCACACTAAGTTTAACAGGTCTAGTTGCTGTGCCAGCTCGCCCCAGGACGCTAGTGAATTCCTAAGCGCTCTCATCCAGACACATGGGAAACCTGACTAATCACACAGAACAGGAAATTCCAAAGAATTATCCTCTGTATCCGCATTTCATTAAGGCCACATGTTCATGAAGCTTAAAAATATAAAGACTTCTATTCTGGGACTTTAAAATTAGCAAGCTTAAAATAACCACATTAAATTCTTTACCCTAAAGATCACCAAGAAATTTTTTATTACTTTAAGTAGAAAAACGGATTAATAAAGTTAATGCAGCAATTCTAACAGCCAACTTAAGTCATATGAGAAGTGGTAAGTTTGAACGTTTTCCCTGAAGTTTACATTTTGGAAACTTAATCTCTAACTTTACACATTAGTGAAATTTGGAGGGGGAGCCTTTGGAAGGTACTTGGGTTTCAATGAGGTCAGGAAGGTGGAGTCCCCTTGATGGCATTAGCAGCTTTGTAAGGAGAGAGACCTGATCAAGCAGCCTGCTCTGTCTCACCATGGGATGCTCTCAGCCATGTAATAAAGCACCAAGCAGGCCCTCACCAGACGTTGAGCAGATGCCAGTGTCTTGTTGTTGGACTTCCTAGCTTACAGAAATGTGAGACAAATTAACTTCTATTCTCTTTATTCCAGTCTCAAGTATTTTGTTATAGCAATAGAAAACAGACAAATGTCAGTGCTCCCAAGAAAGACAATCTCATGGCTACATTTGAAAGAAACGCTCTCCTCTATGTGGGGACCTACCCAAGCATGTGCAGATCAGACATGTGGAAACCTGGGGTTTCCTTCAAGGTCAAAGATGGGGCATGCAGTAACTGTACAGTTGCAACAAACATGCCTACACATGGATGGTTATCAAGACAAGGTGGTTAACTGCATGGCGGCTTACTGTGCTAGTCTATTTTTGTACATTTCTGAGATTTTTAAAATTAAAACAAAAAAATCACAGGTATACAAAAATGGAGATACAAAATAGAATTTGATCTGAAAAAATAATTTTAAATCACTTACCTTTAAATGTAGACCCAACTGTGAATCAGCAAGTAGAGTGGTGTATGTTGTAAAGACTTCGGGGAATGCACTATGGCTTGTATTAAAAGACACAGGTGAATCAATCTAAAGGTCGGAGAATGAACATGACAGGTTGCTGTTATGCCTGTAATTCCTTTAACACATTTTTCAAACATTTAAATCTCAGTAACAGACTGCAAATTTGCTCTTGGGCTTTAATAATATTTCACCAATCTCAGTCTAAAATAATTTAATACTATGTGTTAAGACAATGCATGTAAATGTACACTAAAAAATGATAAAAGTATAGGAAATAAGTAAAAGAAATGATATAAAATAATGAGAAAAGTAAAAACTGTAATGCAATCTGCAGTTAGCCTTCCAAAATATTTTTTGTCAAACCAATGAGCTTTTGAAACAGCTTCCATTACATTGTTAAAGATACAAGCTACACAAAACCACAAGCATGACTGCCTATTTAAAGACTCCCAAAATACCTGTAAAATCTTTGCCAGCAAAGCCAGCACTGCCATTTTGCTCTCGGGTGGGGATTCTCTGGCCCACCATGAGTTGCACTTCCTCCAATTTTGCAAAATCATGGTGGCAAGCTTCTGTCCTTGCTGCTTCTGACTTGTCCGATCTCGGAAGCTCTGATCTAACATGCCATTCAGAACTGCACTCACCTGAAATAATGTGCGGCGATGGAAGGACAAGTTGTCAGCAATGAGAACAACAGGTTAAAGCCAAACTTACTCTTCTCCAAGACTATTCTTGGTAACGACACTATTTCTAAAACAGGCATTGACCAACAAGCTCCTCGAATGTGAGAACACTGCTTTAACAAAATATAAATTCTCCCAGAGAGAGCAGGGGTGGAAACACTTCAGTCCTTGTGCTCATCCTGCCATTCCCAGTGTTTTCAGTCTGTGGCACCCACGAATTAACTCCGCCTGAAGGAGATGAGCTCTCTTCTGTGCACACACCACCATCATCTGTGTGTACACATGTGTAAGTACACACATGGGCTGCCCCCCTCACCCTTCCAAAAGAGTGACATCTGAACTCTGGTTATGTCAACATTCAGCATCCCTGCTATCCTGACAATGCACACATTTCTCACAGGAGCACCAGGCAGTCTGATACCAATGCTCTCCCTTCTTGCTAATGTTGTCCTCTCTGAAGTTAAACTTGGTATGCTCATCTTTGCTCTTTTCTTTTCTTTTTTTTTTATATAACATTTATTTTATTTATTTGAAAGAGTTACAGAGAGATGTAGAGCCAGAGAGAGAGAGAGAGGTCTTCCATCCACCAGTGCACTCCCCAAATGACTGAAGTGACCAGAGCTGAGCTGATCTGAAGCCAGGAGCCAGGAGCCTCCTCCGGGTCTCCCATGTGAGTGCAGGGGCCCAAGGACGTGGGTCATTTTATACTGCTCTCCTAGGCCACAGCAGAGAGCTGGATTGGAAACGGAGCAGCTCGAACTCAAACTAGTGCCCATATGGGGTGCCAGCACCACAGGTGGCGGCTTTACTCAGTCCAACACAGTGACACAGCGCCAACCCCTGCTGTCTTCAAAGTGCATATCTGTGGTTGTTTTTTTTTGTTTTGTTTTTTTAAGATTTGTTTAATTGAAAGAGTTACAGAGAGAGATAAAGACAGGGAGAGATGTCTTTCATCTGCTGGTTCACTCCCTAGATGGCCACAATGGCTGGAGCTGTGCCGATCCAAAGTCAGGAGCCAGGAGCCTCCTCCTGGTCTCCCACGTGAGTGCAGGGGCCCAAGGACTTGGACCATCTTCCACTGCTTTCCCATGCCATAGCAGAGAGCTGGATCGGAAAAGGAGCAGCTGGGACTAGAACCGGAGCCCATATGGGATGCTGGCACTTCAGGCCAGGGCTTTAACCTGCTGTGCCACAGCACCGGCCCCCAAAGTACATATCTTAATTTGTCATCAAAGTCTCCCAAATTAATTACATCACTTCAAGCCATCTTTAAGCCCACTAGGAAGTTTTGTTCCACCTTTGTGGAAACACAGCTCTCATTCTCCCACGCTGATGCCCAGGCCTGGCTGCTCCATCCCTTGCTCTGCAGGGGGCCGATTTGCTGCACCTAGCACCTTCCTCTGTCTTGGCTCACTGCCTTATGCTGCCTACCCAGCAGCTCCCTGATGAGAAGCACAAAGGAGACATCCCTGTGGGATCCCACATGTCTGAGACGTCTGCATTTCTACACCCCCACAACTCCAGACTGCAGATTTCTTCATGAACTGTGGAAGAAATCAGGCTCACAAACTTATAGCATCCACAACGCAGCTGAGAAGCCACACACCATTTCACTTGTGATCCTTTTTACATGTTATTATTTTTCTTCTGTATAAATGTCTCGGGATCTTTCCTTTGGTGACACCCTAGGGTTCTGAATTCTCAGGAACTGCACTCTGAGAGGCGCCTTTTCCACGTACCATGCAGGACACTGCAGAACCCTGGGCCATGGTTTCTGTGGCCTCCTGTGCTGTGGCATCAGGAAGGGCTGTCCTGGTCCTGCCCTCTGCAAAAGTCCTGCTGCGCAGCCTGGGGGGCTCCTCGTCACCTCTCTCCTACGCTGGGTTCTGTGTCTCTAGTCTGGGAGAGCTCCTATACTGTATTTCATTTTTAATTTCTGATGCCCATGCTTCATCCCAGGAGTTCTTTTTTGTTCTCTGATGATTTTCCTCAGTCACAATTCTTGTTTCACGGACATAATATCTCATCTCTTTGAAGCTTCTTCCTCTTCTACTTCCTCCTCACTGAATGTTCTCTGCAGAGTTGCCTTTTCCCTGCAGAATGGGGTTTCTGGAACCTCTGTGCGCAGGCCTGCTTTCACATTTAAGAACTGACTGAGGTGCTGTGCACTGGGCAGGGTTCGCACACCTGAAGGTCTCTGTGAGTCATCAGGCTGCAGTGATGACCGAGTCTTTATTTGCTCTAAGGCTGATCAGAATATCCTGACACTGTGTCAAGGGTGAACACCTAACTGATGGCACTCCAGACACCAAACAGGAGAAAGGGCTATGAGGCTGTGCCCTGCTCCTGTGAGGGTCTCCATACACCCAGCCAAGCTCAGATCTTTACCCACAGAGAACCCTGCCACCAGGTTTCTCCCCGCAGCAGTAGCACCAGGCCTCAGAGACAGAGGGCCCTGGTAGGGAGACTGACTTCTCATAGTCCTTCCTGCCCCAGCCTGTCTTGCATACTCCGCTCTGCACAGTGCTGCCAGGCCCCAGCACAGCCCTCTTGGACTCAGAAATCTGTCACGTTTGTCCTTGTGCTTTATGGCTTGTGTTACTCTTGAAGTTTTGTGGGTTTTTTTCCAAATATTTTAAGATTATTTTGTCGTTTTTTGAACCCCATTTTGTCATTTTAGAGGGATTTGGGGAAGGAATAGATGATATATATAGATTTTTGTTCATCATTTTCACCAGAAGTCTGAATGGTTTAAAAGCTCAAAATGCTAAATTTCCTGAGTGTTGTACGTCTACTACAATTTTATTTCTAACTTTCAAAAATATAAATCCAGGGAATGCCATTGTGCCCCAGCCAGATAAGCCACTGCTTGCAACATGGACATTCATATAGGAGTGCCAGTTCATGTCCCAACTGCTCCGCTTTCAATCCAGGTCCCTGTTAACAAATCCAGGAAAAAAGCAGAAGATGGCCCACGTGCTTAGGCCCCTATTATCCACATGGGAGACCTGGATAGAGATCCTGACTCCTGGCTCTGACATGATCCAGCTCTGGTTATTGAGGGCATCTGCAGAGGGAACCAACAGATGGAAAATCTCCCTGTCTCTCTGTCATTTGGTCATTCAAATAAATAATTATTTCCCAAAAAAGGGAAAAAACAACGAATTCCTAGTGTTCCATTTCATAAAATAGTCTACAACAGACAAGTACCCCAGAGTAAAAGTTCAACTTAGTAGGTAGTTACATTCTCTCTCTTTAAATGGCCACACCAACAGGTAGCTGTTTCTGACTATCCACAGAACATTTCAAAATCCCAGAAGTTCAATAAACCAAAGAAAACTAGGTATTATTAAATACAGTTAAACATTGGCCTCCAAGGAGTCAACATGAGGGGCAAAGGGGAAAACAGCAGGAGGCACACAGGAAATGACGACACAGCAGGAGGCTGTGAGAGCTGAGCACAGAAAAGCTCACCAGATGTGGCAGAGCAGCGCATGGCTGGTGAAAAGCCAAAGACAGCCCTGGGTCTCAGGATGGTGTGCAAGTTTCAACACAGCAACTTGGCAAAAGCCCATACTCTAAATGTTATCCCTTATGATAGGCATAAAGATTTGGGAGGCATGACGGAATAGAAAAAATAATGCTCCAGGAGCCAGTGCTGTGGCGCAGCAGGTAAAGCCCTGGCCTGAAGTGCCTGCATCCCATATGGGCGCTGGTTCGAGACCCGGCTGCTCACTTCCAATCCAGCTCTCTGCTATGGCCTCGGAAAGCAGTAGAAGATGGCCCAAGTCCTTAGGCCCCTGCACCTGTGTGAGAGACCTGGAAGAAGCTCCTGGCTCCTGCCTTCAGATAGGCACAGCCCGGCCATTGCGGACAATTGGGGAGTGAACCAGCAGATGAAGACCTCTCTCTCTCTCTCTATGCCTCTCCTCTCTCTGTGTAACTCTGACTTTCAAATAAATAAATAAATCTTTAAAAAAAAAAAAGAAGAAAAAATAATGCTCCAATACCCGGTAAACCCAGTAACATTCACTTACTGATAAAAACTATTTTGCTTTTTTTTCTTTTGAAACATTAGAAAAGTTTTTAATCTTCCCAGAAGAAATCTTGTTTTGTGTTAATCAAATATTTCAGGGATATGGCAATGACTTATAAACATTATATTTAAAATATTTCATGGGGCCAGCGCTGTGGCGCAGCAGGTTAACGCCCTGGCCTGAAGCTCCGGCATCCCATATGGGCGCTGGATTGCCACAGAGCTGCTCTACTTCTGATCCAGCTCTCTGCTATGGCCTGGGAAAGTAGTGGAAGAAAGCCCAAGTCCTTGGGCCCCTGCTCCATGTGGGAGACCTGGAAGAAGCTCCTGGCTCCGGATCGGCACAGCTCCGGCTGTTGTGGCCACCTGGGGAGTGAACCAGCAGATGGAAGACCTCTGTCTCTTTATCTCTCTGTCTCTCCTCTTTGTGTAACTCTTTCAAATAAATAAATCTTTAAAAAATAAATAAAATATTTCATTACCATTTTGGGATTGTCCACTGATGACTTCATGAGCTCCAGCACAGCAAGATCGAGACTTTTCAGCAATTCAGTGTTGATGGTTTCTGAGAACACACTATAGAAATACTCTCCACGGGAGAAGCAGCTACTGCTGCTTCTCGAGGAGCTGCCCAGCGATGGCATGGACAGCACTGCCGTGTCCAGAAGAAGACTCACAAGGCGCTCACACTGTGAAAAGAAAGAGAAGCAGCATGGCAGGGGGAACAGGCTCATCCTTATATGACACAGAAAATCACACAAGACCCAAATGAGCCTGGTGGGGGAAGCAGAGGCTGAGTTTCACAGTGCACATGCTTGCTAGCCTCCATTTCCTAGGTTTCGTTTTGGGAGAGCAACTGCCCTGGCTGGCATTTCTTCTGAATTCACAGAACTTCTTGTTGCTTTTGCTTTGAGGACAGAATCTAGTAAAAGCAAGTGTTTTCAGAGAACTCAAATATGCTATTGTCTGCACTAAATGGTAAGGGGCCAAGTGTTTGGCTACAGAAGATAATGGGGGACTGGCGTGAAGGCACAATCTGCAGATCTCAGCCCTGAAAGGCTCAAAGAACCACAGAGACTTTTCTTGGTGGTGCTTCTGGAACTACCCTCCAAAGGCCTGCCAAGCCACCCATTTCAAGAAGCACCAAGGCCAAGAGATGGACCATGTGCCAACACAGGTCAGCTTTACAATCACAAAATGTTCTCTGCCTGAAGCTGTTTGTAAACAAAGGAGGGAAGACAAAACCTCAGTTAAAGATGAATGTGGTTCTATTTTGTTCATTAAAAAAGAAAAAAATGCCAGGGCCAGTGCCATGTCTCAGTGGGTTAATGCCCCAGCTTGCAGTGCCAACATCCCATATGGGTGCCAGTTTGAGTCTTGCTGCTCCACTTCCAATCCAGCTCTCTGCTATGGCTTGGGAACACAGTGGAGGATGGTGGAAGTGCTTGAGACCCTTCACCAGTGTGGTAAACCCAGAAGAAGCTCCTGGCTCTTGGCTTTGGATTGGTTCAGCTCCAGCCATTTCAGCCATTTGGGGAGTGAACCATTGGATGGAAGATTTCTCTGTCTCTACCTCTCTCTACAACTCTTTCAAATAAATAAAATAGATCTTTAAAAAAAAAAAAAAAGTAAAAAAGTGTTAACACATTAACACATTGTTTTATAAAGAAAGCTTGTGTGAACCAATGCCAGTACTTGTCCAGCTAAGACTTCACCCAACTACATGCCGCTATTTCTAGAGACACGATGTGAGCTGTGCTCATACATTTTCATCATCAGGGTAGTAGAGCCTGTAGATGTTTCTCTTACCTGTCCTCCAAAAGAAAAGGCCAACTCCAGAAATCCAATGGCCAGTCGCTTACAGCTGGGGTCTAGTGAAGGTAGACCCTGCCTGTCACCTCCAGATGTGATGCTATTGTACACCAGGGAAAGAAGTCTTGTGCCAATAGAATGCTGCAGGTCTGTAGCCTAAAATAAAATCAACGCTGAAATACTGGCAAAAAGTATTTTACAGAAAAACACAATTCCACACCTCTCAGTAATTAAAATATCATTCTGAGCTAACACTGACAATTTCCTTCCAGCTTTCAGGACAACTTTAATTCAACACTGCCTTCTAAGCCACCCGTTTCAATTTTTCTTTTACATAGCCACACCAGAAAGGCACAGTAAACAGTTAGGCTTTCAGATTTTTCAGAGGCTGCTCTTGAAACATCCAAATGTGTCTTTTTATTTCATGTGCCTCTTACATTTACTCTCATATTTACATCCCAGATAATAGCTATGTGTCTAGAGCAAAGGTTTCTACAATTTCCACCTCAGCACTCTCTGTACACAAAGGATATATAACAAAGAAGATACATAGGCTAGTTACCTTAATAGTCAAAAGAAATGTAAAAACAAAGTGGCAGCGATTACCTGAGATGGCAGAACGACGTCCAAGAACCCAGCTCTGTGAAGCTGTTTGTAGGCAGACACGACAGAAGCCAGCCTGCTCCTCTGCAAGTGAGCATCCAGACTGCACAAGTCAGCTGAACAAAGCTCCTCAAGGCTGGCATGCAGGGAAAGCAAAAGGGAAATTCAGGAAGTTAAGATCCTGTCACATTATCAGGACACACTGAAAAAAAAAAACCCATGTGTTCTCACAAATTTGCTAAGTACCCAGCATTCAAACTCACTACCGTGATCCTAGAAAGTATGGCACACACTTACCCAATGTGGAGACCAAACATGGTGCAACCTAATAAGATAACAGAATTGGAATGATGTGTGTGTGGCACCAGCGTTGTGATGCAGTAGGTTAAGGCCACCACATCCGAGGCTTCTTTTCTTTTTAGTCTAGGTGCAGGGAAGGCATTTGCTAAATATGCAATTTCCAAACAGCGGGTGAGCGCCTGTGTCCTGAGCACTGCACTGATGAGCTCCTTTCCTGGAGGAAATGGGAGCTTCAACAGCCATGCACACAGCTACCAGGAGCACTGCAAGGCGCTGAGCCCTGGAATTAAGTTCCACAACGTGCCGCGGAGCGCAACCGCATGCCCACCTCTGTGCTGTCATTTTTTCCTTCAGGTGGGTCTCCAGGACGTCTCTGTATGGGGACTGCTTCAGTGCTTTCATCAGGTTCACACACACACTGGGAAGATGGTCCATAACCTGGACGTCGCCGACGTGGAACCCTACACTCACGGGCTCACAGAGCGTTTGCACCAGGAGCTGCATCAGAGCTGCGTTGCACAAGTCCTTCTCCAGGAGCTGTAGAGACAAAGCTTGTTGTGGGCATGAAAACACATCTGTGATTCTGTCGGTTATGGTTTCCAAAGTGTAAGGCCATTGAGGTGAGGAGTTTTCTCTGACCACACAGAGGTTGGGAAGCTTTCGCTGTCAAGTCCTGTGGAGGCCGCACAATCTCCACTGAGTCTCCTAGCCCATCATAGTGTGAAAGTAGCCATGGGAACCAGGTACACAGATGGGCAGGTGTGGTTCCAGTGAACTATTATTTACAAGAGTAGGTGGCAAATGGGGATTTCCCGGACCACAGCTCCCCAGCCCCTGGTTTACAGCATGCCTCGTATACAGCACAGACTAGAGCAGGGCCTCGTATACAGCAGGCACTTAGTACGAGGGTACTTCAAAAAGGTCACAGGAAAATGGAATTTAATAAGCTTATTTCAATGTAAAAATAAAATATGAAATCTATACACATTTTTGTGAAATTTCTGAAGTACCATCATGCATACACTGAAAGGGCTGCATGGAATTTGTTGAAAAAGTACCACAGATAGGCTGGCGCCATGGCTCACTAGGCTAATCCTCCACCTGCGGCGCTGGCACCTGGGTTCTAGTCCCAGTTGGGGTGCTGGATTCTGTCCCGGTAGCTCCTCTTCCAGCCCAGCTCTCTGCTGTGGCCCAGGAAGGCAGTGGAGGATGGCCCAAGTGCTTGGGCCCTGCACTCACATGGGAGACCAGGAGGAAGCACCTGGCTCCTGGCTTCGGATCGGCACAGCACACTGGCCGCAGCACACTGGCCGTGGCGGCCACTTGGGGGGTGAACCAACAGAAGAAAGACGTTTTTCTCTCTCTCTCTCACTGTCTAACTCTGCCTGTCCAAAAAAGAACTATCACAGATATATTCACAAATATATTAATGAGTGTCACAGTATGAAATGTAGCATCCAATAAAACATTTGGAAAAAACTATTTTGTATTTTTAGTCACACAAGGAAAATCCAAAGGATATGCAGTTTTATTACTGGTAAAACAGATTATACATCAAAGTTTTATTATTTTCAAAAACAAATTATAAGTAATTAATACACTTAAAAATTTCTAAGAGGGTAGACGTTAAATGTTCTCACCATTCAAAAAGGTCAGGTATATGAGGTAATAGATCTGTTAATTATCCTGCTCCAGCCATTCCACGATGTATACATATGTGAAACCATCATGTTATACATCAAAAACAAATAATTTTTATTTGTCAATTAAAATAAATAAGAATACCTTGGACGGCGCCGCAGCTCACTAGGCTAATCCTCCACCTGCAGCACCAGCACCCCGGGTTCTAGTCCCGGTTGCTCCTCTTCTAGTCCAGCTCTCTGCTGTGGCCCGGGTAGGCAGTGGAGGATGGCCCAAGTCCTTGGGCCCTGCACCCGCATGGGAGACCAGGATAAGCACCTGGCTCCTGGCTTCGGATCAGCGCAGCGCGCCGGCCGTAGCAGTCATTACAGGAGTGAACCAACGGAAGGAAGACGTTTCTCTCTGTCTCTCTCTCACTGTCTAACTCTGCCTGTTAAAAAAATTTAATTAAAAAAACAAAAAAAGAATACCTATTCTGGTTATGGAAATACGTAGAAAAGCCCAAATCGAGAGGGAGCAGGAAATGGGAGGGCTGCGGGTGAGAGGGAAGTTATGGGGGGAAAAAGCCACTGTAATCCAAAAGCTGTACATTGGAAATTTGTATTTATTAAATAAAAGTTTTAAAAAAAAGCCCAAATCACATCTTAATAGGAACTTTCCTAACAGGAACTTTTAAAATATTTGTCCTCTACCAAATACTGCCCTCACATTGATAGCACAGCAAGAGCACTCATACCTTCCACCCTTCTGGATAGGTGCTGAGCAGAGTTGTGGTAAACTCCATAGTCCGGACCACGACTGTGCATTTGCTGTAGTTGTACCTTTCCTGCTCTTGCGGGCTGGGTCTGTCACTTGCTGTCCCAGTGCCAAAGCACTTTTCTGCTGCTGTGATATCATGCATAGCAAGGCTCTCTAAAAAGAAAGCCAGCGACTTCAAAAGTGAAGATTGAGCTTCAGTACCTAGAAATAATTAGATTAAAATATTAGCAGAGATATTCCCCAGTTTATGAGAGTTCCACATCCAACATTCAACTTTACAAAGGTGCGAGTCTGCTAAGCATTTAGAAGAAATTGTGCTTGGAGGGGCCGGCATTCTGAGGCCCCTAACTGTGAGGGGTGAGGCCACCACCTGCAGTGCCGGCATCCCATATGGGCACCAGTTTGAGTCCTGGCTGCTGTACTTTGGATCCAGCTCTCTGCTATGGCCTGGGAAAGCAATAGAAGATGGCCCAGGACCTTGGGCCCCTGCACACAAATGGGAGACCCGGAAGAAGCTCTTGGCTCTTGGCTTTGGACCGGCCCAGCTCCGGCCATTGTGGCAATCTGTGAAGTGAACCAATGGATGAAGATCTCTCTCTCTCACTTTGCCTCTAACTCTGCCTTTCAAAGAAAATTAATAAATCTTTTAGAGAGAGAGAGACAGACAGACACTGTGAGGCCATTAAAAAAAAATGTGCTTGGAATGCTAAATCTGGATCTCGGCCAGCGCCGTGGCTCAACAGGCTAATCCTCCGCCTAGCGGAGCTGGCACACCGGGTTCTAGTCCTGGTCAGGGTGCCGGATTCTGTCCTGGTTGCCCCTCTTCCAGGCCAGCTCTCTGCTGTGGCCCGGGAGGGCAGTGGAGGATGGCCCAAGTGCTTGGGCCCTGCACCCATGGGAGACCAGGAGAAGCACCTAGCTCCTGCCTTCGGATCAGCGCAGTGCGCCGGCCGCAGCGCGCTGGCCGCGGCGGCCATTGGAGGGTGAACCAACAGCAAAAGGAAGACCTTTCTCTCTGTCTGTCTCTCTCACTGTCCACTCTGCCTGTAATACTGTTTGTGTACATTTTACTGGATCTCTCCCAGGCTAGGACTTTGTGTCTGATCCTTCCTAAGAGGCTGGGCAGTGGCAGTGAGCATGGCTCCAAGTCACCCAGCAATCATAACAGGGAGCAACCCACTATGCTGCCAAGCTGGGAAGTGTGGTAGGGTCAGGGGGAGTCAGTACATTTTCAAATTAGGATATTTTCTTGTTTTTTTAAGATTTATTTATTTGAAAGCCAGAATTACAGATAGGCAGGGGGACAGAGACAGAGAGGTCTTCCATCCGCTGGTTCACTCTCCAGATGGCCACAAGGGCCAGAGCTGTGCTGATCTGAAGCCAGGAGTCAGGAGTCTCTTCTGGGTCTCCCACACAAGTACAGGGGCCCAAGGACTTGGGCCATCTTCCACTGTTTCCCAGGCCATAGCAGAAAGATGGATCAGAAATGGAGCAGCTGGGACTCGAATCGGTGCCCAGGGATGCTGGCACTGCAGGTGGTGGCTTTACCCGCTATACCACAGTGCCGCTGCCCCCAGGATATTAATTTTTTTTTATTTGACAGATAGAGTTAGACAGTGAGAAAGAAACAGAGAGAAAGGTCTTCCTTCTATTGGTTCACCCCCCAAATGGCTGCTACGGTCGGAACTACGCCGATCAGAAGCCAGGAGCCAGGTGCTTCCTCCTGGTCACCCATGCGGTGCAGGGCCCAAACACTTGGGCCATCCTCCACTGCCTTCCCGGGCCACAGCAGAGAGAAGAAACCAGGACTAGAACCCGGCGCCCATACAGGATGCTGGCGCTGCAGGCGGAGGATTAACCAAGTGAGCCATGGCGCCAGCACCCCCCAGGATATTTTTAACTCATGACAAGTCCATCAGATATAACCCAGCCTAAGTTGAAGAACATCTGGATAAGCTTCCTCCTGACTCCACTAAGATTAATGTAGAATTCCTTTTTAAAGTATAGGTGTGATATGCTTTCCAGACCAACGAAAGCTGAATACAGTAAATTATTGCTTCTCACTTCAAAATCTTTTCTTTTTTTAATAATTGAAGCTTCCTCTTTTTTTTTTTAAAGAATTATTTTATTATTTATCTGAAAGACAGCGTTATAGAGAGAGGTAGAGCCAGAGAGAGAGAGAGGACTTTCATTTCACTGGTTCACTCCCCAAATGACTATAATGGCCAGAGTCGAGCTGATCTGAATCCAGGAGCCAGGAGCCTCCTCCTGGTCTTCCACGTGGGTGCAGGGGCCCAATGACTTGGCCATCTTCTACTGCTTTCCTAGGCCATGGCAGAGCTGGATCGGAAAAGGAGCAGCCGGACCTCGAACCAGTGCCCGTGTAGGATGCTGGTGCTGCAGGCTGGGGCTTTAATCCACTGCGCCACAGTGCTGGCCCCTCACTTCAAAATTTCAAAAGTAATACAGCCAAAAGCTCAGCTTTAGACTCACAATCAGAATGTATCTATGAAAGGTCAGATCATGACTTACAAATACCACTTGTGAGAAAATAAACTAACAGGCACTTTAAAGGCAAGTCAAACCAACAGCTTTAAAAAATATGAATGCCAGTTTCTACCAAATGTTTAAAATGTAACATATCTTTGATCTAGCACTGAAATTTAAATCTAATGAAATAATAGAATTGAAATTATATGTTTATGGTACAGCAGGTTAAGACTCTTCCTGTGACATCAGCATCCAGTTCGAGTCCTGGTGGCTCCACTTCTAATCTAGCACTCTGCAAATGGTCCTGGGAAAGCAGTGGAAGATGACCCAAGTGCTTGGGCCCCTGGCACCCACACAGGAAACCTGGATGGAGATCTGGGCTCCTGGCTTTGGCTATGGCTGTCACAACTTTTTGGGGAGTGAACTAATAGATGGAAGATCTTTTTCTCCCTCTCTGATTTTTTTTTAAGATTTATTTATTATTTGGAAGGCAGAGTTAATGAGAGAGAAAGAGGGAGAGAGACAGAGATGGAGAGACAGAGAGAGATCTTCCATCCACTAGTTCACTCCCCAGATGGCCACAACCACCAGCACTGGGCCAATCCCAAGTTAGGAGTCAAGAGTTTCATCTGGGTCTCCCATGTGGGTACAGAGGCCCAAGCACTTGGACCATCTTCTGCTGCTTTCCCAGGTGCATTAGCAGGAAGCTGGATTAGAAGTGGAGCAGCCAGGACATGGAATGCCTGTACTACAAGTGGTAACTTCATCCACTACACCACAGCACCAGCCCCTCCCCATCTCTTTCTGTTAACTCTGTTTCAGACAAATAAATAAATCTTTAAAAAACTCTTTCAAATAAATAAATAAATCTTAAAAAAATGTGTTTGTAAGAATGTTTTCTTTACTACTTTTATTAATAATGAAAAAAATAAGGCCATCCTAAGAGTCCTTCAAAGGGGCAATATACAGATTTTGACAGTCATCTTCAAACATGCATGGATGCTCACTGGTCATCTTAGGGAATCAGTCTTCAGATCAATTCCCAGCTGGGCTTTATCACAGAAATCCCTCCATCTGAAGATGCCATTGGGCTAGTGGTCCTCTCCCACATCTCACAACTTTCTCCCACCTAACTGACTCCCTGCTCACCCTCCTGAACCCCTGGCTCATCCAAGGGTGGAAAGGGCCTTCAGAGCCCCAAAGCAGCAATCTGAAATACAGTGTGCATGTTGGAAGACTGAATAAGGGAAATGCCTGAGTCAGAAATCTTCTGAGGGTTTACAATTTTTTGTTTTGAACAAAGTATAAAGAAAATTAATAAAATGGTCAATTGATTAACTGCTTTTAAAAAAGTAAGAATGATGACAATGCACTATGTAATCAAAGGACTGAGAGATCATATATTAAGAATTGGGTTTGCAAACATCAAAATATTTAAGTGAAAGACAACAAAGGACACATTCCAACAAAATATATAGGGAATGTGGAGAATGTGCAGTTTAGAACTATCAAATATGGCACTTATTTTTGTAAACAAGTCCTTTTTTTGTACTAAAATGTACACAAACAGTATTTTTTTTTTTTTTTTTTTTTTTGGACAGGCAGAGTGGACAGTGAGAGAGAGACAGAGTTTTCCTTTTCCATTGGTTCACCCCTCAATGGCTGCTGCGGCCGGTGTACCGCGCTGATCCAAAGCCAGGAGCCAGGTGCTTCTCCTGGTCTCCCATGGGATGCGGGGCCCAAGGACTTGGGCCATCCTCCACTGCACTCCCAGGCCACAGCAGAGAGCTGGACTGGAAGAGGAGAAACCAGGACAGAATCCGGCGCCCCAACCAGGACTAGAACCCGGTGTGCCAGAGCCACAGGCGGAGGATTAGCCTATTGAGCCGCGGTGCTGGCCACACAAACAGTATTTTAACCATATAATTTTACTTCTTGTACTTAAGTATCAAAATTTTTATATTTATGGTGCTGTGATTTTAATAAATGTAGTTCACACTAATAACTGAATGATAACATAGAAAAAAAATTTTTTTAAATGCAGACCCTTCTGTTTGGAAGATGTGAATAGAGTTTTAGGGATAAAAATACAATACTGGAGCCAGCACACCAGCATCCCATATGGGTGCCAGTTCATGTCCCAGGTGCTCTACTTACAATCCAGTTCCCTGCTAACAGCCTGTGAAAAGCAACAGAAGATGGCCCAAGTGTTTGGGCCCCTGTCACCCACATGGGAAACCAAGATGAAGCTCCTGGCTTCAATCTGGCCCAGACCTGGCCATTACAGCCATCTGAGGAATGAACCAGCAAATGGAAGATCTCGCTCCCTTTCTCTCTGTGTGAAACTTTGACTTTCAAAATAAACAAATAAATCTTTAAAAAAAAAAACTTTAGGATAAAACAATGTGGGAGGTAGGGTACTGAACTGAAATAACATTTCAATATTACTCCGTAACCTTCCAAATTACTTTGCAAGTCTTGCAACAAAATTTTTGCATTTTAAAGCAGATAGCAATGGAATAAATTGGCTTCAGTATTTATGGTCCACTGAATACATTTAAAAATTTATTCATTTATTCATTTGGAAAACAGAGTGACATAGAGAGATATCTTCCACCCACTGGTTCACTTCCCAAATGCCTGCAACAGCCAGGACTTGGTTAGGCTGAAGCCAGGAGCCAGGAACTCCACCCAACAGGGACTCAAATACTTGAGTCATCATCTGCTACTTCACAGGGCATTAACAGGAAGCTGGATTGGAAGCAGAGGAGCTAAGACTTGAACCAGCGCTCCAACATGGGACACTGTTGTCATTGTAACCCAGCTTAACTCACTGTACCACAAAGCCCACCTCCTGAATAAACTTTTAAAAAATTAATATCAATAGTCTTATTAAAATATTATTCTCTTCCCCTCTCTGTATTTCAAATTTTAAAAATGAAAATAAATATATTGGAAAAAATGGGGGGGGTAGCACAGCAATAAAAACTCATATCCATGAGAGAGGGCTTGGTTCAACCCTGACTAATCTGCTTCTGATTCAGCTGCCTGCTTATGTGTACCCTGTGAGACAAGCAGGTCATGGCCCACATACTTAGGTCCCTGCTACCCACATGGGAAAGCAGGATTGAGTTCAGGATGCTGGATTCAGCCTGGCCCAGCTCTGGCTATTGCAGGCACATGAGGAGTGAACAGCAAATGGAAGATCTCTCTCCTTCTGTTTCTCTATGTATCTTTCTGCCTCTCAAATTTGAAAAAATAAAAATAAATACATCACAGAATATCAACATTTAGAACACATTAGAAATTATCTAAAGGTATGAAGAAAATTTTGACAACAAGTGAAAGACACATTATTTTAATGTTCCCCTCCCTCAAGGGAATAAAACAGCTTGAAGACTACTCAATTATAATACATCTACATAATTTGGTAATATGTAATCATTTAAACAAGTTCAAGCTTTACTGGCATAGAAATATGTAAATATTGGGGCCAGCGCTATGGTGTAGTGGGTAGAGCTGCCGCCTGCGGTGCCAACATCCTATGTGGGCGCTGGTTCGAATCCTGGCTTCTCCATTTCTGATCCCGCACTCCGCTGTGGCCTGGAAAAGCAGTAGAAGATGGCCCAAGTCCTTGGGCCCCTGCACCCTCGTGGGGGACCCAGAAGAAGCTCCTGGCTCCTGGCTTCGGATCAGCACAGTTTCAGCCATCGCAGCAAACTAGAGAGTGAACCAATGGATGGAAGACCTCTCTCCCTCTCTCTCTCTCTCTCTCTCTCTCTCTGCCTCTCTTTCTCCTTCTCTCTCTGTGTAACTCTTTCAAGTAAATAAATAAATCTTTAAAAAATATATGTAAATGTGTTCAGTTTCTTCATAAAAAGCAAGTTATAGTAAACAACACATAAGGATTCCACTAAGTAAAACATCAGGATAAAAATACATATAATAATTTTATATGTATACAAAAAGTTTAGGAGACTAACAGTAAGTGATTATTAGTTTTATCACCAGGGAATACAATCAGGGAAGGTTTTACATGTTTTACTTTCCAGGCTTTTATTGTATTTTTTGAAAGATTTATTTTATTTATTTGAAAGAATTAGAGAGAGAGGCCGGCACCATGGCTCACTTGGCTAATCCTCTGCCTGTGGCGCTGGCACCCCAGGTTCTAGTACCAGGTGGGGCGCCGGATTTTGTCCCCGTTGCTCCTCTTCCAGTCCAGCTTTCTGCTGTGGCCTGGGAAGGCAGTAGAGGATGGCCCAAGTGCTTGGGCCCTGCACCCTCATGGGAGACCAGGAGGAAGCACCTGGCTCCTGGCTTCAGATCGGCGCAGCACGCTGGCCGTACCAGCCACTTGGGGGGTGAACCAACAGAAAAAGGAAGATCTTTCTGTCTCTCTCTCTCTCTGTCAAAAAAATAAAAAAAGAATTAGAGAGAGAGACATCAATATTCCATCCACTGGTTCACTCCTGAATTGGCCACAATGGCCAGGGCTGGGCCAGACCAAAGTCAGGTGCCAGGAGCTTCTTCCATTTCTCCCATGTGGGTGCAAGGGCCCAAGTACTTGGACCATCTTCTGTTGCTTTCCAAGGTACATTAGCAGGGAGCTGTATCAAAAGTGGAGCAGGGGTCAGCGCTGTGGCATAGCACTTAAAGCCACTGCCTGCAGTGCTGGCATCCCATATGGGCACTGGTTCAAGTCCCACCTGCTCCACTTCCAATCCAGCTCTCTGCTATGACCTGGGAAAGCAGTGGAAAGTGGTCCAAGTCATTGGGCTCCTGCACCCATGTGGAAGACCAGGAAGCTCCTGGCTCTTGGCTTCGGATCAGCACAACTCCAGCCATTGCAGCCAACTAGGGAGTGAACCAGCCTCTGAAAGACTTCTCTCTCTCTCTCTTCTCTCACAGCTCCGGCCATTGTGGCCAACTGAGGAGTGAACCAGCAGTTGGAAGACTTTTTCTCTTTCTCTCTCTCTGCTCCTCCTCTCTCTATGTAACTCTCTCAAATAAATAAATAAATCTTTAAAAAAAAGAAAAAAGAAAGTAGAGTAGCCAAGACTGGAACTGATGCCCCCATGGGATGCTGGTGTCACAGGTGGTGGCCACAACACTGGCCCCTAGATTTTTTTGTTTATGTTTTCAAAATGAAGACAGAGATCATGTAAAATAAGAAATCTAAGGTACAATTCATGGCCGGCGCCGCGGCTCACTAGGCTAATCCTCCGCCTAGCGGCGCCGGCACACCGGGTTCTAGTCCCGGTTGGGGCGCCGGATTCTGTCCCGGTTGCCCCTCTTCCAGGCCAGCCCTCTGCTGTGGCCCGGGAGTGCAGTGGAGGATGGCCCAGGTGCTTGGGCCCTGCACCCCATGGGAGACCAGGAAAAGCACCTGGTTCCTGGCTCCTGCCATCGGATCAGCGCGGTGCGCCGGCCGCAGCGCGCCGGCCGCGGCGGCCATTGGAGGGTGAACCAACGGCAAAGGAAGACCTTTCTCTCTGTCTCTCTCTCTCACTGTCCACTCTGCCTGTCAAAAAAAAAAAAAAAAAATAAGGTACAATTCATAACTTAACAGACAAATTGGTAGAATTTTCACTTTCTGACCTGTCCTTCTACATAGCATCTTACGCTAGTGAATCAACCTTCCTTAGGACTGTGTAAGACAGTCCTGGGGATGGGTGTCATGGTGCAGTGGCTAAGCTGCTGCTTAGATACCAGCTGCTCTGCTTCCAATCCAGCTCTCTGCTAATGTGCCTAGAAAGAGTAGATCCTGGCCCAGGCACCTGGGTCCCTGATACCCACATGGAAAACCTGGTTGCTGGGGAGTGATCACTCTCTCTACCTCTCCATCTCTGTCACTTTGCCTTTCAAATAAATACATCTTCAACACAAACAACTGTTCCTGAGCCTCAGCACATATGTGCATGCCTACCACATGCATGCCTACCACATATATACTCACTAAACACTCCCTATCAGGGCTAGCTTCTACTGTCCTCAAGCCAAGAATACAAGGTGCTTCCCTCTCCAATTCCCATAACTTGGATTTTATCTCTGACAGAAGTGAAGAGAGAATGAGGGCTCCTTTATAAACCATCACCACTTTGCACCAGAGCAGATGCTCTTAGTTAAAACTTATCTCCATGTCTCCTTCCTGAGCACTACCTCCCACCTGTTCAACTCTCCATCTACCAAGGTGTCTGCACTGATGGAGCCACCCGGAACTCACAGGTTCTCTACCTTGCATCCCAGCCTCTGTAAACACTATCACCATATGGGAATAAAAAAACTTAAGGAATCTGAAAATGTGAGAAATCCAGACTGGAATAAACATAGGGCCAACATTTAAGACACCAAGTTAGGATAAGTCTGCATCCCATTAGAGTAGCTGGGTTTGAGTCCCGCCTCTACTTCTGACTCCAGCTTCCTGCTTTCAGGACCTGGATTGAGTTCGTGGCTCCTGGCTTCAGCCTGGCTCAGCCCCAGCCATTTCAAACATTTGGCGAGAGAAACAGCAAATGAAAGTTCTTCTCGCCATCTCAGTTTGTCTCTGTCTCCCAGTCTCTCAAATAAATAAGTAAAAATTTAAAAAATAAAGATCACAGAGCCTCTGTCAGGATGAGCTCTTGTAGCATGCCCCATGCAAGTTACCACCTCCAGGGGTTATTTTTCAAGAGATCATCAGAAGCCAACGGACAGGGCCAAAAGGAATCAGAAGCTCTGGACAGGTGTGTGGAGACTCAGTGGTATCAAGGTTAAACAAGGTTGCAGGGCACTCATCTCACAGCACAGCACAGCAGAAGTCTGACCGCTGTGATTGACACACAGCGAGCCACCTTCCCAGAATGAATCCACACAGAATCAGCCATGCTAACTGGGGTGAGGTTGACCTACCCAGGACATCCAGCGCTTCAATAGTCCTCTCCTGGATGAACGTGTTGTAGCACTCGAGCGCGGCCAGCAGCAGGCCCAGCCACTGCAGCGTTGTGCGCAGGCTGAAGGGCCCCTGCAGGTGGAAGAGGGTGGGCTGAGCAAGGATGCCCGCCGGCCGGTCACCACTACTACCACCCCCTTCAAACGTGTTTATGAGAAAAGAGGTCTCTTCTTTCTTCATAAGATCTTTCAGCCATAATGAAGGGGATTTGTTGCCTTAAGAAAGAAACAAAATTAAAACGCACATATAAATCACTTCCACATGGTTAACTGTTTTAATTCAACCTCTGCATCTAGTTAAAACAACCAAATGAGATGGGATAATATTTTTTATTTTATTACAGCACACATAACTTGTTTCAACAAGGTATCGCCACCAAAGTCACTCTCTTGGGCTTCTTTGAACATTTTAAAAACAACTGAACACCACTTGGAATAGCTATAAATGAACACCCTTTTCAAGTCAAAAAGGAAAGCTGTGACTGCTGGGCTCCTAGGCTGGCTCTGCCACCTCCCAGCCAGGGGCTGGGCCTCTCTGTGGCTCAGTTTGCTCATCTGCAAATGAGAACCGTATCAATCTCTGGCTCTTAGGTTACCTTATATGAACTAGTTATTGTTTGAATACATGCTTAGAACAGAACTGCCAGACAGTATGTGCAGTGCATATTGAGTCAAATTACCCACCTTTCAAAGAATATTTTTGGGGCCGGCGATGTGGCATAGCAGGTAAAGCTGCCACCTGTGATGCCAGCATCTCATATAGCACCAGTCTGTGTCCCCACTGCTCCATTTCCTATCCAGCTCCCTGTTAATGGGTTGGGAAAAGCAGCAGAAGATAGCCCAAGTACTTGCTACCCTTGTGGTAGACTCAAAGAAACTCCTGGATCCTGGCTTTAGCCTGGCCCTGCCTTGGCTGATGTAGCCATTTAGGGAATGAACTAGTGAATGGAATCCCTCTCTTTTCTCTGTCTTTCCCTCTCTGTAGCTATTTCAAATAAGTCTTTAAAAAGCAGGGGTGGGGGGTGGGGGTGTGAAGTACATAAAATTGCATCCTGTATACTCTGAAAAAACCATATCACTCTAACAAAGTTAGAGAAGAAGTCAAAACAGTCATCTATTTCTGATGTGTTACAAGGAGAACACTTCACACACTAGCATTGTGGCACAGCGCGCCCACAATGCCAACATCCCATGTAGGTGCTGGTTCACGTCCCAGATGTTCCACTTCCAATACAGCTCCCTGCTAATGTCCTTGGAAAGCAGTGGAGTACTGCCCAAATGTTTGGGCCCCTACCATTCATGTGGGAGACCTGGAGGAAGTTCCTGACTTGGGCACCCACGGGATGCCAGCACTGCAGAAGGCAACTTTACCCACTATGCCACAGCAACAGTTCCAAAATAAACATCTTTTAATTTCATTTTCCATAAACTTTTTGAAGCACTCTCATTTAATATTATTATATTACAGGATAACAAAACTTGGAACTACCAAGAAGTCATTTTTCCTCTTGTTCCATGAAGACCTATCCAGATAGCAGACCCCACCCCATGTTCTGCCCTGCAGTGAGCTCCTTCCTGACTCAACAGGCATGCACAGCCACAAGCAGCACTTCTGGCTCTGGGTTGGTGCCCAGTGCACATGAAAGAGGAAGTCAACACCAGTTCCATTCCAAGACACAGCTTCCTCCACACACATCAAAGCCACCAAACCCTGACTTGGCGTCAGCGGAGAAAGTAGAACATTTATTCCTGAGAAATCCAGCTATTATTTCAAGCAGCTTAATGATTTAGTGAATAATTACCCAAAAGCTTCACTGCTTTCCTTTAATAGCACAATGATCTGAGATCATTCCTAATAGCACAATGATCTGAGATCATTCCAATTTAAGATTCTAGCAGTTTCATATTAATTATACATTGAGACAGACTGCGTTACTTCATTAACTGTTAATATTCTGAATTCTGATTAAATATTATATTGACTACAGTGGTCACCCAACTCTTCTTTATTTCTTTTAAAGAGAATAGGAAAGAAGCAAAGTGGTATGAAATTAAAAAGATATGGGGAAATTCTGGCCAGCGCCACAGCTCACTAGGCTAATCCTCCACCTAGCGGCGCCAGCACACTGGGTTCTAGTCCCAGTCGGGGCGCCAGACTCCGTCCTGGTTGCCCCTCTTCCAGGCCAGCTCTCTGCTGTGGGCCGGGAAGGCAGTGGAGGATGGCCCAATTGGTTGGGCCCTGCATCCCATGGGAGACCAGGAGAAGCACCTGGCTCCTGCCTCCAGATCAGCGTGGTGTGCCGGCCGTGGCGGCCATTGGAGGGTGAACCAATGGCAAAAGGAAGACCTTTCTCTCTGTCTCTGTCTCTGTCTCTCACTATCCACTCTGCCTGTCAAAAAAAAAAAAAAAAAAAAAAGATATGGGGAAATTCTAAATCTACTTTTCTATCATTTGACTAATACCAAAGTAGCATTTTTTTATTTCTTTCTATAAATCTTTGAGAAATGCAGTCATAACATCATGTCATACAAACCTGAAATGATTACTGAACATAATTATGTTTTGTGTTTATTAGAAACATATTACTTGTAATACTCATTTAAATAAGAGAAGGATCACATTTTTAATAAATCTGTGTGTCCATACTACTAGCAACAGCAAAACTCATTTTATTTTATAGGATGTAAGAATCAGCATACCTGGCAATAAAGGAACAAATTTATAAAAGAGTTCTATGGACTTGTGTCGGCATTCAGTCTGAGGCCTCCCACAACGGGCTAACAGCCACTTGACCAGATCCGATAAACACAGTGATGCTGAAGGTGGGAATCCTCTACAGGGAGAAAACATACTGCTGTCACTAACGTGCTTTGAAGTCAATGCTTGGCTATCCCAGAATCTAGAAACAACTCATCAATTTGACCACACTGACACATGTACAGACCTCATTAAAGGGCATTCAACTCATGTTTTATCATTAGGACACAATCAGCCATCAAAGAGTAAATGGGCTCCACAGGCTGATGACCTTCATTTTTATTTTTATCCGGGAAAAATTTAAAAGCATTTCTTAATGGAACAGCACACCAAGTATTTTCATGCATCCTTTTTAATTTGTTTAAAAATAAATAAATAAATAAGGATTCAAGATCTAAAACAGCACTTCTCAGAGTGTGCCCCCAGCTTCACCCGTGAACTTGTTGTAAATGCAAGTTCTCTGACCCCACCCCAGACTTGACAGAGAAATCCTGAGGTGCAGGCTGGCCCAGCAATCTGTTTTAACAAGGTCTCCAGCAAATTATAATAGGTGTTAAAGTCTGAAACCAACAATATATAGAGATGTCATAATGGTAGAATCTGAAAGAATCAAATTTAAAACAGGAAAAATATAAACGTCCAGTCCACATGGTACTATGCCTGTCCAGAGCACTGGCCACCAGTACAAGTACCTGCCGAGATTCCCGAGCGGCTGATGCATGGCACCACACCCTGTCTGAGAATGAGACACAAGGGGATGGAAATGACAGCAATGGCTGGAACCCACTGGCTGATACCCAGCCTTGGCTCTTGGCAACTTTGTTTCACAATTCTATTTTCCATGAGTGTCAAAATCCTACCGTTTCACCATTCAATGATTATATTTCAAAATTTACTGCATAACAATTCATGTACATGCTAGTAAAACAATTCAACATCAATTTGTATTCAAAATTAGTGCAAGTAAAATAAAGTGCTTGTTACAAAACTAATGTTAAATTTGTATCTATTACTCCAACTAAGAACACATACTTTATACCTTAAACCAAGTATTTTCAAGCATAAAGCTTTTGCTTTAGAAAATAGACTCTCCTACTACTTCTACACATTCTTTATTTAAAAAACTAATTCCTTATACTTGCACACATCCATCCCACGTTGCCCTTCATAAGCTGAGAATCAGTTTTAGTTTTACGTTAGGAAACGAAAAGAAAAAGGAAGCAATAACACCCACCGTGGCAACCGCCGTTTTTTTGGTTTGTTTAAAGAAACGCATTTCTTCTCGATGATGCGGCTTAGGTGGTCAATGGCATCACAACACTGTTGAACTGTACCTGTTCTCAAGTACAAAGAAGACATAGAACTGACTACAATGAATAAATTAGAATTATTAATTTGTTGGCCTAATTTTTTTAATTAAAAAGATAGTTTTACTATAGGTTTAAAATAATTTTACCTTTCAGAATATAAAATTTAATAAATGATTTACACAGCATGTTCAAAACTGAAACCCATATTTAAGACTGCAACATAGTTTGACACACACATGTACACACCTGCACACACAGAGTAATACCACATGTAATCAGCACCACGCACCAGACAAGCACAGCCTTACTTAAAGGATCTGACATGCAGGGGACCTTGTAGATATTCCAAGACCCACATACCAGGCCACAGCCTGTGTGACCTCTTTTTCTTGCAAGTGACAAACTACATGATAGTTTAATAATACGTCCACTGTGGATAGAGAACAGAAATAAGATGGCAAACCACCCACAGAAATCAAATTATTTAGGAAAGGAGCCTTATACAACTTATTTTAACTTTTCTCACCAAGAAAAGGCTTCCTTCTATGCTTTTTAAATATGGCAGTGATTTTAGCGTAGAGTTTCACTTGTTTAGGAAAATTTACCTATATGGGAAATGAAGATAAACAAGGCAAATTCAAGATATTTTATGGCAAGGACTGAGTTAAAAGCCTTTTGCCAAGATCTCTGTGAGTGAGATCTCAGTGGAAAAAACAGGTCTTCAAAGAAGGAGGTACCTTTCTCTGAAGGGAGGAGAGAACCTCCACTTTGACTATGACCTTGTCTAAACAAGATAAGAGTCGGAGAACTCAAGGGGCTTCCATAGCCTTGGAAACTCATGACTGGAGCATAGGGGGATTGCTGATGCCATAGACAGGAGTGTCAATTGGTAAAGTCAACAACAGGAGTCACTGTGCACTTACTCCTCATGTAGGATCTCTGTCCTTAATGTGCTGTGCATTGAGATTTAATGCTATAACGAGTACTCAAACAGTGTATTTCACTTTGTGTTTCTATGGGGGTGCAAACTGTTGAAATCTTTACTTAATGCATACTAAACTGATCCTCTGCAAAAAAAAAAAAAAAAAAAAATATAAGATAATGGAAAGGAAACTTATCAACTCCCCAACTTGACTTCTCACTGGGAATTAAACATGACAATAGGTCTGATCCTGATTTCATCATCCATTTAAAAAAAATCATTCTAATTATTTTTTCACTTTATGTTTTCTGTGTGGGAGCAAACTGTTGAAATCCTTACTTAAGGTATACTAAGCTGATCTTCTGTATATTAAGATAATCGAAAATGAATCTTGATGTGAATGGAAGGGGAGAGGGAGTGGGAAAGGGGAGGGTTGTGGGTGGGAGGGACGGTATGGGGGGGAAGCCATAGTAATCCATTATTCGTACTTTGGAAACTTATATTCATTAAATAAAAGTTAAAAAAAAAAAAACACATAATAAAAAGTAAAAAAAAAAAAAAGCCTTTTGCCAGGGCTGGTGCTGTGGCATAGCACTTAAGCTGCAGCCTGTGATGCTGGTATGCCATATGGTTGCCAGTTCATGTCCCAGCTGCTCCACTTCCTATCTACCTCCCTGCTAATGTGTCTGGGAAATCAGCAGATGACCCAAGTACGTGGGTCCCTGCACCCACATGGGGACCTGGATGAAGCTCCTAGCTCCTGGTTTCAGCCTGGTCCAGCCCTGACCTTTGCCATTTGGGGAGTGAACCAGCAGGCAGAAGAACTGTCTCCCTTTCTAGGCCTTTCAAATAAATAAATCTTAAAAAAAAGAAGAAGAAGAAGGAAGGAAGGAAGGAAGGAGGAGCATCACGATTTAAAAAAAAAAGCCTTTTGCCTACACTAAGAACATCACAGCAGAGGATCAGGGCCTCTGACCTCCCAGAGTCAGGCAGGAGTGGCTGCCAGGGGTACTTGGTGAGTCTTAGAGGATAAAGGAAGGAGAAAACCTTCACAAGCTGGAGTTTGGGCACTGAGGAGTGTATCTCCCCTTCATATTTGCCAGGTTTATGGGAGATACAAAAAAGAGAAAACAACTCCCCGTGACAGAATCATGTTAAGACCTGTGAAGCAAACAGATTTGGGAAGCAAACAGAAGGCTTGGGGGAGACAAACCTAAGGATTTCTCGTCTGCGTGAGCTAAGGCCAGACTTTCCATATATATCACCAAGGCTTCAAACACAAACTGTTCTACCAGGGACTCTTCTTCCCTGCAAAACAAACAGCAATAAACTTACCCAAGAGAATCATAAAGCAGAGGGCATACAGCAAACAGTAATGGTGTTAAAGAATGCACACATTAATTAAATTTGCTTTTTCTTTTTTAAAAAAAAGGCTCCAATACTTGTCAAAGAAGACTACTTCCCATAACAAACTAAGACAAATGCACAAACCAAAAAGAGGCAGCACCAGCTTTTTCTCTATGTACACAACCTCCCCCTCACTCTCCCATCCCTGGGGTAGTAGACAGCACCTAACCTTCGAACCGATTCTCTGACCACACAGCTCATTAAAATTCAGTGCAGGGAAAAAAAATAGATGATACCATATCCACAGTCTTCCAAAATAAAGGAATTCTAAAAGCTCTCAACCTGTCTAAAAGCAAGTCAACATCAATAGTAAGTTCTAAGCCTTTTATAGGCATACCCCCTACATGCAAATAATCTGATCAACGACATCTATGGACCATGTATTTATATAGAAACTTACAGTGGCGCCAAGCACCAGTGCCAAGAACTAAGCTGCAGAAGTGAGCTCACTAGAAAATATGTTCCTTACTGAAACAGGACATCCAATGGTTAAGAGCAAAACAACGGGTATATACAATAATTCTCACAGGAGATCTTAGATAACTAAGAAAAAAGAATTCCAGTTGAGTCTTCTGTCCCCATGTTGCTAGGCTGCTGCACCACTGACTTGGAAGAAGTGTATCCACAGAACAAGAGATGCTGAGAAAAACATGGAGGATATGGAGGACTTGGAACTAGAACTACAAACTGCTGTTTCACTTGACAGAAGTATTAGCCTAATATATAGATATACAGATACATACATTTATAGGTAGATACATACATAAATAAATATAAATATATATATATGTATATATATTTGGTTTTTTATTTGAATCTCATGGGCAGGGACTCTCAAGAGTTCCACAAGCCCCAAATGCCTTCCAACGTGTCACACCCAGATCTGACACTGAGCAGTAAGGACGCCAATGAACAAAAACAGAATGAGTAAAGACTGAGAGGTAAGATTAAAAAAAAAAAGTGGGTGTCAATAAACAAACTGGCTAAGCTAGAAAAGGTTCAGCTGGAGGACTGTAAAAAGGTTGGTTGGGTTTAACTGCAGAGGTGTTGGAAATCCAAGCCAAGTGCATCAGGAAAACAGTAAAAAGTGCAAATACAGAATGATGTGACAAAACAAGGATTCCACCTGTGCTAAGACAGCTCAATGTCACATAGAAAGTGAACATTCGGATCCTATTTACAGGATTCAACATGCACCACCTCAAAAACTTTATCTCCCAGGCACCCTTTCTCAAAAAGTCACTTGAAATGTGGACCAACTAATAAAGAGTATCCAAGAAAAACAACAACAAGGGGAGAAGAAAACAGAAGCTCAAACACAGGAAAGAGGGAAAGGGACATCCTAAGGGACAATCACAGATACCCTGAGCATCAGCAGTGCATCAGAGTGCATCTGGGACTGCGGAGGAGGCTGCCTCCGCCAGGACACAACTGCAGGGCTCCTTCAACTTGGAAGGGACACCCAGGTGAGCCCAGCCCAAGCTGCTGTCTGAACCTGACCCACCATGCCCACATGTTTGAAGTTCTGTGTTCCGCCCAGATCAGCTGACCAGGTACATGTACTCATAAGAATACTTTGCTCTGATCCACGCCTGTCAGACAGGGTAGGCCACTGCGAGCTGAGAGGCAGAAAGCAAAGGTCAGCCCACAACCTGCAACGATATTCCCAGCATCTGTCGGCCATCTCTGGAGAACCCCACTGCCCAAGACTAACCTTGGATCTTGTAAAGCAGAAGTGGGGAAACTTTTTTTCTGTCAAGGGCCATTTGGATATATTTATAACATCATGAACCAGCCATACAAAATTATCAACCAAAAAAGTAGCCTGTTACTTAATTTCAAATCCCATCTACAGTTGCTTTGGTGTGTCCAGATATTCCTTAGCCCTGCTAGTCATCTCCTCTCTCTTTTAGGGCTCTTGTGATCTCTGAGGGAGGCTCCAGCCAGACTCCTCTTAGCTGCCTTCTCCCAGAACCCCCCACCTGACAGGAGAAAGATGGCTCTTGCCTTACATAGCTGTGCTCACACTTAGTAGTGTCAGCTTTCTAAAATCCAAGAACACAGTATGTAGGGTTGGAAGCACAGGTAACAAAACTATAAAGAAAACGAGAAAAAGCAACATAAAAGTCAGGAGAATGATCCCTCTGGGATAGTAAGGGTTTGGGAGGTTTCCAGAACATTGGCAATTTCTTAACCTCAAGGGTAAGTATGCAGGACTTGTCTTATTATTAGTCTATGAACTTTACATGTTTTATATACTCTTCTGCACACAGGTTTCACAATTTAAAAAGCTAAAAAGTAACCTATGGCTTCAAACTCTAAGCAGTTATACAAATAAATATATACACATTCCCATCCACGTATCCTCTTATTTTTTTATTACTGATCTCCCCCAGATTATCAACCATCTACTCATCTTCCTGTCCAGCTATCCTACCTTCTCTTTGTCTCCTCTCCTCTATCCCAACTGCCACTTATTCAGAGAAGCTATTCCAACCCAAAATGCTCAGGTAGCTCATCATATTATTAGTGACAATGCATCATTATTTAGCATCACTGATATCAGTTACAAATCTTACATGTACCTATGTGACTAGTTAATTATTGTCTGTCTCACGTTCTGAAGTGCAACCCTCATGAAAGGGTACATCTTTGAAACTCCACCATGTGGCACAGGGCCCAACATATAATAATATTAATAAATAGTGCTGAAGGATGGCATGAAGGAATGAGCAAACGCACTGCTACCTTAGGGGAGTGACTAATGCATTGGTCCTTGGGCTTGGGCAACAGCCTATTCCTTGGTGTCCTGGGCCTTCAGTCTCATCCCAGGGAGATACCCTCTCCGCAGGCACCAGCAGGTCACCTTTGGGAGAAAATCTAAGTGCAGCACTCTCTGCTCTCACTATTCCAAGGACTATGAGCAGATGTGACCCACACTTCGTCCCCATCAGACAAGGGCTCTCAGCGGCCTCACTGTGTTTCCCTCCACTGTCAGACTCCATAGTCTGGGAGCACCAGGCATCATCATCACCAGAGATCCCACCTAATTTCTCCCCTTTCCCACCCTGTGATTTGAAATGCCTCAGCTGGCTTCCATTCATCCTTTAAGTCTTGTCTCAGGGATAAACTCTGCCAGTAGGCTTGGCCTCCAGGGCACTTCCCTGGGTTCCAAAAGACCCTGGATTCCAACAGACTTCTGGTGTTCCAATAGACTCCCAGTGTTGTGCTTATAAAACTGCTATTGTATTAGGTTGGTAAGCCCAACTTCTCAGTAGTTTCTAAGTTTCTTGCATGCAAATTAAATATTAATTAATTTTAAAACCTCAGAACACAGCACAGCATCCAGCACACACTGACTAAAATAGAGCATGATATGTGAATACACGGATACACAGAGTTACACATCAAGCCACCTTCAAAATCAATACCTGCTGAAAATTTCAAGAGTGTCTTTTACCTTCTTCCTGCCAGCAGCTCCCATACCTGAATTCCTTGTAGATGTTATTGAAAGCGAGTGATGCCCCGAGCCTCTTGAAAGCATTGGGGTGGAGTGCAAAGCTGTACAGGCGCTTGAACAGCGATTTGGTGTTGACTGGACTCTCTTCCTGCTGCTGTGGGGTTGTCTGCTTAATGGACCATTTGAGGAATTCTCGAACACAACGACCACAAAAGTCTCTTAAAGTACTGTCAACGGGGTCCACAATTCCATCCTGGAAAAGAAAAAGGGGCCTTGATTTGTAATCATTGGAAAATGACAACCGAATTTCCTTGGTCTGCCTCTTAACATAACGGAAATCTAGCACCAAACAGGATGAAATCAACACTAGCAAAACCTACCTGGTTGACCAGAATCCAGATTCAAATAACTATTTCTTTTTGACCTACTGAGAACACTTCCTTTTAAACAAAGTAATAAGGTTGAAAAGCCCATGGGAAGGGGAAAGTATTTTAAGTTATAGCCACACAAGCCTTTCCCTTCCCTGAAGAAACACAATGGCTATACTGAGAACCTCTGCGGCTGCTGATTTTACCCACTAACAGTGTCTGAGGTGCTCTAGGGTGAAGGAAAGTAAGCCCCTTAGTTGGTCCAAGGAAACTGTATTCTCACAGAAACAAACAGTGCCCGGTGTGTGGTTCTGAAAACCTGATTTTCGGAAAGAGCAGTCCCCATAAGGCACAGTCTCAGCATATATGCAGAAAACTGCTAAGGACATCTGACCACAGAGATTCCACATAGAGAAACACTCTGCTCAGTGGTTCTGCTGTCCTCTAGGCCCTGTCCCCTCTCAGATCCACAAAGGAGGAGTAACACTAAAATAGGGAAGCTCTGTCCGACATCCCATAATCTGCCACGTGTGGAATCCCTGACTGCAGCACTACTTAGAACTCAAGACTGAACGTGGGGCTGGCGCCGCTGTGCAGTGGGTTAATCCTCTGCCTGTGGTGCTCGCATCCCATATGAGTGCTGGTTCTGCTCCCGGCTGCTCCACTCTGAGAGTACAAGGCCTATCATCATGATGACACCACCCAACAGACACAGCTGCCCTGGGCGATGCCCTGCACTACCCTGCCTCATGCCTTTCCCAGCCTCTCCTCTCATAATGATCTGCAGAAACAGACCCCAGTCCTCGCCACCCTGGACCTAGCACATTTGTTGCCCCTCTCCAGATGCTCTTGTCAACTCCTATTTCCTCCTGCTCATCTCAAACTGAACAAAAAGTGATAAAAAAAAAAAAAGAAGATGTAAGCCGGAATCAATTTGCAAGAATATGGAATTAAAGGATAGTAGTATCAACAAACTTGCTATGTATTTACTGCAACTTTCGACTCTAACATGAATATATGACAAAACAAAATGGCAGGCTGAAATAAATGACACTTAAAGGAATCAGATATCAACTTACCTGCACAAGTTCAAAAATCATGAAAAATTCAACATCCAAAGAATGCACTTTAACTGCCCTCTCTGCCTGTGCCCTCAGTGAGCCAGTGACCAAACCCTAACACATCCATCTCCCTCTACTGCCTCAGGGGAGTTCTAGGTAAAAGGTAAGCTGCAGTTTCTCAGTCCTTCAGCTGGTGAATTTGAACGCAGGAGAAAGCTGGGTATGCTCAAAAAGTGCTTTCATTCTTCAATACCGTGCTACCATAGCTCTGGTAAGTCCAAGAACATTCTTATTCCTCCTATCTTCAACTCATATACAAACGCACATGGTTAATATAGATAAAGTGTATAAAAGCTAAAACCACTTGAATATTTAGTTACAGACATTTAAAGTATCAAATAAATATATGATATTGTGTCCATTAAAATGGCATTTCACAAATAAAATGAAAGAAAACAGAAAAAAATGAACCAGTTAGAGGCTACATTTTGGTGTCTTAACAGCTAATTTTTCTTTTTCTTTTAAAGATGTATCTACAGGAGCTGGCGCAGTGGTGTAGCAGGTGAAGCCGCCGCCTACAGTGCTGGTATCCCATATGGGCGCCAGTTCAAGTCCTGGCTGCTCCTCTTCCAATCCAGCTATCTGCTGTGGCCTAGGAAGGCAGTAGGGGATGGCCAAAGTCCTTGGGCCCCTGCACCCACATGGTAGACCTGGAGGAGACTCCTGGCTCCTGGCTTTAGATGGATGCAGCTCCTGCCGTTGCAGTCAACTAGGGACTGAACCAGCAGATGAAAGACCTCTCTCTCTCTCTCTTTCTCTCTCTGCAGATGAAAGACCTCTCTTTCTCTCTCTCTGCCTTTCTCTCTCTGTGTAACTCTGACATATAAATAAATAAATAAATATTAAAAAAAAATTTATCTACCTATTTGAAAGCCAGAGTTGCAGAGAGAGAGAGAAAGAGATCTTCCAACCGCTGGTTCATTGCCCAAATGGCTGAAACAGCTGGAGCTGGACCGTCCTGAAGCCAGGAGCCAGGAGCTTCTTCTGGTCTCCCATGTGGGTGCAGGGCCCAAGCACTTGTGCCATCTTCTGCTGCTTTCCCAGGAGCATTAGCAGGGAGCTAGTCCAGAAGTGGTGCAGCCAGGACTCACATTGGTGACCATGAGATGCCAGCACTCTAGGCGGAAGCTTTACCACTATACCACAGCACAGGCCCCTAGATAACTGTTCTTAAAGGTCAAAACAGATACATATCAACTATGACTAGTTGATAGAAACAGCAGGAAAAGAATCAACTTCTACTCACCAATATTGTGTCTAGCAGGGCGACCGTATCCTGACTTTCAAATTTCTTGTTGTTAGTGAACCAGTGAATCAGCTGCATGACGAGGGGCTCATAGAGCTGCCTGGTCACCTACAAAGACAATACCATCATGGCTGATTCCTTCAGAGTGAGTCAGAAGCAAGCAACTCAAAATCACTCCCTTACCTGATCCACATCACACCCAAGCCGAAGCAGCACAGGAAATGTTCGCTTATAGAGCTGGTACATGGGTGGGGGACCCTGACTTCCTTCAGGCATCTGAGTGGCTTTTCCCAGCATAAACATAACCATGCTATGTAACAGCTCACAGGCTGCCACCTGAAACAAGACAGTTCAACAGTTATTGGATTACAAGAGAACAGTCTGCCATGTTACTCAGTTTAGGACTTTAAGAAGAAAAACATTTACTGCAGGTGATTTTCATGTAACTCAAATGTAAGTTAACTGAAAGTGGTGCTTCTCATATAAAATTCCTGCTCACTTTGATTTTTAATCCAAGAGTTAAGAATTAAAATTTATGAGCTAGCACTGTGGTACATCAGGCTAAATAGCCACTTGCAACACCAGCATGCCATTTTAGAGTGCTGGTTTGAATCTCAGCTGCTCCACTGCCAGTCCAGCTCTTTGCTGATGTTGCTAGAAAAGCAGTGGAAGATGGCCCAAGTGCATGGGCCCCTGAACCCACATGGGAGATCTGGAAAAAGCTCCTGGCTTCAGCCTGGCCCAGATCTGGCTGTTATGGCCATTTGGAGATTGAACCAATGGATAGAAGATCTCTCTATCTCTCCTTCTGTATCTCTCTGCCTTTCAAATAAATAAATCTTTTTTTTAAGAAAGCAAAATTTATAAACTTTATACACTGGGCCTAATATATTCATATTCATAGGAAATATATTTCAATGCTGCCATACTACAGAACTACTTAACCGTGTTTCATCTGTTAGCACTTTTTTTTTTTTTTTGACAGGCAGAGTTAGACAGTGAGAAAGACAGAGAGAAAGATTTTCCTTTTTCCGTTGGTTCACCCCCCAAATGGCTGCCACGGCCGGCGTGCTGCGCTGATCCGAAGCCAGGAGCCAGGTGCTTCCTCCTGGTCTCCCATGCGGGTGCAGGGTCCAAGCACTTGGGCCATCCTCCACTGCCTTCCTGGGCTACAGCAGAGAGCTGGACTGAAGAGGAACAACCAGGACAGAATCCGGCGCCCCAACCGGGACTAGAACCCGGGATGCTAGCACTGCAGGCAGATGATGATTAGCCAAGGGAGCTGCAGCGCCGGCCCTGTTAGCACATTTTCAACTATCGCTTTCAATATATATTATTTTGAAGCACTTTAAAATTTTATAAATTAGGGGCCAGTGCTTTGATGTAGCAGGTTAAACATCTGCCGCAGTGCCAGAATCCCATATGGGCGCCACTTCAATTCCCAGATGTTCCACTTCTGATCCACCTTCCTGCTGATGGCTTGGGAACACAATAGAAGATGGTCCAAGTGCTTGGGCCCCTGCACCTCTGTGGGAGACCTGGAAGAAGCTCCTGGCTCCTGCTCATTGTGGCCATCTGGGGAGTGAACCAGCGAAGGAGAAGGAGGACCTCTCTCCGTCTCTCCTTCTCTCTCTAACTGCCTCTAAAGTAAATAAATCTTAAAAAAATAAAAATTTATAAATTAATACTAAATTTCAGATGACCTGCTTCCAATACCCTGGGCTAAGGCTATAACCAAACACAGACTATCAGCTTTAAATGCAACATTTTCTACAGCTGAAAGATTTTGGCAGAGGTAGGCATCTAGTGTAGCAACTAAGATGCTGCTTGGGACACCTCTATCCATGTTGGAGTGCCTGGGTTCAAGTTCCACTTCCACTTCCACTTCTGGCTTCTTGCTGATGCATACTCTGGGAAGAAGCAGATGATAGATAGCTCAAGTAGCTGGGTCTTGAGCATCTATACAGGAGACCCAGAATGAGCCCTGGTTCCTGGCTTTGGACTGGCCCAGCCCTTGTTGTTGAGACCATTTGGGGAGTAAATCAGCAGATGGGAGCTCTCTCTCTTCCTCTCTTTCAAATACATAAAATAGATAATTCCTAAAAAAATACTTTTTGTATATTTATGTTTTGCAAGGTTCTTTTTTTTTTTTTTTTTGACAGGCAGAGTGGATAGTGAGAGAGAGAGACAGAGAGAAAGGTCTTCCTTTTTGCCGTTAGTTTACCCTCCAATGGCTGCCACGGCTGGCGCGCTGCGGCCGGCGCACTGCACTGATCCGAAGGCAGGAGCCAGGTGCTTCTCCTGGTCTCCCATGGGGTGCAGGGCCCAAGCACTTGGGCCATCCTCCACTGCCCTCCCGGGCCACAGCAGAGAGCTGGCCTGGAAGAGGGGCAACCGGGAAAGAATCCAGCGCCCCAACCGGGACTAGAACCCGGTGTGCTGGCGCCGCTAGCTGGAGGATTAGCCTAGTGAGCCGCAGCGCCGGCCTGCAAGGTTATTTTCTATTAAAATGATTTATGTTTAACTTTTATTTATCAATGACTCCTACTCCCTTTTTTTATTTTAAGATTTATTTATTTGAAAGGAAGAGTTACAGGGAGAGAGAGCAAGAGTGAGAGAGAATCTTCCATCAACTAACTCCCCAAATGGTATCAATGACTGTGGCTGGACCAGATTAAAACCAGGAGCCTGGAAATCCATCCAGATTTCCCATGTGTGGCAGGGGTCCAGGTACATAGGTAATCTTCCACTGCTTTCCCAGGCACATTATCATGGAGGTGAACTGGAAGTGGAGCATCTAGAACTTGAACCCAAGCTCTGATATGGGATGTCATAATCACAGACAGCAACTTAATCCACTGTGCCATAACATTGGCCCTGACACCAACTTCTAGTAAGTGAGTTTTCTAATTACTATATTACCAAAAAAACAAAAATTAATGACACTAGCATCGATGACATAGCCAGTATGTTTTAAAAGCAATGGACTCTAGATAATGAATGAAATGCAAAACTAAAAGTACTTTGGTTTGTCTGTCACTAGCTGAAAGGGCTAATTCTGTGACCCGAGGCAAGAACCCCTCCAGATGAATGACAGGCTTCATGTCTCTGAACGGCACTGCAAAGCCAAGCCTTCTCTCCACATCCCAGGCCATACACTTCTTCATCATTTCATCAGAAGATGCAGCTGTCAAAAAGATTTAAGAATAATATTTTTCCATTAAAAGTCTTATAACAACCCTCATTACTTAAACCACAATGCTTTTGTATATGTTATTCACTTTTCCTTTTTTTCAAAAAAAAATGTATTTATTAGAGAAGCAGAGAGACAGAAAGAAACAGAGAAAGAGAGAGAGTTCCTATCTGCTGGCTCATTCCCCAGATGCCTACAGCAGGGGCTGGGCTAGGCCTGGCAGAAGCCAGGAGCCAGAAATTCAGTCTCCTAAGTGGGTGGCAGGGACCCAGTTACTTGAGCCATCACAGCAGTCTTCCGGTGTCTGCAGCAGCAGGAAGCTAGAGGCAGGAGGCGGAACAGGTTATGGACCCCTGGTATTCCAATGTGGGATGTGGGCATCTTAACCAGAGTCTTAATTGCTAGGGTACACACCCACCTCCATCTTTCCTTTTAGTTTTGCTTCAGATATGTAATTACAACAATAGAAATGACCAACATACTATTTCTGAATTTAACTTAATGTAAAATTACTGTTAACCAAGTCTAACAAAGTGGAATGTTTAACATCCAATTTCAGTGATAATCACTTAGGTACTTTGCAGAAAACAGGAAATGAACAATATTTCTATTAAAAATCTCCTACTCAAAATATTTGCTTTCCAAATATAAGCTCCAACTCCCTAAATAACCAAAAGTCACTGGTATATTTAACAACTTCAAAAGTAAGAAACAGATGAATTTTTACTAACCAAAAAATGTTCATCATGATAAAACAATCTAAAAATATCTGAATATTAAAACTAGGTTTACAAAAGACTAATTTGCCTTCCTCTGACATAATGTGTAATACAAAAAGAACATCCGATTAGATTATGCCTCAAAAGGGAAAGCATACTTAACAAACAAAGCTAGAACATTTTCTCCCTTATCGATAAAATTATTCTGATTATATGGGTACAAAGTATTTCATCAGAGGAATACTGCTTTTTAGAATCTTATTTGAAAATATGTAAATCACAAATAGGAATAAACTGTGATCTGCATACACTCTAATCAAAGGACAAATATGTCCAGAGGTTAACTTATCTTAAAGGGAAGTTTACCTGTTACCAGATTTTTGTTTATTTGTCCTCCTAGAGATCCAAGCATTTGTACTATTCTAATTCTTATATCTTCTAAAGACAGTGCTTCATTCTGTAAATTTGAACAACAGGATATATGTGATACATGTGATAACAGCATTAAAAATTAAAGAGAAGATGAGAAGAAACAAACACTAGGTTACCACCCTCTCCTAATGGTTAATTATATCCCACAGAGCAGGGCTGATAATGAGACTGCAGACCTCGTGGAAGAGGTCACATCCCTTTCGGTTTTGCAGCCGGGGGCTCATTTCTTAGGCCAGAGGTTCCAAATGTTTTGGCAAAACCTCTTTTCATCTTAAGGAATAGCAAGAAGTCCCAGTGAACTTCTATTTATGTGGGTTGTACTTACAAACATTTATCACATTAGAAATTAAACTTAAGAAGTCTACAAATGGTTTTTATTTAAAAATACTAAACTCACTGCATATTAACACATTACATTCTCTTATGAAAAATCACTCTTCCAAATAAACAAAAACCTCAGTAGGGTGGCCCTGGTTTCACATTCCCGTAATCTCTGTGCTTGCTGCTAAAGACAGCTCTGGTGATGCTGGCTGGAAGAGAGAGGAGCACCACAGTAGGGTACTGAGATAATTGTGACTACTCTGATATTACAACAAAATTGCACCAGGGTAACTTCTTAAAGGTTAGTTACACTGTATAATCTGAAACCTAACAATGAACTGTATATACCTTTTTCACATTAAAAATCCACTGCTTTATTTTGCAGTTTGAATGGACTATTTGCCTATGCACAATGTTACCATCATGTATTGCTCATTTGAAAATAATGTATCATTGGATTATGCAGATCTTACAAGATGACACCTTTTGTTGTACATGCAAAAACATTACATTTGTTAACATCGCCCCCAATCTGATCAGAAAAATTTCTTAAATATGAAGAAGCTAACAAACCACTATAATAGCTACATATTTCTCAAAATTTTAATTTCTGCTTAAAAGCTTGAACTTTAATATTGGCAAGAGATGCTTTCCTGAAATGGCAGGTGTCACTCTGTTCATCTGAAAGACAACATCTGCTGACTAACCAAGTCTGAACGACTAGGGTATGGCTGTCAGTTGTTGTTTCAAGTACAAATGGCGCTGTGGTTCTGGGCTCTTCCTATAGACAGCTCCATGCTTCACTGGCAGCAGGCCCACTCTACACAGCTTCCGGCCTCACCACAGTGCTAAAAACACCTGGGCCCAGGGCAAGCATCAACAAAGTGCCAAGGAACAGCAGTGCTACCCACCATGACACCACAGTGCAAACGTCAACACAGTCAAACTGGCATTGGCCTTGTACCTGTGAGCCCCAGGAGTCCACATTTAGAGAACCACCATCCCAGGGAACATTATATTTGCAAACTAGAGATACACTTAAGTAATGCCTTGTTTATGTGTGAAAAAATTAAGAAATTTCAACAGTCATTTCTTGCCTTTTTTTTTTGGACAGGCAGAGTTAGACAGTGAGAGAGACAGAGTAAAAGGTCTTCCTTCCATTGGTTCACCTCCAAATGGCCACTATAGCTGGTGCACTGCGCCGATCCGAAGGTAGGAGCCAGGTGCTTCCTCCTGGTCTCCCATGCGGGTGCAGGGGCCCAAGCACTTGGGCCATCCTCCACTGCCTTCCCAGGCCACAGCAGAGAGCTGGACTGGAAGAGGAGCAACCAGGACAGAATCCGGAGTGCCGGCACTGCAGGCAGAGGATTAGCCTAGCGAGCCGCGGCGCCGGCCATTTCTTGTCTTATTCAATGTCTCAACCAAAAGTTGCCCAAAATAATGAGGTGGGAAGAAATTACATTATCAGTTTGAGACATTTAAAGTTTTTCAGGGGACAGCGCTGTGGTGCAACAGGTTACAGCCACCACTTATGACACCAGAATCTCATATAAGCGCCAGTTCAAGTCCCAGATGTTCCACTTCCAATCTAGCTCCCTGCTAATCCACTTCGGAAAGCAGCAGATGGCCCAAGTGCTTAGGCCTTGCCATCCACATGGGAGACCTGGATAGAGCTCCAGGCTCCTGGTTTCAGCGTGGCCCAACCCTGGCTGTTATAGTCATTTGGGACTAAACCAGCAGATGGAATCGATCAACTGATTGATCTATCTTTATCACTCTATCTCATTCTCTCTCTATAAATGACTTCCAAATAAATAAACAAATCTTTAAACTTTTAATTTTTATTTCATACCAAAAAATAGGCATTTCCCTAAACTAACTCGATTTTCTCCGTTTATAGTTTCTTTCAGATCATGTGACTCATCTCAAAGCTAATCTCAAGAAATTATCACCAAAAAGAAAAAAATCTGTTATGAACTAAAGTTGATAAATTTTTGTTTAAGATCTTACCAGTGAACAAATCAATTTTACAGATTTATGTGATAGGGATTCTGACTTGCATATCACATTCCATTATACCAAACACATTTGACAGTAGTAACAAACAGGAAAACAGAATCAAGACAATAAACAAGTCCTTAATATACTTTATGTTTTTACTCCTAAAAATACACTGGAATTATTTCTATATTACTACTATATTATATCTCTATGCAAAAACTTTAAACAATGTTTTCTGCTTTTCACAAGCATTAAAGCCCAAGTTTTATATTATTTATGACGAAGAAAATAGAAAAGATTTCTTACTGATGAAATGTTCTTTGTTTTTTTCAACTGCTTTAATGCAGCTTCAGTGAATCCTTTCTGGACAGCCCGAGAAAGTGCTGACACTTCCCAGTTATTCTTGGTCTCACCTATCAACAATAACAAAAACCAATATTAAATAGTATTCATTCATTCATTTAATGAGCAATAGGGAGAGTATAATATATTGCCATTAGAATCATTAAAATTGTAACTTAAAAAATTAACTTTCTAGAAAAATAGCATTAATAGTGGTTGTCTTATGTTTAAAGACCACTGTCTACCAAAAGTGATGTGGCTCCTTTACAAAGTGGCTGACTGCAGGACTTAGGCAGTCTGGCACTTACAGAGCCCAGATCACCTTGTCACAGTGCCAGGACCCAATTTCCATAAACAGGCCATGTGTGTGACAACATGAGCCTCAAAATCAATCACAAGGGTAAAAGATCAGACCCTCTGAAAAAGGAAGAATCCTTAAGTCTTTACTAATCTAGAAAAATAAATAGAGGGAAGGAACAAGTTAATTATTTTTTTCCCCTAAAGATTTATTTATTTATTTATTTGAAAGTGAGAGTTATAGAGACAGAGATCTTCCATCCACTAGTTCACTCCCCAAATGGCCTCAATGGCCACAGCTCAACTGTTCTGAAGCCAGGAGCCTCTTTGGGTCTCCCACATGGATGTAGGGGCCCAAGCACTTGGGCCATCTTTCACTGCTTTCCTAGGTGCATTAGCAGGGAGCTGGATTGGAAGTGGAGCATCTAGGTCTCGAACCAGTGCCAATATGGGATGCTGGCTCTGCAGTGTTGCAGCTTAACCTGCTCTGCCACAGCACTGACTCCAAAGGCAAGTTAATTCTTACAGTAAAATGCCAACTAGGATGAAAGAAGTAAAACTTGAGTAATAACTGATTCAAGAAGAACTATGAATGGATATTAAAACTCTCATGGTAAAAGTGCAATGAGGAGGGGCCGGCGCTGTGGTGTAGCAGGTAAAGCTGCCGCCTGTAGTGCCGGCATTCCTCATGGGCCATGGTTCGAGTCCTGGCTGCCCCACTTTCGTTCCAGCTCTCTGCTATGGCCTGGGAAGGCAGTAGAAGATGGCCTAAGTCCTTGGGCCCCTGAAACCACGTGGGAGACCATGTAACTCTGACTTTCAAATAAATAAATAAATATTTAAAAAAGAAACCATATCCAAAACCATAGCACCGTGTAACATATTTTTAAAAAAGAGTTCAATGAGGAATAAAAATATGTACAGTTTTAAATATCCTCTACAAATTATTACTTTTCTGGAAGCAATTATAAACTAATTAAAAAATATGGGATGCCAGCATTGTGGTATAGGGGATTAAGCTGCTGCCTGAAATGCTGGCATCCCATTTGGGTGCTAGTCTGAGTCCCTGCTGCTCCATTTCTGGTGCAGCTCCCTGCTAAAGACCTGGGAAAGCAGTAGCAGATGTCCCAAGTGCTCAGGGCCCTGCACCCATATAAGAGACCAGGAAGCTCCTGGCTCCTGGCTTTAGCCAGGCCCAATCTTGGGAATTGCAGCCATTTGGGGAATGATACAGCAAATGAAAGTATTCTCTCTCTAACTCAACTTCCAAATAAATAAATAAATCTTTACAAAAAAACACCGGGGGCTGGCATTGTGGTATAGTGGGTTAAGCCCATAGGTGCACTAGTTCAAGTCCCAGCTGTTCCACTTCTGATCCAGCTCCCTGCTCAGTGTCTGGGAAAGCACCAGAAGATGGCCCAAGTGGTTGGGCCCCTGCACCCATGTAGGAGATCCAGAAGAAGCTCCTGGCTTCTGGCTTTGGATTGGTCCAGCTCTGGCCATTGTGGTCATTTAGGGAGTGAACCAGTTGATAGAAGACTAGAAGACCTCTCTATCCCTCTCCCTGTAACTCTGCCTCTCAAATAAATAAAATAAATCAAACACACACATAAAAGTTTCCCATAAAAAACACACACACACACACACACACACACACACACCTGAAAGTACAGCACAAAACTGCTTTCCTGAACTGAGAAGTTACCAACGTGATGCATTACCACCACCACTGAATTCTTTAGTGTGGCTTCCCCACAGGGACACTATTGCACAGCCACTCAAACTGAGACATGAGTGACACTCCAAAACTGAGACATGAGTGACAGTTAACTCCTCAGACATAGTCAGGAACCCAGCACTGAGCCTAGTGTTTCCTGTTCAGAACTGCAAGTTGTATTTACCTGACCTGTTAGTCTCTTTTAGACTGTTCCTTGAATTTCTTGATTTGGATATTTTCTTCAGCAGTGCCTTGAATTTCATGATTTAGATATTTTCTAAATCACACACCAGTAATTTTGTACAGGGTCCCTACATTTGGATTCGTTCACTGTTTCCCCATAATTAGATCCAAATTATGGGAACCAGTTCTAACACCTTATCTCCCTTATTAACTGCTGAGTTAAATAAAATCGTGACCCTTGTTCATTTTATATCTACATAGGGTGTTTTTTTTGGCTATTTTTTTGAAAGGCAGAGAGAGAGGGAGATGAAGGGAGGGAGGGAAAGAGAACTATAGTCCATCTGGTGGTTCAATCCTCAAATGCCCACAACAGCCAGCAATGGTCCAAACCAAAGCCAAGAGCCTGCAACTGAATCTGGGTCTCCCACAAGAGTGGCAGGGACCAACTACTGGGGCCATCATCTGCTGCCTCCTAGAAGCTAGAATCAGAAGCAGAGAAAACAGGTACTCCAATATGAGATGTGAATTACCCAAGTGCTGACTAAACAACTGTGCCAAATACCCACTGCTATAATATGAATTTTTAAAGCCTACAAATGGGGGCCAGCGCTGTGGCATAGTGGGTAAAGCCAGCATTTGCAGTGCCAAAATCTCATATGGGCACACATTTGAGTCCCAGCTGTTCCACTTCCAATCCAGCACTCTGCTATGGCCTGGGAAAACAGTGGAAGTTGGCACAAGTGCTTGGGCCTTGTACCTGCATGAGAGACCTAGAAGAAGCGCCTGGCTCCTGGCTTCAGATCGGTTCAGTCCCAGCTGTTGCAGCCATTTGGGGAGTGAACCAGTGGATGAAAGACTTCTCTCTCCCTCTGCCTCTTTGTAACTCTGCCTTTCAAATAAATAAATAAATCTTTAAAAAACAAGTCTACATATGCTATGAAGATTAACTAGTTTAAAAATACTCGTTGCCATTATGAATTATGTAAAAATCTTGCAGAATTCTGACTCTTCGTGAACTCTGCAAATGTACTGAGAGCATCACACAAACCATACAGAGAATGGAATCTGTCACACACTTTCACTTAATGTTTTCAAGCCAATAACATTCAGATTTCACAATAAAACAATAACCTATGTACATAAAACAGAAATTAACACTACATTTCTACTTTGAAGGCAGCAAAACTTGAATTTTCCTATACATACTTCAGAGTCCTCTGAGCTGAATCTTCCTTTTTGCTTGCATGAGTGAACAATGTCCTTTTTCATTCTGGCTTAAGTAAATCTGTCCCCTAACTTTAGGTACTACTTTTCTTGATCAGTTATATCTTTGCCTGGCCAAATGATTTTTTTCTTTCAATCTTTTTCCAAACCTATTTCTTCTAAGATGGCTTTAAAAAAAAAAACTTCTTAACTGGCTATCATTAGTAATTCCTCAGTTATATTTTTAAGAATAAAAATCAAGTGAAATTAGGTCAAAATATAAAACTACTATTAAATTTTCTAATGGTTTTAATCTCTGCATGATTTATTCCTCAGAAGATTTTTACAAGGCAATAATATGAGGAATTATAAGCTCAAGATATTTAACATTGAATTCTAGCCCTTAAAGATTTATAAACTTTACTAGAAAATAAGTGAGTAAAATGAAAAATGGTTTTAATTTCTCAATTACATGTTACTCAAATTATATTAAGGTGAACTGGGGAGGTCAAAAAAATACCGTTCAAACATATTTGAGGTTTCAAAAGGGTAAAATACAAGGAGTCCCTACTACAGTTATAACATTGCCATTACAACTAATGAAGGGAGCGGCCAAGAGCCGCCTTAAAAGTGGCCTTGATAAAATAGAAAAATAGGAACTTAAGACAAACAGTTTCAACCCCTCCCCGTCGTGCCCTTTCGACCTAGTACTTTTCCACTGATACCCCCTCCCCTGTGCTTGCTCAAGCTTGACAAAGAAATGGCAAGGCACGTAGCCACCCGTTCCTCTTCCTCTACGACCCCCTCCCCTTGTCCATGTACTTTGCCCAACTGTCTAGTTGCCCAATGAACTTACGCCACCATATAATATGTTAATCTTGTGGTTTTGCCCTTTAAAAGCTGCGTGAAATGATTGCTCAGGGCTCTCTCTCTCTCTTTCCCGCTGCTTGCGGCAGCAGAGGGCCCATTTGCACAAATGAAATAAAACTGCCTCTTGCTTTTTGCATCACCTGGTCTGGAGTCTGTGTTTCTGGGGTTGTCACAAAAGGGCACCACTTTTGGGGTCCTTCACTACAATACACATCCCCATCCGTCCAAACCTTACCTGATGAGGTGGAAGTCTTCAAGTATCCGTCAAGGCAGGGGAGAATGTCTTTGTAGTAAGGCTGAATTACATGCTTGCGGATGTGTCCTGACCATTCTTGGAGGGCATTCAGGCCTACTTCGGCCAGCGGGGTATAGCTCAGGCCCAATTTGAAGGCCATCTGTATGTCAATACAAAGTAAGCTGAAATGCAGGGAATTTTAGATTTGAAGGGAAAAAAATTAACTGCAGTTTCTATTTAATATATTTTCTATTGTTGGGCCACCAGACAGAGTTAAAGGTTAAATGGGTACAGTTTGAGTAATTATGAGGACAGCAAGCTGCCCCAACCCAGATGACAGGGTATGCTACACACTTCCCACACACACAAGGCTTAACTCTCACATTAACTGGGAAGAGAAGTTCAGACAGGCCAAGTTAAGTGTCTTGTGTTCCAAAACTAGTTAAGTTGCAGAAGCAGAACCTGAGCCAGGTGCGCCCTGCTGGGTAAGCACCTGCTGACATACTTCCATCTCTAGAAAACCTAACACTGATGAAGAAATAGGTTTGTTCAAGACAATGTACCTACCTGCAATGCAGGAACATAGGCTCTGACATCAAGTTCAATGATGTCATGTGGCAAGGACAGAACAAAGGTCAAACAGGAGGCCAAAAGTTCATCTTTGTATTGCTTCATTTTAACTGATACCTAAAGGAGAAAAAAAGACAATGCTGTGTAACTGCATAGAGGCCTACAATTTGAAAAAAATATTTACCCTATTCTCAAGTACAAAAAATTGACATGTTGCCTTTATCTAACAAGACCACTTACAAAGTCACTTACAAATAAATCCCTAGATCCAGGAACATTTATTTTGTTGAAATAATTAATTCTTACTCTATGGAAAAACTAAAGAATCTACTTAATTTTGTGTTGTCAACACTCAACCGAATTATTTTAAGAGAACTTGGAGGATTTCTGAAGTACAATGACTTCTAGGTTAGTGTTTCCAGGCCATATTCCCAAGCAAAATTTAGCAAACCAATTTTTAATCAATTTTAATGCTGTTTAGGACACCCACATCCCATATCAGAGTGTCTGAGTTTGAATCATAGCTTTGTTTCTGATTTCAGCTTCCTGCTGATATGCATCCAGTGGGGCAGCAGTGATGGCTCAAGCACTTTGGAGCCACATGGAGACCTGGATTGAGTTCCAGATGCCTGGATTCTGCCTGGCCCAATCCTAGCCATTGTGGGCATTTGAAAAGTGAACCAGTGGATGAAAGAGTTCCCTCTCTCTCTCTCTATTTGCCATTCAAATAAATAAAAATAAAAATGAACAAAAAATAATTATGACCACTAGAATTTTTTCAATATACATTAATTTAAAAATAACGTATGAAAACACTAAGAGAAATCATTTACAAGTTACCTCTTTACCAAATTTTGCAAATAAAGCAAAACAAGAAAACTTTTCTGGGTCCTCAGGAGAGTGCTTCAGACTCTTAGGACTAATTCCCTGAGAAACAGAACAGCAAATTAGTGCAATGAACAACAAACAGGTGATTCCTGATCTGGCCGTTCCCTTCACAGGGGAGACCTCATCAATGTCTTCATCTCATCATTATCTTCACCTCCTCAATGACTCCTGCAGACTGGAAGGGAGACTGGGCTCCAAGGACATTTCTAGGCAGAGGCCAATCAGAAACAGAGACGGGGGGAGGTGATGGCTGGCCAATGGCGTGGGCCTAACTAAATCCATGAATCTTTCACCATCTTCCAGAAACATGTGTCTATGCCCCAAGTCAATCTGCTCAGCCTGTAATTAGCAAGTGGGCTCCTCTTGCAACTGACTTGAGCCTTTGTGGCTCTCAACCTTCAACAGGCACCAGAAGAGCCTGGGTTGCTGAGCCTCATGCCAGAGTTCCTGATTAGGTTAAACCTGGAGAGGGCCTGAGACCTCACAAGAAATATTAGTACTTCTGGTCCCAGCACCCTGAAAATTCCTGCCAAGCTTCCATAGTCAGCCAGGTACTTAAAAATCAAAGCAGAGGGCCAGTGCTGTGGCATAGTAGGCTAAGGCTCCACCTACAGTGTCATCATCCCATATGGGCGCCAATTAGTTCCCAGCTGCTCCTCTTACAATCCAGCTCCTTACTTATAACCTGGGAAAGTACACACGTGGGGAACCCAGAGGAAGCCCCTGGCTTCTAATCAGCCAACTCCAGCCATTGCAGCCATTTGTGGAGTGAACCAGCAGATGGAGAACCTTTCTCTCTCTCTGTAACTCTGCCTCTCCAATAATTAAATAAAGTTGTAAAAAAATAATCAGGCAGCCGGTGCCGCGGCTCAATAGGCTAATCCTCCACCTAGCAGCGCTGGCACACGAGGTTCTAGTCCCAGTCGGGGTGCCGGATTCTGTCCTGGTTGTCCCTTTTCCAGGACAGCCCTCTGCTATGGCCCAGGAGTGCAATGGAGGATGGCCCAAGTGCTTGGGCCCTGCACCCCATGGGAGACCAGGAGAAGCACCTGGCTCCTGCCTTTGGATCAGCGCGGTGCGGCGGCCATTGGAGGGTGAACCAACGGCAAAGGAAGACCTTTCTCTCTGTCTCTCTCTCTCACTCACTATCCACTCTGCCTGTCAAAAAAAAAAAAAAAAAAAAAATCAGGCAGAAAACAATACTAAGTATCATCCAACTACTATTCACATATCAACTTCTTATATATATAAACATATATATGACTGACTTTAAAACCACATATGCCATTATCACATATTTTACAAGGCATTTATATTCAGGCAACCTAAAAAAAAAAATCACAGGATTATTCAATGTTCTCCAAAAAAGACTTACCTCAAAATACTTTATTTTCTTGGCATTTCTCACTGCAATAGAAAGCAATTTGTAGAAACCACTGATGAGTGGCAAGCGTGTAGAATGCACAATTAATTCATATGCAAATGAGCATACCCAAGGTTCAAAAAATCGTACTTGTTTCCCAGGGAGAATGTCTCTGCAAAAACAAATTAAATGTCTGAGGTACAAATCCTTATCATGTTAATTTTTATTCAACTTTAAAAGCACTGGGGACACAAAACATTATGGACTATAATTCCATAACTTTTTAGGTATACCTATATTCTAAGGATCTTCTACATATTAAAAAAAAAGAGAAAAGTAATTCCAAGCTGGTACATTTAGGTGCATTTTAAAGGTCCACGTAAGTGGGGCCTGTGCTGTGGCATAGCAGGTAAAGATACTGCCTGCTGGGGCGGGCACTGTGGCGCACTAGGTTAATCCTCTGCCTGCAGCACCGGTTTCCCATAAGGGCGCAGGTTCTAGTCCTGGCTGCTCCTCTTCTGATCCAGCTCTCTTCTATGTCCTGGAAGAGAAATAGAAGATGGCCCAAGTGCTTGGGCCCCTGCACCTGTGTGGGAGACCCGGAAGAAGCTCTTGGCTCTGTTGCAGCCATTGGGGAGTGAACCAGCGGATGAAAGACCTTTCTTTCTGTCTGTCCCTCTTACTGTCTGTAACTCTACCTCTGTAATAAATAAATAAAATCTTTAAAAAAAATCAAGTACTCTTCCAAAAGATGAGTACGCATTTAAAAAAGACTCCACTTGCAGTGCCTGCATCCCATTTGGGTGCCAGTTTGAGACCTGGCTGCTCTACTTGCAATCCAGCTCTCTGCTAAGGCCTGGGAAAACAGTAGAAGATGGCCTATGGGAGACCCAAAAGAAGCTCCTGGCTCCTGGCTTCAGAATGGCCCAGTTCTGGCCACTGCAGCCATTTGGGGAGTGAACCAGAGGAACTCTCTCTCTGTCTGCCTCTCTGTAACTCTGCCTTTCAAATAAATAAATTACAAAAGTCCATATAAGTAATTCTGGATTTTAAGTTTCTTCCCATTTCTTAAATTTGTTATAAAGATATTTATAACATTATAGTTAACCACTGATCATTTTCATTCTTAAATAGTTAGAATTTTATAAAATACCTGCAAAATTCCACCAGGTTAAGGAAAGCTGAAAAATCTTTAGGTTTAGCAGGATGCAAGTTAGCAGCTGGATCTGAAGTCGGGATCACCCAAACACCAGTGGCCTCATTTCCATCCTTAAAAATTAATTGTACCAAATAGACATTGTACCATTGAATCATACACTGTTCAACAAGTCACATTCCAATTGATTTCATAGTCTAGGCCTGGGGCTATGAGAAGAGAGTGAAAAAGTGAGAAAGGCAGAGACAAGTGCTCTGGAATTCACAGCTGATCAGAATGATGTGACTAGCAGAAAACCCAAGACAAAATATGGACTCACGGAAAATGAAGTAAAGAGATGAAAAAGGGGCCGGCGCTCTGGTGCAGCAGGTTAACACCCTGGCCTGAAGTGCCAGCATCCCATATGGGTGCTGGTTTGAGACCTGGCAGCTCCACTTCCAATCCAGCTCTCTGCTATGGCCTGGGAAAGCAGTAGAAAATGGCCCAAGTCCTTGGGCCCCTGCTCACTCGTGGGAGACCTGGAAGGTGGTCTTGGCTCCTAGTTTCAGATCAGCACAGCTCCAGTCACTGCGGCCAACTGGGGAGTGAACCATCGAATGAAAGACCTCTCTCTCTGTCTTTCTCTGCCTCTCCGTTCTCTGTGTAACTCTGACTTTCAAATAAATAAATAAATCTTTAAAAAAAAAAAGAGAGAGATGAAAGAACCAAACAGAAAAACATGAAGCATAAAGCTGTGGTGTCATTTTGTGACAGAGCTAGCAATGATGCCTTAACAGAAGCAGAATTTCAGAAGGCAGAAAGTATCAATAATGACTTAGAGGTTTCAGGGCCGGCGCCGCAGCTCAATAGGCTAATCCTCCACTTAACGGCGCCGGCACACCAGGTTCTAGTCCCGGTCGGGGCGCCGGATTCTTTCCCAGTTGCCCCTCTTCCAGGCCAGCTCTCTGTTGTGGCCCGGGAGTGCAGTGCAGGATGGTCCAAGTGCTTGGGCCCTGCACCCCATGGGAGACCAGGAGAAGCACCTGGCTCCTGCCTTCAGATCAGCGCGGTGTGCCGGCCACAGCACGCCAGCCGTGGCGGCCATTGGAGGATGAACCAACGGCAAAAAGGAAGACCTTTCTGTCTCTCTCTCTCACTATCCACTCTGCCTGTAAAAAAAAAAAAAAAAAACTCCATAAAATAATGACTTAGAGGTTTCAAACTGAGAAAAGACGAATAATAATTAACAGTGAGAAAGAAAAAATAAGGGAAAATGTGATTTCTTAGAAAGTGTATAAATTTGAGTTTTAAACATTATGTTTGTGTTACCAAACCTGTATTATCAAATATAATATGTATATTCAGACCCAAATGTTACACCAGCATTTAGAAACATGGCGGGGGGGGGGGGGGGGCCCTAATATGGCCTAGCAGGTTAAGCCACTGCTTGCAACACCTGTAACTAGTAGTCAGAGCACAAGTTGAGTACCAGCTGATTTGCTTCCGATCCAGCTCCCTGTTAACATACCTGGGAAGGCAGGAGAGGATGGGCCAAGTATTTGGGTCCCTGCCACCCATGTAGGAGACCAAAATGGAGCTTCTTGCTCCTGGCTTTGGCCTATGGCAGCCCAGGCTATTCTGACCATTTGGGGAGTGAACCAGAAGATGGAAGATCTATGTTGCTCTGCTTTTTAAATAAATAATTAAAATCTTTACACTGGCACTGTGGCAGAGCGGGTGAAGCTGCCGCCTGCAGTGCTGGCATCCCATATGGGCGCCAGTTCGTGGCCCCATCCAGCTCTCTGCGATGGCCTGGGAAAGCAGTAGAAGATGGCCCAAGTAATTGGGCCCCTGCACCTGAGTAGGAAACCCAGAAGAAGTTCCTGCTCCTAGCTTTGGATTAGCGCAGGTCCAGCTGCTGCAGCCGTTGCAGGGTAGTGAACCAGCAATGGAAGACCTATTTCTCTGCCTCTCCTTCTCTCTCTGACTTTCAAAAAATAAATAAATCTTTAAAAAGGAAAAAAAAAAGAAAACAGGTTGTGGAGGCTGAGGCCCATCACAAAAAAAATAAATAAAATAAATCTTTAAAGGAGAACAAGAGAGAAAGAAAGAAAGAGAGAAAGAGAGAGAACTGGCATCTACAAAGAAGGGTGAGGCTCTGAAGACTAGACTGCAGGTGGCAGCTGGCCTGGGACAAAGCAGGGGCAGGACAGAGAGAGAAAGGGAAGCCACTAAAAGCATCAACAATGACAAGACGTGCTAACAGTTTCAGGAAGTCCCTTTTGGCAAGTTTTTTTCAGGTGAAATTACTTGAGACACATACAAAGCCAACAAAGTAATGCAACACTCAGAAAACAGCACACGCAGGAGCAATGCAGCCCCGGGGCCACTGCCTTTTCCAGCTGCAGTTCTCCACCCGATGCATCTCCTCCCCACTGCCTCCCAGTAGATGTTCCAGGTCTCAGCAGAAGCACCCAGGCCGGAAGCATACCTACCACAGTCTAGTCTGAAAACCACTGCCACACTCCACATGTCACGCCGGAACCCCAGCCCCTCCACACCTGCCCGGTTTGTTACTACGAACCCCTGTTGACAACCGGGCAGCTCCTCACTGGCAGCTTTGAGCTTGAGAAAGAGCAGTGTTAGCAGTCCTTGAGCACTACCTCAAGAACACATTCAACATCTCACAACCCTTTGCAGTTTCCTCAGCTACAGACAAGAAGAACCCCAGGTTCATCTACCCTACTACAAAAAGTCATTTCTACACAAATTATGTGACTCTTAACTATTGGTCAAGGAATCAAAGTATACAACTTTTTCCAAAATATTATTTTAATATACTATATATTTATATAATCATATAACAGTGTATGCAATATGTAAATGTTTATATATTTATATTATGTATTATATTTATTTATATATTCAATATATAATATACAAAATTCCTATATTTATGCATTTACATGTAATATATTGTTTTATATTTATTATACATTTATATTTATATATTGAACATATATAAATTTTGTATAATTTATATGTATTTATATATTATATAAACTTATATAATAATATATAAAGTACTATTGTTAAAAGCTAGCGATAGAGACCAGTGTTGTGGCACAGTTGCTTATGCCTCAACTCCAGTCATATATTGGAGTGCTGGTTTGAGTCCCCACTGCTCTGCTTCACATCCTGCTCCCTAGTAATGTTCCTGGGAAGACAGAGGACTATGACTCAAGCTCTTGGGGCTCTGCTACCCATGTGGGAAACCAGGGAGAGTTCCAAGCTCCTGACTTGGGTCTAGTCCAGTCCCAACCATTGAGACCATCTGGGAAGTTAGCCAGCAGATGGAAGATCTGCCTTTCAAATAAACAAGTCCTTAAAAAAAACAACCTAGTGATAAAATTTTCTATACATTAGGCTATGTCCAATAGAAAAACATAAATGGCACACAATAATCCTGAAGAAACCAATTTTCTTCAAACCCACACAAATGTGTTATCTTTCCTGAATATTCACATGCAAAGACAGTTGGTATAAAACATATACAAAATTATTATTGACAAAAACAACTAACCTCTTGCTCCCCAACGGTCTGTTTTTCTAGTGTAAGATCCAATTTCTCAACAATCTTCAAAACAGATTTTATAAATTCATCATAGAGTAAATGATTCAGACTTTGAAGAGAAGAATTCACAAAGAGACATGCTTCATCTGGTAAAATACAATCCTTTAAATAAGAGAAAAAGACTTCCAAATGTTGTACCAAGGAAGTAAGAGCATTTCAAAAGCACTGTTATGGACAGAGAGATGTATACATACATTAAATATTACGCAAACAGATGTGTAAACTGTAGCAGACAAACCTGAAAATTTTCAAGCTGCAAAATGTATTCACCTTCTTAAATTATCATCACAGCATCATTTCAGTCAAAGGGTCTTACCCAGCCACATGACAAGTGGTAACATTTGCACACAGCAATGAGTAAGACCACTTAGGTCCAATCCTTGCCAAAGCTCTTAGGCCAGTTACTTTGTGTGTGCATATGCACATACAAACACAAAGTGTCACAGTTAACACTCAGAATGTAATTGCTATGCTTGTGTACATACACATATGTGTACATACACAAACATGCATACATATACATGCATGACTCTCAGGAATGATTTAAAATATAATCATTACTTTAAAAGTGAAGCTATTCGGGGTTGGCGTTGTGGCACAACAGGTTAAAGTCCTGGCCTAGAGTGCCAACATGGCCACACGGGCGCAGGTTCGAGTCCCAGCTCCTCCACTTCCAATCAAGCTCCCTGGTAATATGTCTGGGAAAGCAGCAGAGGACAGCCCAAGTCCTTGGGCCCCTGCACCCATGTGGGAGACCTGCAAGAAGATCCTGGCTCCTGGCTTCAGATAGTCTCAGCTCCGGCCACTACAGCCATTTGGGGAGTGAATGAGCGGATGGAAGATTTTCTCTCTCTCTCTCTCTATCTCTAACTGTCTTTCAAATAAATAAAAATTAAAAAAAAAAAGTGGGGCTGGCGCTGTGGTGTAGCAAGTAAAGTTACCACCTGCAGTGCCAGCATCCCATATGGACACCAGTTGGAGTTTGGCTTCTCCATTTCCAATCCAGCTCTCTGCTATGGCCTGGGAAAGCAGAAGATGGCCCAAGTTCTTGGGCCCCTGCACCCATGTGGGAGACATAGAAGAAGCTCCTGACTCCTGACTTCGGATCAGACCAGCTCTGGCTATTGCAGCCATTTGGTGAGTGAACTAGCAGATGGAAGACCTCTCTCTCTCTCTCTCTCTCTCTCTCTGCCTCTGCCTCTCTGAAACACTGCCTTTTGAATACATAAATAAATGTTAAAAAGCAAAAAAAAAAAAAAAAAAAAAAAAAAAAGGTAGGAAGGAGCACTCTGAAGTCCTGGAACACTTGTTTTTGTTTTTTTTGTTTTTTTTTAGTGAATCTATTCTACCATTCAAAAATTATAGACAAATTATTCTGCCAATAGTCAAATGTTTTTAGGGGACTTAACCTCAAAACATAGGGATACCTGGGGACTGCTGCTGTGGCATAGCAGGTAAAGCTGCCCTTAGCCCAGTGCCAGCAGTGGCTGCAGTGCCGGCATCCAATATGGGCGCCAGTTTGCATCCCGGCTGCTCCACTTTGAATCCAGCTCTCAGTTATGGCCTGGGAAAGTAGAAGATGGCCCAAGTCCAGTCCACATGGGAGATCTGGATGAAGCTTCTGGCTCCTTGCTTTAGTCTGGCCCAGCCATGGCTGTTACAGCCATTTAGGGAGTGAACCAGCGGGTAAAAGACTTCTCTCTCTCTGCCTGTGCCTCCTCTCTCTGTAACTTCAGCTTTCAAAAAAATAAATAAGTCTTTTAAAAGTAAAAACTTAAAACACCTAAGGTTTTTCAAAAAGTAAGAATTATCTACTGACAAAATTGCTTATTCTAGGCTATTAATGCTCACAGGGAGAGGCATATGACCTAGTGGTTAAGCCAATGGCTGGAACACCCATATTTCATATCAAGTCCCAGCTCTACTCCCAATTCCAGATTCCTCCTAATATGCACCCTGGGAAGCAGCAGGTGATGGCTGAAGTGGTCCCTGCCATCCACATGGGAGACCTGGATTGATGGCTCCCAGCTTTGGCCCCAGATGGGGCCAATGAAAGCATCTGAAAAATGAAGCAGTGGATTGGAGCTCCTGCTCACTCTCTCTCACTAAATAAAAAAACACAAAACAATAAAAATGTCAAATAAAATACTAACCACTACCTGGCTAAAAGAAGATAGTTAAGAAACATCTACCAGGGGCCAGCGCTGTGGCACAGCAGGTTAATGCTCTGGCCTGACACACCAGCTCACAGATGGGTGCCAGTTCTAGTCCTGGCTGCTCCACTTCCAATCCAGCTCTCTGCTATGGTCTGAGAAAGCAGTAGAAATATGGCCCAAGTCCTTGGGTCCCTGCACCCGCGTAGCAGACCCAGAGGAAGCTCCTGGCTCCTGGCTTTGAATCAGCACAGCTCCAGCAGTTCTGGCCGACTGGGGAGTGAACCAGCGGATGTAGGACCTCTCTCTCTCTCTGCTTCTCCCTGTGTAACTCTGACTCCAAATAAATAAATCTTAAAAAAAAAAAAAAAAAAGAAACATCTGCTAGAAAATTGGAACACAGCTATAGTAATTATTCCTTTTTTATTTGAAACTCAGTTAGAGGTAGGGACAGAGAGAGATCTTCCATTTGCTGGTTCACTCCCCAGATGGTCGTAACAGCTAGGGCTGGGTCAGGATGAAGCCAGGAGCCAGGAGCCACATCCAGGTCTCCCATATGGGTAGTGGGGGCCAGAGCATGTGGATCATCCTCTGCTACTTTTCCCAGGCCACTAGCAGGGAGGAGGATAGAAGTGGAGCAGCCAGGACTCAAAACTAGTGCCCATACAGGATACTGGCATCACAGGCAGCAGCTTTATCTGCTCCATCACCATGTGAGCCCTCTAGTAGTTAATGTTAAAAAGAGTTCAACATTGAGGCCGGTGCTGTAATGTAGTAGGTTAAGCATCCACCTGCAGTGCTGGCATGCCATACAGGTGCCGCTCCAAGTCCTGTCTGCTCCAAATCCGATCCAGCTGATGGCCTGGGAAAGCAGTAGAACATGGCCCAAGTGTGCACCCATGTGGGAGACCCTGAAGAAGATCCTGGCTTTGGATCAGCCCAGCTTGGCTGCTGCAGCAAGCTGTTTGTGTTCCTTTCACTTATTTTCAAATTTTACTTCAACTGTCCTGATTTATACTGTTTTAATTTTTTATTACTTGAAATGTTTCTTAAAAAGTCTTTGAAAGTTAAGAAAATACAATTTAGGAATAAATGAGCTTTAGATCTAAAACCATGAAGAATCATAAAGAGAGGAAATAGGTACTTTTATGGGTTTCAAATTAATTTTACCATCATCTGGTCACAGCTCAGGAGATTTCTAAAAAGATCCACATAGTCTTTGCAGGTGGGCATCTTCCACCTTCCAGTTCTAACTTCCCCTGTGGCACGATGCTCTTCAGATTCAGACTCCGAGCCCTGGCCAGAAAGACAACACACTAGCTTTAGCCAATGGGCTTACAGAAGCAGCAGTGCTGCCACAACTTGCCGATTTTCCAAATTTTCTATGCTTATCAGCTGCTGCAGACTACATGATTAGATTGAGAAATACACTATGAAAGCATCACAAAAAGAAAATGGATTAAAAAGAGGTATGATTCTTCCATGACTAAAATTGTGACATACCAACAAGTACTTCAACAGAGTATCCACTGACTGCACAATACATCATGTATTTCACAGTTCAGTCTCTCATTCTATTTCCTGTATCTTCTAATAGCTAAGATATGCTTCCCCTAAGATACCCTAGGATTTTGTCTTAGAGTTTCAAGGGAGAAAACCCTTTCTGTAGAAAGGGTCAAAACAGTAAAGTTATTCTCATATCTGACACAACACATAGGCATCTTGTCCTACACTTTTCTAAACATTAAGTTATGGCTAATGACTAAGAAAAGTATATCGAAACCACAGCAACTTTCAACATTCAATCATCATGCTTACTTTTGAAACATTAGATTCAGAATTTACCTTTTGAAGCATTACTGGCTTAGAACATATTCTGATTAAACCCTGATGTACTGAAAAAAAAAAAGGAAAAAATGAAGGAAACATTGTATAATACAATCAAACACTTAATAAAAATGATAATCAATACTTTCTGAAACATAATTTTCCTTCTCAATTTCTTTTCTAAGTTTAATATTATCTTTATTTCAAAATTTGAATTATTAAGATTCAGAAGCAAAAGGATGAGAGTGTGGCCCATCAAAATTTTAGGAGTTCTCCAAGAGACAAAGATACAAAACAGTTTGGCGACTCTATTTTGTTTACCTACATCAACCGACCTGTTACATATTCATCAATCATCACAACAACAAGAATAAACTGCACACTTACCCACAGTACTGATGCAATTCCAGAGAACTGGCCCCTTCTCTGCCAAGACCAGGAAAAGCCTCACCATGGCTTTGCAACAGACCAATTGCATTTTTGGACTGTACTGTGGGAAACTGTCTATCTGTACCACCATGAGATGCTCCAGGACTGGAGTGTATACCTCAGGAACCTGCCAGAATTGGAGAGCAGACCAAAAGTTAGAAAGGGAAACAGTCAATAGAGGAATAATACAAACATACCAAATACTACCACTGGACTTAACACCTACTAGATCAGTGAAAAACCTGACTTATTATCTAATCTGCTAAGCTTAATATTTACTACTTTGATGACCTAAATAAAAACAATCAGAGTGAAATTGTCTAAATGACATTTCAGGTACAACTCCATCCCGAGGGGCAATTCTAGATATTTTAGAAGGTTAGAAGGAGTAAAAAAATATTTGTCCTGCTCTGTATAACAAAAAAAATTACATGTTCATGATAATAATTCTGTTCACACAAAATACCAGTTAAAAATGTCATGTTGAACACGATGGTACCTGTAGTAAATGCAACACATTATTTGAGGAATGAGCTGAAATACTTGGAATTGTTATCAGCTTAACGAAACATGACTTACAGTGTCGAGGTAAAGCAAGACACTGGCAATGGATTGGAGGAAACTCGGCATCTGATACATGTGGTCATCAGCAGTGTCCATCTGGGTGAGGAAAATCTGCTTACAGCGCTGAATGAGCTCAACATACATGAAGTCAACATCCTTGGCATTGATGACCTTGCAAGGCTTCAGGAAAGGTAAAGGAGAAGGCTTTGTCAATCTTACTCATGTCAAAATTACGGCTTTTTAGGTGTTGTGTTAAAGCTGGTGAATATCAGCTAGTTAGTTGAGAAGAAAGACACAAAGCTTACACAGTACTTTACAAAGATATGTTTTATGATGACCTCTAATCACATCCTAAAATATTTATTCAGACACAAAGCATTTCTTGATGGTTACCTCTCTTCTAGGTTCCGTTTAGATGGGAGATCTCAAACAAGGCTAGCCACCCACAGGAGGGACTGGGGCCAAACCCTCTGTGGAGCTCCTGCACACCAAGCACAGAGTCTCATTCTCTAACTCACAAATCTTAGAACACAACTGCCCAGTTTCAGATTTTTTTTTCAAAGGTCTCTTTATTTTTTTATTTATTTATTTTTTTTTTTGACAGGCAGAGTGGACAGTGAGAGAGAGAGACAGAGAGAAAGGTCCTCCCCCGCCGTTGGTTCACCCTCCAATGGCTGCCGCAGCTGGCGCGCTGCGGCCAGCGCACCGCGCCGATCCGATGGCAGGAGCCAGGAGCCAGGTGCCCCTCCTGGTCCCCCATGGGGTGCAGGGCCCAAGCACTAGGGCCATCCTCCACTGCACTCCCTGGCCACAGCAGAGAGCTGGCCTGGAAGAGGGGCAACCGGGACAGAATCCGGCGCCCCGACCGGGACTAGAACCCGGTGTGCCGGCGCCGCTAGGCGGAGGATTAGCCTAGTGAGCCGCGGCGCCGGCCTTGTATTTGCCTTTTAAAAAGAAATGAATTTCATAATGCTAGATTGTGTCAGCTAGATTATCCTGTAAACCTTTAATGTTGAATTACTGTGCAAGAACACTGTTGATAACTACAAAGAAAAGTGGATTAAGCAGAATTAAAAAATGAATGGGTGGGGGGATTGGCACTGTGGCATAGTGGATAAAGCCATCGCCTGCAGTGCCAGCATCCCATATGGGCACCAGTTCAAGTCCCGGCTGCTCCACTTCCAATCCAGCTGCTCCACTTCCAATCCAGCTCTCTGCTACGGCCTGGGAAAGCAGTGGAAGATGGCCCAAGTCCCTGCACCCACGTGGGAGACCTGGAAGAAGCTCCTGGCTCCTGGCACAGCTCCGGCCGTTGCAGTCAACTGGGAAGTGAAACAGCGGATAGAAGACCTCTCTCTCTCTTTCTCTCTCTCTGCTTCTCCTTCTCTCTCTGTGTAACGCTAACTTCAAATAAATAAATAAATAAATCTTTAAAAAAAAAAATGAATGGGGAGGGCAGCACTGAGGCAAAGCAGGTAAAGCCATCGCCTGCAGTGCCAGCATCACAGATAGGTACTGGTTCGAGTCCAGGCTGCTCCACCTCTGATCGAGCTCTCTGCTATGGCCTGATAAAGCAGTAGAAGGTGGCCCAAGAATTTGGGCCACCACACCCATGTGGTAGACAAGGGGGAAACTCCTGGTTCCTGGCTTCAGATCAGCCCAGCCCCAGTCATTGTGGCCACTTGGGAAGTGAACCAGATGGAAGACCTCTGCCTCTGCCTCTCTGTGACTCTGCCTTTCAAATAAATAAATAAATCTTTTAAAAAAATGAATAGATAAGGCTCTACATCTTAAGAATTCCAAAACGCTGATAAAAAAGTCAAAGTTCTAAAAAAGGAGAGATATATTGCATTCATGAGCTTAAAAAGTCAATATATTAAAGATGTCAACTCTCCTTGAAATACAAATTTAATGCACTGTCTTTCAAAACCACAACAAAATTTTTCTGTACCCACCAACAAACTTATTCTAAAATTTATACTTTTAGGGGCCAGCACTATGACAGGGTGGGAGAAGTTACCACCAGCAGCGCCAACATCCCATATGGGTACTGGTTAAGTCCCAGCTGCTCTATTTACAATCCAACTCTGTTAATGTGCCTAGGAAAGCAGTGGAAGATGGCCCAAGTGCTTGGGCCCCTGTACCCACATGGGAGACCTAGAAGAAGCTCCTGGCTTCATACTGGCCCAGCTCCAGCCATTGTAGCCACTGGGAAATGAACAAGCGGATAGAAGACCTCTCTCTGTCTCTCCCTCTCTCTCACTGTAATTCTGCCTCTCAAATAAAAAAATAAATACATAAAATAAAAGAGGGAATGGCACTGTGGCATAGAGGGTAAAGCTGCCACCTGCAGTACTACCATCCGATGTGGATGCCGCTTCAAGTCCTGGCTGCTCCACTTCCGATCCAGCTCTCTGCTATGGCCTGGGAAAGCAGAAGATGGCCCAAGTTATTCGGCCCCTGCGACCTCATGGGAAGACCCAGAGGAAGCTCCTGGCTCCTGGCTTCAGAGTAGCGCAGGTCCAGCCATTGCAGCCAATTGGGGAGTGAAACAGCGGATGGAAGACCTATTTCTCTGCCTCTCCTTCTCTCTCTGTAACTTTGACTTCCAAATAAATAAAATAAATCTATAACAAAAAATGAAAATAAAAAAGAAACAGACTCATAAACATATGCCCAAGTGATTTTTATTTCTTAAATATTTAGTTGGGGCCAGCAGTGTGGCGTAGCAGGTAAAGCCGCTGCCTGAAGTAATGGCATCCCATATGGGTGCCGGTTTGAGACCGGCTGCTCCACTTCCGAACCAGTTCTCTGCTATGGCCTGGGAAAGCAATAGAAGATGGCCCAAGTCCTTGGGCCCCTGCACCTGTGTGGGAGACCCGGAGGAAGCTCCTGGCTCCTGATTGGCACAGCTCCAGCCATTGCAGCCAACTGGGGAGTGAACCAGTGGATGTAATCTCTTTCTCTCTGCCTCTCCTTCTCTCTGTGTAACTCTGACTTTCAAGTAAATACAAGTGGCTCTCCGAATGGGAGACCTGGAAGAAGCTCCTGGCTCCAGATCGGCTCAACTCCAGCCACTGTAGCCATTTGGGGAGTGAACCAGAGATGGAAGACCTCTCTGGCTCTGCCTCTCTGTAGCTCTGCCTTTCATATAAATAAATAAATCTTTAAAAAAAAAAAAATACATGCCAGTTGGGATACCCACATCCCATATCAGAGTGCCTAACTTGAGTCCTGGCTACTCTGCTTCCAATCCAACTTCCTGCTAATGAGCATTTTGGGAAAAGCCCTTGACAGTGTTAAGTACTGGAGTCCCTGCCATTGATGTGGAAGACCTGGACTGAATTCCAGGCTCCTGGCTTCAGCCTGGCCCAACTCTGTCTGTGTAGGAAATCTGGGGAATAAACCAGAAGAGAGAATATGTTCCTAATTCACTGTTCGGCTCTCTCCCTTTCAAGTAAAGTGAAAACAAACGCATATAAATTAAAGCAAATAGGGGCCAGCACCATGGCACAGTGGGTTAAAGCACTGGCTTAAAGCGCCAGCACCCCATATAGGTGCCAGTTCTAGTCCTGGCTGCTCCTCTTTAGATCCAGCTCTCTGCTGTGGCCTGGAATAGCAGTGGAAGATGGCCCAAGTGCTTGGGCCCCTGCAACTGCATGGGAAATGGGGAAGAAGCCCCTGGCTCCTGGCTGAGGATAGTCCCAGCTCTGGCCTTTGCAGCCAATTGGGGAGTGAACCATAAGATGGAAGATCTTTCTCTCTGTCTCTCCTTCTATCTGTAACTCTATCTCTCAAATAAATAAATAAAAATCTTAAAAATTTTTGCCTTCAAATAAATAAACCTTTACAAAATGAAAAGACAAGCCACATACTGGGAGAAAATATTGACTAAAAAAAAAGTACTATTATCAAAAATAAAGTAGTATTATCAAAAAACAAGGGGGGAAAGGGCAGCAAGGAGAACCCTGTAATGATTTTGCTCAGTATCTTGACTTTGATGGCACATACACAAAGCTGTGTGACAGAATAGCATAGCACAAACCACCCACGCACAAACGCATGCACATAACATTGATGACATCTGAGAAAGGTCCAAAGATGGCACCAATGTTAATTCTCGGTCATGCTACAGACAAGAAAGGTGATGTCATCAGGAGAAACCAACCAGGGCACACAGGTCTCTGGATTAGTTCTCACAACTACATGTGAATTCACAATCAGTTTACAAGTTCAAAAAAGCTAACAGGCAATTCTTGTTAGACTGAAGCAGTTCTGAATAGAGAGAGTAAGTCAGGTAAAGCAAGCAGTACCTTCTTCCATGGACTTAGTGAAGTTACACAGAAGTGAAGACAAGCCCTTCAGACATCCGGCCAGAACGGGGAGCTTGGGCTCTCTTACTGCTGATGTCATCTAAATGGAATGTTTTAAGAACATATCATTGAAAGAGAAAAATGTAACTGAGTCTATAGAAACAGAGTATCACCAAGTTCATCATACCTGGGTCTTAAGTTCACTCAGAAAAGCCCGGAACAGGTTTTCTGAGTTATTTATCATTTCACTGGGATGAACTTCACCTAATACTCCCAGTAGCTCGTAGACTTTTTCTAAAACTGAAAAACAAATTTCAGACAAATGAAGCCCTAAAACTACATTTAAGTAAGCTAATAAAATGTACCAATAAGAAAATGAGAAGATGTTTAGTTCAAAAGTAAATATATAACACCAAACATCTAGTTTTTCATAGTGGAATCTCTCCAGATAGGTTTTACACAAAGCTATTATTATAAACTAAATTATATTCTACATGTTATTAGTTTAAATGCATCTCACCTGTATCTGATATTTTTGTTTTCAATGCAAGTTCTCCATAGAATTTATTAAATAATTCTCCAACTCTAAATTCATCCATGATTCTAGAACTTCTCAAAGTCTGAAGTAGCTAGAAGAATACAAATTCAGTTTCTAACAAAAGAAATAAAGGCATCCCCTAACCCAGTGTGTCAGTACACAGCAAAGTTTCAGAATCCCACATCTCCAGGGACTGATGCTCAGCTTCCCCAGGCTCCTTTCTCTCCAGGTGGGTGGTGGATGAGCATGGGGAGGGATGGTCTGGGCCCACCTTTCCCAACACACTAGTAACACAACTGCAATCATCCCCCACAGGCACTCAAGACCAAGGGCCAGCCAGGCCCAGAGGAATGCCAAAACAGTGACACAGGTGACAGATTCCTGATCCACACTTAAAGACAATATGTGGGGGCCAGCGCCTACAGTGCCAGCATCCCATATGGGCTGGCACTGCAGTCCAAGTCCCAGCTGCTCCACTTCCAATCCAGCTCTCTGCTATGGCCTGGGAAAGCAGAAGATTGCCCAAGTAATTGGGCCCCTGCACCTGCACGGGGAACCCAGAAGAAGCTCCTGGCTTCGGATCAGCACAGCTCCAGCCATTGCGGCCATCTGGGGAGTGAACCAGCAGATGGGAGCCCTTACTCTGCCTCTCTCTATATAACTCTACCTTTTAAATAAATGAATAAATGTTTAAAAAAAGCCAATATGTAGGTCCATTCCTACTGCAAATATTTCAGGGGAAAAAACTAAGACAGAACAAGGTGATTGTTAAGCAATTCCTAACAGGATAAGGTTCCCCCAGAGGTAATAAAGGTGACACATGAAAGAGATATAAATTCCTTACTTTTCTCCTTCATTCCCTTCATAACCCTCAATTTTTTTTTTAACTACATGTCGCTCCCCCATTCTCAGAGGAATGACACCAGACCCTGCGCTGTTCTTTCGTCTGCTCGGCCCTTCCAGGGTTTGCTGCTGGTCCTTCCCAGGTTGGAGGGACGGCACACCCCCCGCTGCTTTCCCCGCTTCTGCGGAGGAGCGGCACACCGCCGGCCGGCTCTCTCAGGGGTTGCTCAGGTGTTCCTTCAGATGTTCCCGGTGCATGTTGTTTCTCTCCTCCTTTATAGTCCTCTTCCACCAATCCCAACTCTGCTACCCACACGCCGAGCACGCTGCTCTTCTCCAATCAGGAGCAGGATCAGCTCCTGCAGCTCATCAGTCAAACTGGCGAGAGGCAGCTGCATAGAAGTTTACTCCTCCCCAGCGCCATATTGTGGGAGAGCAGATGCATAGAATAAGTCTTAATTCCAGTAACTTAGTCTAGTCTCAGTTGCTCCCCACAACTACACAAAAGTTCTAAGAAGAAATATCAAGGTATTGTCGGGTGACGGTTTGAAAACATGAAGTTCCTCTTTCTGTCTCTCCTTCTCTCTCTGTAACTCTGCTTTTCAAATAAATAAAGTAAAAAAATAAAAAGGATTTAAAAAAAAGAAAATGTCGGGGCCAGCACCATGGCACAGTAGGTTAATCCTCCGCCTGCAGCGCCAGCATCCCATATGGGTGCAGATTCTAGTCCTGGCTGCTCCTCTTCCCATCCAGCTCTCTGCTGTGACCTGGGAAAGCAGTGGAGGATGGCCCGAGTGGGCCCTTGCACCCGCATGGGAGATTGGGAAAAAGCTCCTGGCTCCTGGCTTTGGATCAGCGCAGCTCCAGCCATTGCGGCCATCTGGGGAGTGAAACAACGGAAGGAAGACCTTTCTCTCTGTCTCTGTCTCTGAAACTCTACCTCTCAAGTAAATAAATAAAATCTTAAAAAAAAAAAAATGTCATCCATCATTCCATGCAATTTAACCCTATCCTCCCATAAACTCCCCCAAACTCTGCTGTTGTATTCTGTAAGTTACATGTTTAATATAAAATACATATTTGCAAACATAAAATTACCTTAATGAGAAGGTCGAGGGCTGGAATTTTACATTTTGCAGCTCTGTCTTTTGTATAGACGCTGGTACAAATATTCTAGTTTTTAAAAGGAGACATACCAAAATCATCAAAAAGATAAAAAAACTAAGATTAAATAATAGCTAAAAGTAGATCTCAGAAGACCAATTCCAATGTATGAAACAATAAAATACAGTACTTAAGTGTGAAAAGTATAATATTGTAGCATATAAATGTAGATATTAAAAATCACTAAAATTTGCATTGTAGCATAGCAGGTAAAGCTGCCACCTGTGATGCGAGCATCCCATATGGGTACTGGTTAAAGACCCAGCTATTCTAGCTCATATCCAGCTCCCCACTAATGGCCTGGGAAAGTGCTTGGACCCTGTCATCCACGCAGGAGACCTCTCTCTCTCTCTGCCTCTCCTTCTCCCTCTGTGTATCTCTGATTTTCAAATAAATAATGTTTAAAAATAAAATAAAATATTTTTTAAAAAAGAAATGAATATCTCTCTCAAATTTTATTCAAATGGTAAAATGGTAACTAAAGAGAGTCTGAGAGAAACAGCTACAACAACTAGCCCAGTGTCACGAAAGATTAGGTGCTCTAGGAACGAGGCCCCAGCTCCACAAGACGGGTGAGTTTCTTGACTATTAAGTCTTATTTCTAACCTAGAGATCAAAAATTAAAAAAAAACTCAGTTTGGTAAAAATTGAGACCAACTGTTTGTTAAAGGAATTGGAAAAAAAACTATGAAAAAAAATCTGTATTAGCTATTCCCACTGGGGAAACTTATTAAAATATTAAGACTCCAATAAGATAGAAAACAAAAAGGGAAAAAACTGGGGCTGGCACTGTGGCATAGGGGTAAAGCCATTGCCTGTAGTGCTAGCATCCTACATGGGTGTTGGTTCAAGTCCCAGCTGCTGCACCTCCAATCTAGCTCCCTGCTAATGTGCCTGGGAGACCAGCAGAAGATGGCCCAAGTCCTTGGGTCCCTGCACCCACCTGGGAAACCCAGAAGCAGCTCTTGCCTTCTAATCAGTCCAGCTCTAGCCATTGTAACCATTTGAGGAATGAACCAGCAGATGAAAGATACATCTCTCTCTGCCTCTGCCTCTGCCTCCACCTCTCTAACTCTGCCTTTCAAATAAATAATAAAAATCTTCAAAGAAAAAACTATTAAAAAATAGGCCAACAATCATTAACAATCTTATACCCTTTAGATAAATAAAACCTACAAAATATGAGGGTAGGGGGCCAGCGTCGTGGCGCAGTAGGCTAATCCTCTGCCTGCGGCGCCGACAACCCATATTGGCACCAGTTCTAGTCCCGGCTGTTCCTCTTCCAATCTAGCTCTCTGCTATGGCCTGGGAAAGCAGTAGAAGATGGCCCAAGTGCTTGGGCCCCTGCACCCATGTGGGAAAACTGGAAGAAGCTCCTGGCTCCTGATCGGTGCAGCTGTGGCCATTGCGGCCATTTGGGGAGTGAACCAACGGAAGGAAAACCTTTCTCTCTGTCTCTTCTTCTGACTGTCTGTAACTCTACCTCTCAAAGAAATAAATAAAATCTTTAAAAAATATATGTAAGGGCGGGTGTTGTGGCACAGTGGATTAAGCTTGTGATGCCCACATCTTGTATCAGAGCACAAGCCCCAGTAGTGGCTCCTTCTTTCAATCCAGCATCCTGTTAATGCACCTGGAAAAACAGCAGAAGAAGGCCCGAGTACTGGGGCCCCTGCCACACATGAAGAAGACCCAGATGGAGTTTGGGACTCCAGGCTTTGGCCTGGCCCAGCTCCAATTGTTGTGGGCATTTTGGGGAGTGAACCTACAGTTGAAGGATCTCTCTCCCTGTCACCCTGCCTTTCAAATAAGTAACTAAATCTTTAAATAAAATATACAAAATAAGGGCCAGTGCTGTGGCACAGCAGGTAAAGCCACCAACTGTGATGCTGGCATCCCATATGGCTGCTGGTTCAAGTCTTGGCTGCTCCACTTCCAATCCAGCTCCCTGCTGATATTCCTGGGAAGCCAGTGGAAGATGCTTGAAGTTCTTGAACCCTGCTACCTTTGCGGGAGTCCCAGATGATGCTCTTGGCTTCAGCCTCACCCTCACCTAGCCCTGGCAGTTTTGGCCATTTGGGGGTGAACCAGCAATAGAAGATCTCTCTCTCTCTCTCTGCTTCTCCTTCTCTGTAACTCTGACTTTCAAATAAATAGATAAATCTTTAAAAAAAAAATCTACAAAATAGTGATCCCTCAGCATCCATGGAGGATTGGTTCCAAGATCTCCCTCAGATACCAAAATCTGCAGATGCTCAAGTCCCTCATATACAGTAGCACAGTATTTGCGCATAACCTACCTACATCCTTCCGCATACATTAAATCATTTCCAGATGACTTATAATACTTAATGCAATGTATAAATAGATTCACTCTAGTGTTTAGAGAATGACAAGACAAAGAAATCTGTACGTGTTCAGTACAGAAGTCATTTTTTTCCTGAATATTTTCAATCAACAGTTGGCTGAATCTGCAGATGTGGAGAAGAATGGGAGGCTTGAGAATCAAACTTTTCAGAAGAAAAGAACGCATGAGCTACAGGAAATATGGCTCTTATTCAGTGGGAAGATTCCTTAAAGTCATCTTTTAAAGTGTTCTGGGATCTCCCACTATTCAAAAATCTTCAATTTGTTGTGACTTATTACAAAAAGTATTATTTTATACCATGTGCAAAATACTATCAAGATACTTATAAGAAAAATCAAAATAGTTTCTCTGACAAGAGCTTTAGCTTAACAAATTAAAAAAAATTAGAGCTGGCCATTTGGCACAGCAGCTAAGATGTTACTTGCAATACCTGCACCTCCTATTAGAATGTCTGGTTTTGGAGCCAGTGGTGTAGTGTAGGTAAAGCTGCTGCCTGAAACACCAGTATCCCTTAGGGATATCTGTTCAAGTGCGGGCTGCTCTACTTCTCATCCAGCTCCCTGCTAATGTGCTTGGGAAAGCAGTAGAAGATGGCCCAAGTGCCTGGGCCCCTGCACCAATGTGGGAGACTGGAATTAAGTTCCTGGTTCCTGGCTTTGGCTTGGCCCAGCCATGGCAATTGTGTGGCCATTTGGGGAGTGAACCAGCAATGGAAGACCTCTCTGTCCCTCCCTCCCTCCCTCTAACTCTGCCTTTCAAATAAATAAATAAGTCCTTTTTTCAAAAAACAGATGTTTTAACATAAAAGACATAAGTTTTTCCCTCCTTACCTTTACATCAAGCGAGTAAGGCATGATCTTCTGGCCAAGTTTTTCTAAGAAGATATATAAAAATTTGAGGGCTTCTTCTCTACAATCACGAAACTGTAAAAGAAATACAAATAGTAAATATGAGAACAAGAGTCATTCCAATATACAGGAATACACAAAGAAAACAAAATGATTTTCAACTTACTTCATCAAAGGTGAGTGACTTCCGAACAAATACAAGCAAACCAAAGTCTTTGGAAAAAACTAAGGAAGTCTGTAATGCTGGACAAAAAAGAATAAGTAAAAGTTAAAAAGAAACATTCATAAACCCACCCATAAAGGGCTGTATGCTTTCCAAGACAGCCTGTCAGCTCATCCAAGTCTACTGCATCAAGATGAAGAAACACAGGGGGCCACCCTCACTGTGGCTATGGCCTAGTGGGTAAAGCCACCTGCAGTGCCTGCATCCTATATGGGTGTCAGTTCGAATCCAGGCTGTTCCACTTTCAAGCCAGCTCTCTGCTATGACCTGGGAAAGCAGAAGATGGCCCAAGTCCTTGGGCCCCGGCACTTGCTTGGGAGACCTGGAAGCAGCTCCTGGCTCCTGGCTTCAGATAGACTCTTCATAGGGGTGTGGTAGGCAGAAATATGGCTCAGAGTTCCCTGTGCCCTAATCCCTGGCAACACACCTTTGAGTGTGTTCACTTCATATGGAAAAAAGGAAATTAGGTTGCAGACATAAGAATGCTAGTCAGCTAACTTTAAAATGAGGAGCTCACCTTGGGTTAACTGTAATCACCTTGGGGGGGGGGGGGGGGGAGAAAAGCAGGTAAGGGAATAGGGAAAGGCCACGGCAGGAGACCCCAAACCTCCCCCTGAGGGTTCCGACGGCCAAAGGGGAAGCTTCTAAAAGCAAGGCACTTTAGCAAAGAATCGGGACCTCAACCCCACAACCTGCAGGCTAGGGAAGTAGGTTCTCCCCCTAGAGCTTTCCGACAGGAAAGCGGCCTCGTGTGACACTTCCATTCCGGCTTGCTGCCAGGCTTCTGCACCCAGATCCCCAAGACCACGCGCCGCTGGGCTGTTAGGGCAGCGGCAGGCGGCCACGACTCCCCAGAACCGCTCAACTGAGGCACTGAGGGGTACTGGTGTGACGCCGGTGCTGCCAACAACACTTCTAAGTTCCAGGTCTGCGAGTCTTCTCTGAGGAACCAAGAGCAGAAGGGCTTGGAAAAGGTTCTGGTGATGCCGGTGAGAGGAAGCTGAGAAAAGTCTTTTTGCCCTTTCACCCGACCTCAGAGAGCCCTGATGGCCAAGTCTGGGGTCCCTTTTTAACCAAATTTGGTACAAAAATACCTTTTTCTCTAACTCTACTTGGGGGGGGGAGCAGAAGGACAAATCACTTTTCACAGAAAATACGCAGAAATTCCGAAGATTTCAAAATACCGTTAACTACACCCACAGGGGAGAGACTACCCGGCTCAGTGGCTCCAGGGCAACTCGGAAAGCACTCGACCCGACCGGTACCCACCCAGCACCGCCGGGCTGCTGCTCAGCACGCACTCCTGCCCCAAGCCACGGATCAGCTGGCAGCCGGCCACAGCTGCGCCGCAGCGGTCCCCGCACGACAAGAAATCCCGCAGCTGCAGCAGGGAGCCCTGCACACCAGATCCAGGGTCCGCCATGACCGCGAGCAGAGCACCCGAGCGTGCGCAGCATCGGCCCAGGCCCGGAAACGCCGCGGGGCTCGGGGGTGGGGCTGGCAGCTGCCAGAACCTTCCATGCGACTCCTGAGGCGGGGGTAGGAATCCTCACGGTAGAAAGAGCCCGCTTTCACCTGAGTTCCCAACTGGCAGGTTTATGAGTGTGCAGCAGGTAATACTCTTAGCATGCACATATAGAACTTTGAGTAAAAACAGGAAGCCATTGGCTTGGCCAGCGAAAATAGACGGATGGAAACTCAAGTAATGGGCTAAACAAAATAAAAGGTCTGCAAGTCTGTTCCTGAATAGAATATTTGATGATGTCTTTAGAAGTAAGAATGCCTGAGAAATAAATTATTAGTAGTGAGAAACACCCCTCTGAGAACTTGGTCTGATGGTACTCCCCAGATTTCCCGCGAAAACGCGTTCAGGCTTGAAGTCAAGCCATCGAAACTGAGGGGGAGACCGAGCGAACGCTGAGTCCGCTTTCCATTGGGGCGCCGAAGGAGGCCCGTCCTGTGCCCCCTGTGGACACGCAGTGGCGCCATCCAGAGGCGGAGCCAGGCGGACGGCGCCGCTGTGATTGGTGCGGTCCCGCTGGGGGCGGTGACGATCGTACCGCCGGCGGGAACGCTTAGCGCAGCTGGTGCGTCTAGGAACTGGACCTGCCGGGTAGAACCGGAGCCCTAGAGCTTCTTCAGGTATCCGCCTTTCCCGGTATCACGCGCCGGCCAGGAGGGCCTGGCGGGGGCGTCCGCGTGGCGAAGCGGGGAGGCCGGGAGGTGGGCACGGCACGAGCCTATCCTTGTCGCGCAGATACCCCGAGCACCATGTCGTCCCCAGCGTCGACCCCGAGCCGCCGCGGCAGCCGGCGCGGCCGAGCCACCCCTGCTCAGACGCGTGAGTCTCCCAGCCCCTTGCTCCGCTGGAGCCGGTCCCGCCACAGACCCGCACGTGTCCACCCCTTCCGCCTTCCCTGCCCCGGCTGGTGCCCCGCCGCGTCGGTGTGCGCAGACGCAGACCGCGCGGGACGATCGTCTGCACTCTGGCGGGGATGTTTGTATTTGTTCAGGAGAGCGGTCCGGGAGGGCCAAACGCGAGATCTGATGGCCGTGTTTTCTGTTTTGATGACAAGCGCGAAGTGAGGATGCCCGGTCGCCTCCCTCGCAGAGACGACGAGGCGAGGATTCCACCTCCACGGGAGAGCTGCAGCCTATGCCCACCTCGCCCGGAGCGGACCTACAGAGCCCGGCCCCGCAAGATGCGTTATTTTCCAGCCCTCCTCAGATGCCTTCCTCAGGTTCGTTTTTCAAAACCTGAGTTACGCCGTGCTCGGTATACAGGTGACCCTTCAGCGGGTCGGGTTTGCTGGTCGGGTAATGGTGGCTGATAATTCCTTGGCAGCTCTGTGCAGGAGCTCGTGTCATCTTCACGCAAGAACTGGAGAACGAGAGCACAGAAATGGCACGTGCTGCGCCTTAGTGGGCAGAGACAGCAGCTTTGCTTGTGCGTCTTGTTTAGGGCGTTTGGTAGCTGTCAGTCTCAGCCATCACAGGTGATGATAGATAATCAGTGTGCACTAGCGTGTAGCCGGCCTGGGAGACAGGTGCTGTGGCTTCCGGCTTGCTATGCTGCCTTTCTTTTATGATTTCGTGGTAAATATTCGCGTTCTGGTTTTTTTATAGCCATTCCTCTTGACTTTGATGTAAGCTCACCCCTGACATATGGCACTCCCAGCTCCCGGGTAGAGGGCACCCCGAGGAGCGGTGTCAGGGGCACCCCTGTGAGGCAGAGGCCCGACTTGGGCTCTGCAAGGAAGGGTCTACAGGTGGATCTGCAGTCTGATGGGGTGAGTACTGGCGCCACGGGCTCTGGCAGCATCACTTTGGCAACAGAGACGGCTCCTGACAAGACTCAATCATATTATTCCTGTGTAGGCAGCTGCAGAAGATAATGCAATGGCAAGTGAGCAGTCTCTAGGACAAAAACTTGTGATCTGGGGAACAGATGTAAACGTGGCAACTTGCAAAGAAAATTTTCAGGTGTGTGTTAAAATCCATACCGTGGGGCTCTGGCAGCGATCAGGGGAAGGGGGAGGGTTTATGATCTATTCGGAAGTAGCTTTAACAACTAGGTTTTAGACTAACAACTAGGGGTTTTAGACTTGTTGATGTCTTTCCAGTTTTTTTAAAAAACTTTCGCTTAATCCCAGATGCTTAATATTTATTTTTCTCTCTGCATGAAGCGATTTCTTCAGCGTTTCATTGATCCTCTGGCTAAAGAGGAAGAAAATGTAGGCATCGATATTACTGAACCTGTGTACATGCAACGACTTGCAGAGGTAATCATATATTCTTATTTACACATTCAGGCTATATGTTTTAAAATGATGATATCAGAAGGTGTAAGTGTTCATGTTATCTTGCAGATTAATGTCATTGGAGAACCATTTTTAAATGTGAACTGTGAGCACATAAAGTCATTTGACAAAAATTTGTACAGGCAGCTCATCGCCTACCCACAGGTAAGAATTTGGCCTTGACCTTGAGAAACGAGTAAATATCCAGCAGGAATGCATTTGCACAGCATAATTTCCTTGGTGGCGGAGAGAGTACTCCTGTTTCATTTCTTCTAGCATGAATAGCTTTTCATATTTCAGTATTTCTGAAATTGAGATGTGCATTACTAACAACATATCATTTAATTGATAGCGTTTCCTACATGTAAAGTAGTAATAAACGTTAGAGTTGATAGTTCCTTAGATTGCATGAAGTAATTTATAAATGTACCACCTCCCTCTTTTCATTTGTAGTGTAGTCTGTCAGCTGCTCTGCAGTCTCTTAGGCCTAAGATCAGTTTTTTATTAGACATTGGCTCTGCATGTAAGAGGCCAGCAGACTTGGTTTTTTAAGTCTTTTTTATTTGAAAGGCAGAGTTATAGATAGGCAGAGAGGGAGAGACATCTTACATCTCTGTTCACTCTCCAAATTACCACAACGGCCGGAGCAAGGAGCTTCTTCCCGATTTCCCACATGGGTGTAGGATCCCAAACACTTGAGCCATCTGCTGCTTTCTGAGGCCATAGGAAAGAGCTGGATTGGAGGTGGAGCAGCAGGTATTCAAACCAGTACCCACGTGAGATGTCAGCACTGCAGGCTGCATCTTTACCCGCTACACCACAGCACAGGCCCTGGTTTTTAAGTCTTGACTTTACCTCTTAATGGCTGTATCTCCTTAACCTCCCAACAAGTTTGCTCATCCGTAAAATGGAATCATGGTAACAAATGTGGACATAATATGTGCAACTTAATCTACTTTGGTGTCATTTCATTATGGCCAAAAAATAAGACATGAAAATATGAGTTCAAAACCTTTTCCCTGGCCGGCGCCGTGGCTCAATAGGCTAATCCTCCGCCTTGCGGCGCCGGCACACCGGGTTCTAGTCCTGGTCGGGGCTCCGGATTCTTTCCCGGTTGCCCCTCTTCCTGGCCAGCTCTCTGCTGTGGCCCGGGAAGGCAGTGGAGGATGGCCCAAGTGCTTGGGCCCTGCACCCCATGGGAGACCAGGAGAAGCACCTGGCTCCTGCCTTCGGATCAGCGTGGTGCGTCGGCCACAGCACGCTAGCCATGGCGGCCATTGGAGGGTGAACCAACGGCAAAAGGAAGACCTTTCTCTCTGTCTCTCTCTCTCACTGTCCACTCTGCCTATCAAAAAAAAAAAAAAATTTTTTTTTTCCCTTACTGATGGGAAGCATAAAATATGCTAGCACATCAGGAAGGCACTTTCACATATGCGATTGCTTTTGATCCAAATGAGGATATGCAGAAACAAGATGATTCATTGTACCCAAGGGATGAAAACAGCATGTGTGCAGTGCTGTTAATGCTTTGGGCTTCTGCTGTGGTTTTTGTTTTTATAGTATGCTGCTATGGAATGCTGTTAACCCTACTGGGGGGATACTTAATCTAAAGGTGAATTCTTTGTGGGTCTTTGGGGAAGTAAGACAGTGGGAGCTGGCAAGAGAACCCCCATTTTTCCATTGCTACCTTGGTGGTAGGGGTGGTGGACCTGTAGCCCTTGGCTCAGAAGGGGAAACATACTTCTGAATGTTAACGGAGGTAGGACTTGATAATCACCAAGTATTCCTGCAACAGAATTATCCCCTAAGTGGGATTAGTAATGGCCACTAATAGTCTCATAGACTTGTATAATAGCCATCACTCTGCCCCACTTTCCAGAGTTTAGACCGTGCTTTGTTTAAACCAGACCAGGAAGGTCCGTTGACCTGTTTCTTTGCTCTACTTGAAAGGACCCACAATTAGCAGTTTTCTGTAGAGCCACCATTCCCTGATCAATAAAACTTCAGAATTGGGATTGAAAAAGCAGTGCTTTATTTCTGATACTTAAGTTCAGTATAGAAACATAAACTTAGCTTGGCCACTTTATACTTGTTTTTACAGGAAGTTATCCCAACTTTTGACATGGCTGTCAACGAGATCTTCTTTGACCGTTACCCTGATTCCATCTTAGAGCATCAGATTCAAGTGAGACCATTCAATGCATTGAAGACTAAGAATATGAGAAACTTGAATCCAGAAGGTAATATACTTTTTTGTTTGTTTAAGGTTTATTTTTATTTATTTGAAAGTCTTCCATCTGCTGGTTTACTCCCCTAAATGGCTGCAACAGCCGGGACTGAGCCAGATGGAAGCCAGGACACAGGGACTTCTGAGTCTCCCACCTGGTTGCAGGGACCCAAGCAAATGGGCCATCCTCTGTTGCTTTCCCAGGCACATTAGCAGGAAGCTGGATTGGAAGTAGAAGAGTGAGCATTCACTGCTGCTTATATGGGGTATCAGCGTTATGAGTGACAACCTACTCTACCACAACAGTAGCCTCAAAATGTGACTATTAACAGTTCTCTAACAAATTAACTTACTAGAAATAGTAGATCCACAGTTATTTTGTTAAGTAGGCATTTTTTTCTTTAAGATTTATTTATTTATTTGAAAAGCAAAGTTATAGTGTTGGGGGGGCCAAGACTGAGATCTTCCA